CCGTCAATGCGCCTGGCTATAACGATATCTCAGCGGACGATTTTGTTGATCTGCTCATGGACGAAGCTTCGATATTCAATTTTTGGGATACATGGACTCGAACATGACTTAATGCTATCAAACGTTACCTTCAATATGATTGGAGAGGAAATTGCAGTGTTTACTTCCGAAAGATATAATAAATCGTCTTGTAACTACGATGCTACTCCTCTCGGAATATATGTCGGATCCAAGTGAGGTCCACCCACCACAAGGTCACCACAACCATGAAACCATCCATCAGCCACTACAGAAAGCAAATGAGAGAAGATGCGAAAAAAAAAATAAAACTTAAAAATACATACAACAGAAGGGATTCGCTGGTGGTCACCCACCCAACTACTAACCTCCCGGCGTGTGGCTTAAGTACGGCTGAGCGGACGGGAAGCCCTGTTTTCCACACCCTATGGTCGTATGTGCTTGATGTTTCTCGCTCAGAAAATATAGTCTAGTGGTCTTATAGACTGGCATTGACTCTTATGCCAGCCTCGGTTCGTTTCTTCCCGCAATAATTAAAGTTTACACGCATCACACCCGGAAGGATCCTGTCCAGAGTACGGAGTACATGGTTGCGGACCCTTATTGGCACCCCTTTCAGGATTGACAGTACACGGGGGGTTACATCATTACAGATATTCGGAGGTAAGAAGACAATAAAAATTTGATTGAAGAACTTCCATAGGACAACCAAAATATCTTGGTGAAGTCAGTATCGAGCTAGTTTCAAATCTTCATCATCTACCCAATTTCCATGAAGGCCTTGTCGTAAACGCAGCGGGAGTAAAATAACGGCTAGCGGCCTAGTAAAATTATCTGTATCGACCAGGTGCAATTCTGATAACATGGTCTCGTAGTTATTTACCAAAAATAGCAGGTATCCTTCACCCTCTGCGGCACCACTTGACCTTGGGATGAACACGGTCTCTTGTACCAAATGTTTATTTCCGGGGAAATATTTATCGAATTGTCTCGTCCTCAAATTCAATCTTCCGATCGAATTATAAACCGGGTGGCCGCCGTCCATTTTCGCCACCACTGTTGGCCAAATGGTTGGTGCGGTATCGTCGTTGAGGCAGAAAAAGGCATGATTATGTTCACGAGAAAGGAAACGCTCGTCAATTCTCGGAAACTCTACATCTTCAGATGATAGAATTTCAGCGGACTGTAGCTCCAGATTATCGGAGCTGGGGTCGATTATGAAGCGGGAAAGGTGGCAAGCCACCTCCTGGGGACTGGGCGCATTGCCCTGCGAATCTGGCCACCAGAAGAAGACGTTCTTCTTGCCCACAGGAAGGTCGAAGAAGATCTTCCCATTTTTCTCAAAGGCGTTGCTGGTGTGGCCCGGGAAGGCATTGGGAGCACGGAACCACTTCAAATAGTCAGAAATATGTCTTCATAGCTTTTCCTTTGTCAAAACCCTACTTTAATGTCAGAGCCCTTTGCTCCACGTCGAGGCAAGACACCGATATAGAGAGGAATGTTTGGTGTCCACTGCCAGTGCTCGCCGCCAGCCTCCATTCGCTCGAGATCACATGTGTGGGGTATAAGAGGAAACAAGACCTATACAATGTCATATTAGCAACCACGACTCCAATCTTCTATAGTGAAGACTTGCATAATTCTCTGTCACTGCGAAGTCATGAATCATAGCCACTACCGGGCTAACAAGCCAGACAAGGTCGGTAAAGTTTCCCAAGGGGTCAACAGAGAAATAGCAGATATCTGGCGTTCCATCACCCTTGGCCTCATAGCCAAAGCCAATAAATTCTTTGGTGACAGGATCCAGCTTCGGATGGGCAGTAAATGTTAGACTGGGCAACTGGCCGTTGAAATCATAGAGGCCAATAGTCTCAAGGGTAACTGGGTCCATTTCATAGGGTAAAGCATCTTCCTTGCAGGCCAAGAGCTTGCCATTGAAGAAGACAATGTTTGTGTTTGCAGTGGTGCGGACTGTGAACTCGATTGCGTCCGTGAATTTGTTTTTGTATTTTCCTGATGGCCACCAAATTAATGAAGAAGAAAGAAAAGAAAAGAAAAAGAAAAGGAATTTACCTAGCAGTGCTCTCCCTGACTCGCATTCTTTGATGAACTTTTCGGTGCGTACATAGCGCTGCTTGAAATGTACTTTGCCAGACTCAAAACGAAATGCACTGACGTTGCCATCGCCATTGAACCACTTGAATCAAAGAAATTAGCAGAAAATTGCAAACCGAGACTCAGAACTGGGCTGTCTATACTGGGTCATCTTTGACTCGCGAAGGAAGATGCGGGTCCGGCATAACCCGGTAGAATGTGCCACGCACTTCTGGTGGGATTGTGCCTATCACTTCAAGGTAGTTTGTCTCACCCTCGAAACGGGACGGTTTCATGAAGTGTGAAAACTGGGGAAGCGAAGGGAAGTGTTGTGGGATCATCTGTGACGGCGCCATTTTGGACTGCGGAGGACTTTTTATGGGAAAAAATTTGAGTTCTGAACCTTGTGAGTTGAGATGTGCTGTAAAAGATACGTATCTTCCGTCCTGCGTGTTGTACTTATACCGGCGGGGATGTATTGGTTGGCTCAGGAGCCATATACCCGGCCATCCCCATCCACCCCCGAGCGCGGAGGCCGTTTCTATTTCCGCGGTGGCAAGCCAACACACGTGTACTATGTTGGTCTTCCAGCTGCACTCGGGCCATATTGTCCTGCAAATGAGATTCTTCGCTTGACATCCCCACTCATGCCGGGAACCAATTGCACCCGGAATGAACTGATCCCCATACCAGGTCTCTACGCCGGGGGTGTATGTTATTCGCACACCCGGCACGGGTATGTATGTTCTGCGTCTTCGGCGCTGTACCAAGAAAGCGAGGGAAGGCCTCAGAGAATTTATATTAATATTTTCTTCATTCCAATCAGATAGAGTCGCCTGTGTTACAAAATCTATCCAGACGACATTGCTTCAGGTATCGAAAGTCGGAGAAATATTTTGAAGATGGCCCAACCCACCAAACGGATTTTGCCCCCATTGCTAGAGGAGTCGACTTTTGATAAGGTCCTAGACAAGCTTAGCGAAATTGTCGGTGAACCCAACGTCTCGCGCAATCACTTGTATGGAAATCTCGAAGGACCACAGGGGCAGAATTGCTATGACGATCTCTGGCCTCTGGGGAACCCAACCGATCATACCCCCAGCGGCGCAGTGAGACCGAAAACCGTCAACGAGATTCAGCAGGTTCTACAGATTGCAAACGAGTATAAGCTCCCATTGTGGACTGTTTCCCGCGGACGGAATCTTGGGTATGTCAACGTTTCCTTCCTGGTTTGTTTTCTCTGGGTCACTTTTCTTTTATTCTGTTCTGTCAAGCGATCGAACGCAATGCAATGGCTTCTGACAAACAACTACTAGTTATGGAGGGAGTGGCGCTATTGTCCCTGGAAGTGTTATACTTGACTTGCACCGGATGAACAAAATCATCGAAGTAAACGAGGAATTCGCCTATGCTATTGTCGAGCCTGGAGTTTCGTTCTTCGATCTCTATGAATACATCCAAGATAGAGGCTACCGGCTCTGGCCTTCATGCCCCGCGCTAGGTTGGGGTTCGATAGTTGGGAATACGCTCGACAGAGGATTTGGCTACACGCCGAACGGCGAGCATGCGGAACAACAATGTGGCATGGAAGTTGTTCTTGCCACAGGAGAGGTTCTCAGAACTGGAATGGGTGCCCTGTCCGGAAGTCCCATGTGGGCCTTGTATAAAGGGTAAGCAAGTTGTCGGGTTCCCAAACAGAAGACCACTGCCATGAAGAGATATCTTACTGTTTAATAGTGGCTATGGGCCCAGTGTAGATGGTCTCTTCTACCAGTCCAACCTAGGTAAGTAAAAGCCAGGGCAGATCTAATGGGTAGTAGCTATGCTAATAAACGAACAGGAGTTGTTACCAAGATTGGGATCCATCTAACATCAGCTCCTGCGTGCTTTATGGACTGCGTGGTCAGTGTTCCAAACGAGGAAGACATCGGCGCACTAGTACGTATCATGTCCGCTCTTGAGAGGGAAGGCATTGTTCAAAATCACGCGTCGATCGCAAACCCATACCGACAAGCTCTGTCCTCGGAAGACCCACTTGTCATTGGGAGAGCGGTGGGCCCTGGGATCAAAGGTGGCTATGCTACAAATGCCGACATGACAAAGCTTGCAAAAGAACAGGGTTGGAGTTACTGGAAAGCCCATTTTGCTATCTATGGCGCTTCGGGTGCCTTTATAGACGCTTGTTGGACCATCGTACAGGAGCGTTTTGCCGCTATCCCAGGAGCTGCGGCCACCGCCGAAAGACACGAGCACAAGCTTGGCGGTCGTTTGAATGCTGCAGATTTACCCATGGGTGAAATACCACATACTGGATACCCACGTCTTACCGCCAAGGATTTTGTTGATATTAGGGGAGCCAAGGGTGGCCATATCGCCTTTTCACCGCTCTTCCCCCCAGACGGAAAGCAGCTACAGGAGTGGTTTGCTAGGATACGGCCGTTGGTAGAGAAGGCAGGTTTTGATCTGTTTTCTGACTTCCATATCTATGGGCGGTATATTATCGGCATTGTGCTTGTGGTATATACCCCGGCTGAAGCGGCTAGGGCTAAAAGTCTGTTTGATGAGCTACTGAAAGACGGCGTGGAGAGGTCCAGCGTTTCGGAATACCGCACACATATCCACTTCATGGACGAAGTTCGGAGACATTATGATTGGGGAAATGGCATCCTCCATCGCACACTGGGTTCTATTAAGACGACGCTGGATCCCAATGGCATCTTATCCCAGGGGAAGTCAGGGATTTGGACGTCATCGAGACCCCTTACGGAAGCCATAGGGAATACCAGACTTTGACCACAGCATTAACATGAGCAGCTGGTGGCCAACTCGTAGAGGAACATCTGCTGTCGTGGGGTACGACCTTATTGGGCAACATCCAAGACAATCATCCATCCGTGCAAGAATTATTATGCCTTATCCTGTGAGGTCTAGAAGAAATCCTAGATTGCCTTGCAGACTGAGTACAACTTGCAACCTGTTACTACGTTTTGCATAATATGTGATGTTATTCAGTCCCGCTTCCGCAGCTCTCGCTGTGTCGCATCCAACTTGGGAGATGCAGGTCCGTAGCTATGCAATTGGCCCAGGAAAAGCCTCCATATCAAACCACACAAAATCCTGCCCAGGGTTTGGCAAAATCGAACTGGTCGCCGTTTGGGATGCATGGACAATCTGAAAGTCGGGCTGTTGAAGCGAAAAGGTCAAATCTTCCCATTCCCCTACTCCATTGGGAGATGTTGTGTCTCTGAAGGATTTGTAGAGGTCCAGAAAATTGTGCAAACATTCACGACAACGCGAGATAATAAGATTATTCCTGTTTAAACGGCGATGCACTTCACTCGCGTCCTTCAGATCGGAGAGAATAAGGTCGATGTCCTCAGTTGCCATTAAACCTGAGAAAGACGATTGCGTGCTTATAAGAAGCATACCAAAGTGCATCATAGAAGCGTTGAAGACTGCGAAAATTGGTTAGATGGATCTCTGGGACGTGCGAGGCGGATCGAGTTGGGCCGAAATACCAAGGAAATTCGTCATCCACCAAGCTCCCCATAGCGACGTTGGAAGAAATTGTTCGTCCACTATAATCTTTGCAAGTTCAATGCCTCTGCTGCAAGTGTGCATGCATTTTTTTATGGTCGAAAAGCCTGAATCCTTCAGGAGCGACAAGGTCTCGGTAGCGTTGGTGCCAGCTGGTTTGTATTGGAGAAACCGTAAGAGCACGGGGCGATATATAAGAGCCTGTGCGGCGTGGAAATATAGGCTTAAGCCGGTCTGGAAACGTTGCATTTGCAAAGCACGTGGGATTTCAGGGGCAGCTATAACACTGCCAGGACGAATCTCAGCAGGGACTGAACTGCGCCATTCAGACAATTTCCAAGACAAGTCAAAGGCTGAACGTAGAGTTTCAAAAACACCCATGCTGTTGTTTGCAGCCATATTGTCACCGTAGAGTTGGGCCAATATATCAGAAATGATCATGGCCAACCGACTGCATGTGATTAGTGGGATGTTTGGGTTGAAAGTAGCTGCACTCACATTTTCGCATTGTAGTATGCCAAACTAGTCATGGCAACCGTGCGGCTCTGATTAGAAGTAGGGAAAATGTCGCTCATATCTTCTGGGAGATCCTTGCTAATGAGAGACTTTGGAACAACCGGAGGCCGGCCGAGATAAACACTGACTAAACTACGAACAAGTCAATATTAGAAAGCAAGGCATGGGGTTGGGGGCATTGCTTACGTATCATTCACAACACACCAGAACCATGTTCTCTTGCATAATTCACGTTGTAATAGTGGTAAGTTCTGGGTAGCCTCGAGGGAATGGAGGCCTATTTGCATGGCTGCCTTGACAGAAAGCACATGAAAGGACCATGTCTGAGCTGAATTTGTCGAACATTGAAGATAACAAGTCAGGAGACAGAGCAGTTGCACTATATTGAAGCTATCAGATTCTTGTAGAAATGTTCAGAAGGGACGCGCCATCATACCAGTCTCTAGGTCTGAATCAATTACTGCCTCGGGCATTGCCAGGTTAAGGGCCTTTTGGAGATATTCCCAAGACAATTTGTCTTCAGCATCTGTAGGAGAGGCGAAGCTTCTCATCTGATACATCACGGCAAACATAACGAAGAGCAAAGCTCGCCACGATCGACTGGCATGGCTGGACTCATTCCTTCTAAAGTCCCTGTATTTTGCAAGGAATGTGTCTCTATATATACAAGGAAAGAAAAGGCCGATAGTGTCAAAATATTCATGAAGAAGAGAGGTGGCTTCCGGCTCAGGGGGCAAACTCTGAGCACCTGCCGCTGTCATAACACGCGGTATTAAGGAAGGGCTGGATGTTAGACTGCTTTGTTGATTGTTGTTCGCTTCAACACCTTCCGCGCGAGTGTTCGACAAATTTACTGGTGCGCCACTGAGTTTCTTTAGCACTCGAGTGAGTTCATAGACAAGTGCGACATTGGATGAGGGACCTATGACAGAAGTAAGCAAACATTATCCCCGCAAGTTGTATGTAGCATCTGCGTACCAAAATATGATGAAAACGTGGCACTATCCGAAAGTGTGATTACTCCCATACCATCAACGCCATCCGACTTGACCGGATGATGAGCAGCGCCGCCTCCTGGATTACTGGTTGGTGAGTACAGTGTAGTAGAGTTTCGTCGGTCGTAAGTTTCCAGGCTGGTGCTATCTTCATCGAGTGCCCCATCTGCACTGGTGGATGCTCGCCGAGACGCATGGGGAGATCTCGCGAAAGTCCTCAGTTGACTCTCCAATTCTTTCACCCTAGACAGCAGCCCGGACGTCTCAGATCTGTTAACATGCTAAGCATTGTCACCTGCAGGGGCGTGATGAAAGTGTTTACCTCCGTGCTATGCCACCGTCAGTGGGCTGATCGTATTCACAGGGTATGGCCAGTTGCTCGCATCGTTTGCAAGAGGGGTGGTTTCCATTGCACTATTGTTGAGAGGCGCTGTCAATGGATACTTCTCTCTGGGGGAAGCTGCTCCGACTTACGCGAGTCTTTCGGTCCCGGCACTGACGACACGCCACAGAGACACGTGCTCGCTTCTTCGGACGGCGATCTTCTTCCATCTCAGAGGGTTCACAAAATGATCTGAGTCTACAACCTGAGTCAAGATGGACAAAGGTTCGATGGAATTTTGACGGGGGGGAATCGAAGTGTGTGAGTGAGATCAGCCACCTGCCTGGCGGCTTCACATCCCCGCACGAGGGGCCTATGGGTCTTGCTACGAGCTTATGCGGAGTGGATAGACACTGAAGATGCGGAAGGGAGAGTCGCGGTCAAGACGAGCTCACGGCCGCGTCCTCTCGGAGTACATGGGTTTCAGGGATTATTACGGTATTACCAAAACCGTGAGGAAACTCGTGGGCCCTACTTCCTATCCGTCCACTCAAAGTTGCATAGTGTATCTCAGGAAGCCCACTTCCTATGCCTGCTGCAGAGAGCATGATGCCATATGGCCAAACTAGTAATTGCCAGTCCGCCTAGTAGCATCGCTGAGGCTCTGGTTTGAATATGTTGAAGGCGCAAGGTCTCAGATCTTTGGGTGTGGATCGAGGATCCCTAGCCCCCTTACTCAGCTGGTACCCGGTTATTGTGCAGTTACGCCAGCGGAGGAGGAAGGCCATACAATGATCGGGTGTGTCGGGAGGCGGAAACTGCGGTATCCGGGCAAAGCGGGGAAGGAGGGGCCAATGCCATGCTCTGTATCGATGGATCGGCGACCGGAATCTGCGTGTTACTCCACTGAAGAACAGCCAGCGGATAGAATTCTACACGGGATGCAGCATCACCCGCCAGAACCTTTGAGAGGCAGCTTTGCCCCGAACTGGCTTGGTAGGAAATATGCCAAGTACACAACAATTGTTTGAACTTCCGCCTTTCAAATAGCGAGAATGACGACCTGGTAATTGCCCAACGAATCCTTATTCAGTTCGAAAACGTTACTATCCATACCAATACTTCGTTTAGGTGTTTAGTATCTTGACTTGACCACGTTCGACTCTGCCTCCCCTATCCCGGATTTGTACGCTTAGAAATACGCACCATGAAATCAACTGGCTTTACGAACCAGTGGTTGCATGTTTTAAGCCCTTGCCCCTGACCAAGAATTTCCACATCATACTCTCGTACCACCAGGGGAATCAATTTGTTCATTTCCAACAAGGATATATTCTTTTCAACGCAGGTCCGTGAGCCCATACCAAAGGGCATATAGCTTTGCTCCATGAGCGCCTTTTCGACCTCGCTGGCATGTAACCACCGTTCCGGTCGGAATTATCCGCGTCAACACCGTAGATCTGTTTGTCGCGAAGTATGACCCAGTTGTTCACGCCGACATTGGACTGAGTCAAACATACGTAAAGACTGTTAATTCCAATCAAACTAATCAAACTAATCAAACTAAAATAAGAATGAAAGGAGAACAGCCCTTAGATCTAGCTTACCTTTGATGGAAAGAACTGGCCGGATATCACAGCACCCCCGTCAGGAACTTCACGAAACATCGGAAACCCCGTGCCAGGGTGCAAGCGAAGACATTCCTTCAAAACCGCCTGGAAGTATGGAAGTTTTTGCGTATCGCTAAACCTTGGGATACCATCAATTCCAGCAACTTCTAGCTCATCGCGAAGCCTTTGGAGAGTCTCGGGATAACTGTAGATGAAATAGAATACAGCACTGAGACTGATAGCTGTAGTGTCACTCCCAGCTCCCACGTTGGAGATAACATTGGCCATGATGTCCCATTCTGTGAATCTTCCGGGGGCAGCTTTCTTAGCTTCCAGGAGTTTATTTAGCATAGGTGAATAGAAAGCAATTTTCTCGGCGCCATAGATCGCTTTTCTCGACCCACCCATTTTAACATTTCTTTCGGCGAAGTCTGCCAAAGCAACTGTGCGTAACAGTCCCATTAGACGGAGTATTTTCATAATCAAAGGCCGGAGCATGATAAACAAACCGATATACGAAGCTGCAGAACCAGCGGCATCGAGGCTTTTGATAATATTGCTCACGTCTAGCATGTCATCAAGGAACCCAAATCGCTCTCCGAACTAAAGAGAGACAGTCAGTTGTTGACCCATGACATGGCTAGACAGCGTTACACACTGTAATATATCCTATGACATCGAAGGCGTAGCACTGGACCCAGTGTGCAAGATTGACTGCGGAGGCCGAGCTGCCTGCCTGATCAAGGTGTCTTCGGAAGAGGCTAATACAACTATCGACGAAAGGCTCGTAGCTCGTCAACGTTGTCATGGAATACATGCTCGCGACTTTACGGCGGTTGGCGGCATGCTTCTTTGGGTCTCTTTCGGAGAAAAGGTTGGTCCAAGTAAGATCTTCTTCTGTGTTCCACGCATCATACCACGATGATTTGACGTATTTCGTTCCGAGGCCATAGATAGTCTTGAGGCATGCTGGATCACTCAAGCTATAGTAGTTCGGAGCAATTCGAACTATCGTTCCTAATACTAGCTTTAGCAACATCTACCAACGAATGCAACATGGCCCGTGGGTCTGTCGGCATTGGTTCCTGCAGATTTATCTTACCCTTCTGACGGTGAAGTTTGATATTGGTATTGTGAAAGTCTCCTTTGATCATTTGACGCAAATACCATACGTTCGTCAATCGTGACCAAAGGGGCCCTGGAATTCCTCTGGTATGTGAAACGGAATCCAACATCAAGCGTACGACATAGTGAGCCAAAAGAACAAATACCGCCAAAATAACAATACTTGCGGCAAGTGACATTTTGTGTCCCGAAAAACAGGGTAAGTAAATACCTGAGAGTTATAGCAGATCATCGATATTGTGCTTTAACAAACGGATGAGCTGCAGCTGGCTAGCTCTGGCTTAAGAGCATCGCCTGTTTTTCACACGGGCTCCATATTCTACACGTGAGTTCGGGGAAGCATTAGCCGCAGACCGCGGTCGTCTGTACCTCTAACCAGGCGTATCAGACACCATGACGACCACGAATAAGGGGGCCGATGCGCGAAAAGAAGTACAGAACTTGGATTTTCGTCGTCAACCCGCACGGATGGTGGGGATGCGATAAGTTGGAAGAGGTTGTATATCATGTATTACACCCCCGTTAGCTTCCCATTGGACAACAGTAACAAGAGCATGTAAGTGGATACACTGGGCATAATCCCGAGGACTTCATGAGGACTTGTTGACTCACAGGACTTTAATACCCGCAGACACCAGCGGGGTTATGCAGAGAAAGCCAATGTCTTCCCTTCCGATCCCTCCTTTAGATACAGCGACGCGCTGAAGGATAGAGGCAATACCACCTATCATTTTGAATTATCTGAAAATTCTCACTATGACTACTCCAACTCTTAAGTACGCGTTTACGATAAACGTCAAGCTTGCCCCAGCAATCGACTTTGGAGCAACATTCAGCGGCGACAGAAAATTTATTGCAATTACTGGAGGGTCCATTGATGGACCGCGTCTGACAGGCAAAGTTTTGTCTGGTGGCGGAGACTGGAACGCTGTGCGACCCGATGGAGTCGTGTATGTCTTCGCCAAATATTCAATCCAAGCAAGCGATGGTACACCTATATCTATTACGAACGAAGGCTTTGGTCGGGCAAGTCAATCAAGTATAAAGGCGATCTTTGATGGCGACGGCGCCTCGGCCAGCGAGGGTGGCAAAACCTGGTACACAAAGACATGGCCACGATTCGAGGTCGCTCCTGGCAAGTGGGATTGGCTTAACACTTCTTGCTTCATTGGGGACTTACAACCCCCAGCATCAGCTGACCGCGTCGTCATCAAAATCTATGAAATTATCTGAAGTCGCCGGGGCTGAGTCATTCGGAACGAGCTGCAGGTCATCGCTTGGAAGGATGCCAGCTAGCAATTGCTCGTTGGGAACTTGAGGAGTGGACCACTGTGGCTTCCTTTGTTGTCACTACGTTTTATACCTTTTCAATTAGATGTAACCCTATTAGAGTGCGATTTTGGGGAATACAATTGGCAGGCCACCGGGGATGAAGCAGTAGATCGATTTCAGACAATACTCGAAGGCAAAAATACATCCGTAGACCGAGTCAGTCACTTTCTCTCGAGATGCTTTTAGCGAACCAGACTCAGTCCTTCCGTAACCATTTCTGTGGGGTCCAAGACGAACCCTCGAGATTTTCCTATCCAAAACTAGATCGGCAGTCCTCACGGGTATAATGTTCCCCGCAGAAACCGTACGCCCCCGGAAGAGGCGCGGCTCACGGGTATGTAGATGGACCGCATACCCACGCGTAGGCATCTGACTATGCAACCTCGATGGCCTCGGGGCGGACGTTCTTTGAGTGAGCTTTCCTTGCAGGGGCGGAGAATTCTGTTATCGCATCATCCTTAGCGGTGTGAGGTCATCGACTGCACTTGGCGGTGCTGTCTTATATCTTAATAGGTAACAAACTTGTTTCTCCTACTGCCCAACCTGGAAAATGCCAGATATCCTACCATTCATTTATCTCGTCAACCTCAATGATATCACGGACATAATTGCGATTTCAGAACAATGATTCCAACGTGGTAACCAAATACTAAATAACAGTAGTTACATGCGCGCGTTACTCATGGAATGATCTTTGCGCGACGGAAGCGATCGAATGCCGTCCACCAAGCTCCTCTGCCGTCCATCTCGACCTTAGCACTGCCCATCATCGCATGAGTTTTGCTCATATCTAACTGTCGATCTAAATCACATAAGGTCATCATAATACGCGCAAAGTCGCCGTAGCTCTTGTTGTTGCCAACTCTTCCCGTCTTAAGGCCCTCTTCTTTTTCCAGTTCCCTCCACTCATTGTAGTGCTCAACTAGGTACTCGTTCGGTACAGGCCCGGCAACACCATCACGAGGGCCTGTGCCCCTTAACCCGAAGTACTCGCAAATGACTGGCCACTTCTCACTCCAAGACGTCGGTCTAGCGCTGTCTGTCACATTGTACCGTTGTCCTGCAGTTTCTTGTGGGTGGAGGGATGCATATATGGCCGTCTTTGCTATGACATCCTGGCTGCTGTCCTGTGACAAACATTCCCATGATCGTTGTGTCCCTGGAAAGACCACTTCACTACCCTTGCCGTTTATCTTGGCGTAGAGAGCCAAATATGTAGCAAGTATCTGGGCCATGCAATAATAATTGTTGTGAGGTACAAAGCCGACAACCAGGTCAGGCATCAGCTCGCAGAAGGACCAACTTTTTCCCTGGGAAATCCAAGACAGCTGGTCGACTTGATGATAATAAAATATCTGCGATGCGAATGGTTCGGGCATTCGCGGTAGCGACTCTTTGAGCGGAACCTGATCGCGGAATGGGAATTGCTCCAGAAGGTAAGATCCATATGATTTGGCCCCAGTCCCAAGAACAACGAACTTGAGGTGGGACGAAACATTCTGGATGGCAAGCACGCTTCGTTTCAATAGCTCTGTATTTTTATGTACCTCCGCCTTCGGATCGGCGTCCATGATATACGCTAAATGGATTAGTGCTCGCACGGAGTTGGTTACTGAAAAGGGAATACGCACCAAAAAAGTAGACATGGGTTATTTTGTCGGCGTTTGCCACCTTCCTTTTCAACTCATCCTCTAAGGTCTCTCGTTTTGCGTCGGCGAGCAGATCGATTCCGCTGACGAGATCTAGCTTGGGTGATTTCGGCCATAATGTATCTTGCAAGCTAAGTAGTCTGTGTGTCAATGCTGTGACAGATGCAAAGGCATCCTCGGATGGATATCCTTGCAAGAGAGCGTTCACCACAGCCCAACCATTGACTCCACTGGCGCCTAGGCCCGTATATTAGTAAAGTTCGGTGGTAGTTAAGAATAGTTACTAGGGTCAGGTACTCACCAAACACTATCGCGTGGTTTTCAGACATGATTCGAATAGAATCTCGGATAGAAGCAAGGACAAGACCGGATATTGAATATGCAGGATGGCTTGCTTTTTTCACCGGCACAAACGCGTCGTTATATATCACGGCTTGTTGCACTGCATAATAACATGTCCACTCGCCTCGAGCCGCTCATTTTACTTCCATCGCAGCCATGTGACACTCCTATTGCACGCTATTCACCAAGAGGGCAATACACGGTTGCTCATATTGGCTTGCCGAACCAATCGATCCACCGGGCAACAAAATGTGATGCTCCCGGCCGACTCACAGTACGTATTTGCTGAGTCAATCACAGAGATACCGTCATTCCACTGCAGATCAGCAACTCAAGACGTTATTAACTTAACCCACTATGCTGAATAAGCGGAGCATACGCAAGGTTCCGAGCCGAATGAAGACATGCAACGCTAAATACCGGGACTTACGGTGTGGAGCTCCGGTAAGTGGACGGTACTCACCAGGTAATTACCAGGCAGCACAAACCGCTAGCAGACAGGTACAGTTCGATGAGTACGACGCTGGTAGCTGTGCACAACTTTCCAAACAACCTTATACAAACCATTGTATGGAGTTTCGCGGAATCTCGGGGGTATGCAGCTGTTGCACCTAGTAAAAGCGCACCCATATCCGTCAATATGAGACTAGGAAACCCTGCACCTTCCGGTTTGGGTAGAAGACAGGACAGCTGGCTGGCCCCGGTCCTATGCCGCAAAAGGATGGCAGACCGATGATCTTACTCACCAAATCATCTGTATCCCGCTTTTCGAACTATAAGAGCCTCCAAATTCCCCCGACAGTCAAGGACATGCGTCAGGAACAGCAGAGCAAAATCTGGAAGTGGGAGCAAGATGACACGTACCAACAGCGACGAAGCTAATGGCGGTGGGTCGACCTTCAGAAGCAATGTTATCAAAGATGGCGTTCTCCGGTACCCTCCAACATCCGTCAAGGTTGTAATTGTCGGTGGCGGGATATCGGGCTTGTTCGCTGCTCTCGAATGCTGGAGAAAGGGACATGATGTGCAGGTTGTTGAAAGGGGAGCAAACATCTCTGAGGCAGGTAAGCGTGGTTCCCATGGAGAGAATTTATTCCTGCTCTGTAATGGCCCGGCTCACCCTTGTTAGGCGACGTTGTCGGAATTGGTCCGTCTGCCTGGGTCTCGCTGCAGAAGTACCCGTCGATGTTTGAGGAGTGGAATCGTATTTCTGACGATCCCGTGTGGCTCTTTTGCGGGGAGGATGGAAGACCTGTTGCTCCTCCGTCAGAATATGAGTATAACTCGAACGGTGTCGCGCAACATGTATGCTATCCTCTTCGCATCAAGCCCCTCATGGTTCGCTCCCAGTTGGCCGAGATGTTAGCAGGCCAATGCAAGAGGCTTGGCATCCCAATACAATTCAATACTCCAATTGTTGACTACGAGGAGGATGGCCCCAGCAAGAGAGCAACAGCTATGACTACTGATGGTCAGCGCTTTAGCGGGGACGTTGTGATCGCTGCCGACGGGATTGGAACCAAGTCGCACAAGATTGTCCTCGGTGAGGAGGTCAGGGCTATCAGCACCGGATTTATTATATATCGCCTCAAGTGCCCCGTTTCGCGGCTAGCAAACGCCCCGGCATTCCAGCAGCTTTACCAGCAGATGGGGAGACCGGAAATCCGACTGGGGCCCGCTGGTCAACTTCATTACGCGCTTACGATGGCCGAAGACTATGTCTCCTTGGGATTATCAGTCAAGGTAGGCCACGGGCGCTCATTTGATAATCGCCAAATGTTAATCTATTCTACCAGGATAATGGAACCGCAACCGAGTCATGGTCCGCAACCGTGTCAAGAGACAATGTTCTGTCAGAGCATCCTGAATTCATTGATTGCCAACCAGCAATCGCTGACATTATCCGCAATGCGCCGGATAACAGCATAGTGCGCTGGCCATTGGTGATGCGCAACCCGCAGCCGAAATGGACTTCGCCTTGCGGGAGAATTGTGCAGATTGGAGACAGTGCACATAGCTTTCTTCCTACATCGGGGAATGGAGCGACGATGGCCATTGAAGATGCGCTTTCCATTGCAGAATGCCTACGGCTGGGGGCGGGTGATGTTGGAACTGCAACCCAAGTACACCAGCTTCTTAGGTGAGAGCCTGACCAGCGCTGGTTGCCTGCGGTTTTTGACCAGCCGGACGCATTGCTAATGTATTGCCACGCAGATACCAACGCGCATCCGTCGTGCAGCAGACTGGAATGAATAACCGGAGCGAGATCAACAACAAAATGTCAAACGACGTGCTGCGTCAGGGCAAATGGATCTGGACTCACAATCCTGAGCAATATGCGACCACAGAATTCTATCGGGCCCGCTCGTGCCTAGAAAGTGGTGCGGAATTCCATAATACCAACCTGCCACCAGGATACGTATGGACACCTTGGACCATTGAGGAAGAGATGGCGAAGGAGAAAGCGGGTGTACATAGCCAGGATTTGAAGAAAAACGGTTACTGGGGTGTTGTTTGATGAAGCGGTAGATGGTTGGGTGCTGGTGGATGTGACTTAGGGTTGGTGGGCTATATACTAGCAGTACCTGAACCTGAAGCTATGACTCGGGGGTTTAATTGCCGCTCAGTTGGCTAGTTAACTAGTTAACGAATACTAGTTACCCGGACTGGCCTCCCATCCGCCCGAGTTGCGTACCCAACTGGCTAAGATAACTGAAGCACTTTAAACAACAGCCATTTCATTAGAGCATTTGTCTCCAAATTTGCGACAATATGAGATATTTTTGTACTTTCAATTTGCGCTTTGAATGATAAAAGAACCCTTGAGTGTTCGTTATGCTGCAGCCGTCATTGATGTATCAAACCCATACTATAAAACATCCACGATCCGGGCCGATAATTGATCAAACCGAATTCTAGGGAAAGAAACTCAAACTCAAATGAAAACCAAGTAATCAGTTACGTTCGTCCTAAGCTACCCGTCCACCGATATTAGTAAACATGCAATTAGGGTTCAGGCTACGAAACATTACAACGAATCGATCGCTCAAGAAGACCAGGGCTCGAAGACGATAAGCGAGGCTGCAGATAAGAGCCCCAACCTAAAGGCTGCCTGTACTATGGAACGGCTGGTAGACGGGCGGCGTCCACGATGCCGTCCCGTCTCGGCATGGTATACGCAGACTACGAAACGTTTGCGGTATTTTTGCTAGTGGCTCGTGATTCAGTATGCGTAGTATTTCCCACAAGTAAAGACAGATATCCATGTTGACTGGCATAATTGAACAAAGGGACAAAAATACCATGCGATATCACTGTATGTAAGAGAACATAAAGTCATGAAATGAATAAAGTAGACAGTTTGAGCCTAAACAGGACTATGACTATTGATATTCCTATCAGTGATCAGCGAACTCGGTGAACCAAAATTATGGCTGACATGGAGATTATACCATTCAAAAGGCTGGTTATCAGATAGCACAGAAATCGTCAAGGGGATAGTGTACAAACTGGCAGAAACAAGATGATAATAGAATATAATTGTCTAGAAATAGATATCAGTAAGCTCATCATTTACAGGCAATTAGCGCTAAGCTACGAACAGCAGCCAATCAGCAGACATGAACAGTAGCGCTAAAGGAGGATATTTTGAATATCCTGCTTACCGATAAATTGTCTCTAGGCTCTTGAAAGCCAAACTTCGGATCTTCTGCCACTCTAGCACGTTCAACTAATGTGGCTAAAGTACGGCTGAACGGACGGGAAGCCCTCTTCTCCACACCCTGTGGTCGTATGTGCTTTATGCTTATAGTGACGGGTTCATATCGCATGCGTACATGTTGCACCATCTAATCAATGTCCAAAAATTATAGAAGAGGGGCGATAGGAGGTCAGGAAGTATTCACGGCTCTGCACCATATCTAGTGACTGCTAAAGCAGAGATACCGAAATTCATGATGTGGTATAGTTTGTGTGATATTCTGGTGTATCAGATCCAGAATGTGCACCGGAAATTTCAATGTGATGATGCAGGTTGGTTGACTGAGTTTTTACACGGCGTCTTCCTGAAAGGAAGGGCCCCACATACTAACAAACCTCTTTCCTTAGAGCTGAATCTCGCAGTATGTGCGCTCAGGGATCACGACCATGTCGCACCAACCAATCAGCACTGAGGTCACCACACCACAATAGAGAAAAGGCGTAACCGAACCTCAGTGTAGTCCATGAGTCGTATTAACCTCTCTTTAGCCCCACTCATTCCATGGAACTGAGTCATGGACGGATACAAGGTTTGACAGGAATTCGTATGATCAATCATTGGCATTCAACCATGCGGTTGCAAGTCTGTGCTCGAGTATCGTAATTATATATTACACAAGCAATGACCTCATATCGGTGAGTCCGACGATCAGCTGTATCAATGATACATTTCAAACTCATCTTCGCAGATCTATAAGGTGATAGGACGATGTGTTATGCCAGATTGAATGTTCATGACAGGGACATATGCGCGAAGAAAATCGCAGCCGAAAATGATCTTGTCTTGCTTCAACATAGCCCCAGCCTACAAATTTAAGATCTTTTTTAGAAGCTGACAGGTTGACAGAATGATTGGCTTTGCCACGGACGGATAATATCTGATACACTTTAGTGCCACTGCTGTTGAAGGGTGCTGTGATAGAAGAGACAGGTTGATATAATAATGGACCACAGACTCCTCAAGGGCATGGCAGGATGCAGGAAGATAGTCTATCATTATATTTAACCTACTCATTTGTTAGTATTAGTAGAGTTCGCATGATGAGTATTGGGTGTCGTTGGGACTCAACTGGCACCTTTCCTGTTTGTCATACCTGGTAAGAGAAGATCGGATTTCCGTTGCTGGAGACGGGATCCCCGTCTTTACTCTTCATAAGTACGAAACCTTCGTTATTCATTGAATCGTTTGAATTATTAGTTGTTCTCCCTGAGGTCGAGCAGTGAAATTTCGTAAGAGGCGTCTGTGCGCTGGTTTAAGAAACCATCATCTTTGAGTGGCTTACATAGGGATGATAAAGTTCAACTCACATTCCTATAAACACGACGCTTACCTGTGACCGGTTCTGCAGGTCCGTGTTTTCCGTGGTATGATATGGAGCCCTGTATCAGAGAAATATGTCCACCGCGTGCGGGAGAGAAAAAAATAGGAAGGCTTAAGCAAACAAGTATATAACATCTGTAGCTAACAATTAATACATGCCATTGGTCGACAGCTCAACAAAGATGTGAATTCGCCTGTCATGAGTCGATACACCCTCATTTCACAGCGCGTCAGTACAAGACAGCAAAGTTCGTTGCCCACACGTTCTACATGATAAGCATGTACGTAGACCTTTACACCCGACGGCACGGGTGTACTCAACGCCGGATATTAATAGAACAATCGAGGCGATTGAGACGAATAAAAAGTACCGTGGCTCCAAATCTAGTTACCTGCATCGGGGATCTACCTATCCAGTACCATATCTGCCGGTGCAGATACCATTCCTAGTAGTACAGGGATCTGAGTCTCGTGTTCGTGTCTCCCAAGAAGGAGAGATAGGATATATGACTTCGGATTTGAATGAAAGATCAGCTCAGGATGACTCTCATGTGTCCATGAGCCCCGTAAGTCTACCGAATGCATAGCAAACAGCAAATAAGAATGAGAGTACACATATCTGGTTACCGGATATCGGCTGAATAGTTTAGCTGAACCGTGCAGTTACTGTACTGGGCCATCTGCATGGATAGACTAGCAATAATGATAGAATACTTCGCTATGTATGGCATAGTCAAGATTTGGTATACATTGGATTTCACATTACATCATCTTTTGGAGGCTTTGGCTATATATGTCCCGTGGATTCCTCAACCAGTTCTGACTCAACATGGAAACCAACCCTTAGCCGGCTCAATTTTTTATTACTCTATATAGGTGATGGCAGTCGTTACTGAACAGCGGCAACAGGAATGTTGCTATTCTGTGCAAGTACCCGAAGAAGAAGTCGAAAAGCACAGATGCTTCACAGCCCTTCCGATCAGACGACACAAGAGATTCCGTGAGGTCGACGCGGTTCTCCATGACCTTATTCGGCAGTGGCATGACATTATTGGAGATGGTGCCTCTGACAACTTCAACTACACCGGTGACCCTGTATCGGGATCATGGATTTCTCTGATATTACCAGAATCAAACGATGAAACTTTCCCACACTCGGCGTGGCTTACTGAGTTTTTCTTCCTTTTCGATGGTGAGTATGGTGAACGCAACACATCATAATTTAGCAGGTGACTAATATTCTGAAGACAAGTTGGAATCAATGTCCCACCAAGAGGTATAAACCGCGCATCCCGTGATAAAAACAAACTTAACATAGCAAGCAGGTCAAGGAAAATGTCGAAGCTGTGCACAAAATATTCAGTAGCGATGATCCAGAAAGCAGCGAATCAGAAACAGCCTTTGGGAAGCTGCTAGTTCCATTTGTACGGGAGTACTTGAGATACGACTACAAGCGCGGCATTCCGGTGCTCCGCGGTTGGAAAACCTGGTTGGAACTAGATCACACTAACGAAAACGATTTCAATACACTTGATGATTACATGACTTATCGCCTTGTGGATATTGGGATGTGGTAGGTCTCGTCGATACCATGACAGATATACATGTGGCTCTCGAAATGTAACTGATCAAGGTCAAAGGGCATACCCGGCCATGGCCGTCTATCACATGCAACTTGACATCAAACCAGAGCAGATGGACTCCCTCAAACAGGTCTTCTTCCTAATGGAGAAGGCCATTATCTTCACCAATGACTATTGGAGCTGGCCAAAAGAAGCTGCCAATTTCAGGAGAGGGAGTAAAAGAGTCATGAACGCAGTCCTGGTGGTTATGAGAGAGCTACAGATAGACTATTGCGAAGATGCTCGCAAGATAGTCAAGGAGAAGGCAATTGGGTATGAGAAGGAGCTTCTACACTTGCGGAACCAGCTGTTCTCGCCGGAGTACCAGCCTCCTCTCACCAGTGACATGCGCAGTCATGTGGATGCACATTTGTGGATGGTTTCTGGGAACAACCTGTGGAGCTCCACATGCCCTCGGTACCATTCGCAGAAGGTTCATTGAAAGTTTGCATTGGCATGAAGCTACTCCTGGGCACGAAACACAGGCAGACATAGTATGTATTACAAATGGATGGAGAACCTAAAGTGACGTTGTTACTTCCATCTGGCCAGTGAAATATTCCGGTAAGCTCATCATTATCAATAAAGTCTTGTCTCTGGGCTAGGTTAAGTGGATATTACTTCATTACAGCTGGCCTCACTGTTCCGAAATAATAAGGAGGAAATATTCTTGGATTTGAAGCCTTGTCTAAACCCTCAAAATCGAATCCAATGATATGTTCAACGCTTTTCAAAGCACGAAGGCTTAGATGACCGTCCGCAGAAATGTTGGCCTTTTCTTACATTGTAAAAGCCGTTAAGGATAGTTCGGGCCCTAGATGTTGTTGTGGACATTGTGGAATATCTTTGGCTGGGTTGTAATCCATGGGAAAATGCTGAAGTATAATGCTAGCACAAACCGAACGCTGTCAGAGACGTGTTATTGTCTAAGATGGGTTTGATACAGCCTCCTTGTTCAGGACCCCTTTGATTGCTCGCAGCAGCGCATCCACATCGGCATTGGGGTATGAAAAATAGCTGGGCTTAGCAGGTTGAGGTATATTCGAGGGCCGGCTTAGGTGAAAATCGACGGTTTAATTTCAGCGTCTGATATGTTAGAATTTTGTACTTCATTGTATGGTTAGTCAGTAGTGTCTTGAGTTGGAGGGCTTTTGAGTGTGAGGGTGGTGTTAGGTAAGAAGAGAGAATCTCCAGTTGGAGATTCTCTCTTCTTAAAGCAAATTTCTCTCGTCACCGTAGCCAATGATGATACGCATGGACGGAAAGTTCACTCGCCGCTACAGCGCCTTGTTAGTGACGCCATCAAAATACCTGCTGTTGCTGTATGATAACAGCGACTATGTCATCATCATCCTCAATACTCAGTGGAAGAACTCGAGTGCAAAGACTATGGCAGTAGCATCATGCAGACAAAGTCAAGCCTTGGTTACTGCTCACGAAATGATACACTGTGGTCATGCTTACCGTAGTCACTGAAGGCAGCACTTGAGTATGAATAACCAGATGTAAGATCTACAATATCAATCACTTGGGGCGGGTAGGGAGCCTTAATATGCAATACGGTTATCATGGCTTGGTGAATTTTCTGTGGTAGGGGTTACATTATTGTAAAACGATAGCCTGCTTGACTGATGCTCTGTGATATACTATTCCAAGACTTACAATAGTTAGACAGCATAAAATCCACTTAAGCCACAGATATAACTTGTGCCCCCTGATACCTATCAAACGTGTACTGCACCATCAGCTTGGGGAACTCAAATATATCCAAGTATTTCATTAGCCAGGTTCAATCACAGCCTACCATTTATTCCACCCCCTACCTCATTCAGCGACAGTATCATCAAAGAATTACACTGATAGTCAAATGAAAGGCATACTGTAAATAATGGATGCCCTAACCGATAAACCAAGGACGATATCTCGCGTCAGTTCAGCGAGCCGACGGAGAGAGATTGGTCCTAACAATAGGCATCGAGTCCCACTGTAGACAAATGTCTGACTATTAGTACCTCTTCTGCTAGTCCACTATAGCGATTATGCGGTATTCCCTGTTTTGTTGCTCGAGATCTAAAAATAGCTATAGCGCGTCAGCAACGAGTAGCCGCTGGAACCAATCTCCGTCAACGTGCATCATCATTAGCCGTACAAGCAAGAGTAAGTCTTCGTCCCTGCCCAATCCCCATTGCTGGTTCATCCTTTCCACCTTCTACTCTGACCTTCTCGAATCCGACTTCAACTAATCACGCCATGGAATCCGAAAGGCCAAAGCACCAGACCATGAGATCAAGAATGCCGGAATCTCAGAACATGAACGCAAGCCGTCGATTATTCACTGAACTGGCTTTCTGCTATCCTTCATTTTTGGTCCCCCATCTGAGTGACGGAAGTCGGGAGTGCCTCACATGCATCTTTATGGGCATGTTATTGATACTTATGTTTATTTGGGGCCTGACAAAAATATTGTATGTACCTCACTCCCATAACAAACTGGGCTTGTTGAGAGGTATGGACGGCTAACATAATTGGGCATGTCAAATCAGTGCTCCCCTCATTAATGAACCCAACTGCGTTTTTTACAATCAGAATGATGGTGGTCAACTTCTAAAAGCTCTATATGAGCGTCGAGGCCATTTCAAGATTATATTCGGATAAGTCTCGATTAGTCCGGATCCTGGGACCAACAACATCCAAGCCCAAGGGATGAGGAAACTCATTCTGCCGCAGTCTTTTGCTTTATGTTATCCCGTGATAACTAGAAATGTTGAAGTGATATATCTATATCTTTGGGCATAAGGTCAGGGTCGTCAGATATTCAGCCTTTTCTGGTTGTTCAGATGTTTCTCTTTTCTTTTCTTTCTTTTTCTTCTTTTGCTTCTACTGTCGATGTGATACCATTCTCACGACCTCCCACGGACGCACGGTGTTCCGGCGCTCCTGAGATTTTCTTTATTTTGGTCCGATCCTCTACGCACCGATGGATGTATCAAAGGTATCCCAGAATATCTTCATCTCATTATGTGATATCGATGAACCCGTCCTTGTCGTCCCTTTCTCCTTTTCTCAATGTAAACATAGCTAGATAAAATGGTAATACATGGTATTGACCGAAATCCTTTACTTCATGGGGAAGGCTAATACAAACCTTGTCATTTCTTTAGAGCGGGTGAATCTACCATTTAGTGTTCTACACTCGAAGACTACCCCAGTCACTAGACAAACTCTATGTCCATCAACGGATCAAAAGCTAATGCACGTCCTATGTGTACTTCTCAACCTTTGCGGGATCAGCAACGATAATTCAAGCGACATTGTCCGATAGCAAGACACTTTGGCTATATGACAAAAACATTTCGTATCAAAATCTCACGGATTCAAAACACGACAACATCACAGGAACCCCACAATTCCATTTTCCGTATTGGGACAAAGCATGTCAACCCTCATATCCTTTAGTTAAGATCTGCAGCTGATTACGATCTTCATCATAGCCCATGAAAAAAATGCCCGAATTGCCAAATTTGTCGTAGATGGTAAATTTACCCTCCCACCAATGATGCTCTTTCCATGGATTTGCCCCTTCGAACCGCATACGGGTACAGCACATGGCGTTGGGTCTTTGATTTATCGTAATTTCAGTTGTCATAAGTCCCTTTCCCACAGTAAGCGTCTCCTTGGAGCCCATCGGCCAATAATAGAAGATGTTGCAAGGCTCGTGCACCGAAAAAAAGCCGGTAGAATATTTCAGGTATGGATCAGTGCCACCATCATAACCATACAGTTCAACCTTTCGAAAATCGTGTATTGTGCTGGTGAGATAGTAATTGTCTTGATCCCAGTACCAGTGATAGTTCGGAGAATAAAAATTGCCATCGGCGGTATCCTCTCGTTCAAGATTCAAGTCATCTCTTGTATATTTCACTGGGTCTATACTCCGGACAGTGACTTTGGAATCAAAGCCTGCACTCGCTGTATGTACAACAGTACCATCAGGCTGTTTAATGCTGGCTCCAATCCGTTTGTTTTCCATCTTTGTCGTTGTCACCCAGTAGCGCTTTCTTTGAGGGTCCCCATCCGCAAGGGATAAGTCCGTTTGGGGCTCTTTTCTCGAGGTTGGCAATGCGTGGTCGAATTCGTTTTCGGTGGCTGAGTAACTCCATGACCCCGATAATTCCGTGGCTGGAGTCTCATCGTCGTGGTCAATCAATTTGATTTTCTCGAGGTCTGAATCCTTCAGCTCATAGGTTGCAGCCGATTCAGGATCAATGGCTTTAATAGTAACAATAACAGGGACCTGCATGTGGCCATTGGCATAAAGAGTATCCGTGACAGCATCTGCTGTGGTAGTCTGGACCTGAAGGAAAGAAACTTCCCAGGACGCATCGGAAGTTGAGGACATGGTGTAGAGATGACTTAAAAATGATGAAATAGATGGTACTGGTGAGAACGGGCTCTGATGATGCGAAGATGGATAAGTGTTCTTTGAGAAGGCTTTTATAGTTTCAGGAATCATACGACTTGAAGGATGCGTATCGTCTCGGTTGTCAGCTCGAGTCAACATTTGCTTTGCTGCGCTCAGCTCCGAATAGTATATGTCTTTCGGGATTTGGCCCAGTCGATATAACTGGACCTTCATGTTTTAGCTCCGTCGCAAGTGGAGCCCGCCAAGCCGAAACCATTAAAGACTATCTTCACTTCCCCTCAGCAAGCTCAGCTGCGCCCGGAACACACATGCATGTCGATGCCCTGAACCTTTGCCACACCTATTCCCCATGCCTCATTGGTGAGCGCGCCCGAGCAATGTCGACGGCAAAAAGGAGATTCTTTGCCACGGTCAAGGTCTCAGTTTCATTACTCATCTCCGATACACGGGCAATGTTCATTTATTACCATCATACTGTATAGTGATTCCGTTCGCACAGATAATTGTCTATTATCCATATAGCGTATAGTATCCGTCTAAATTTTTGATGTTATTATGTAGGCTGCTAACCGCTCAGCCACCAAGTTTTACACAGGTTCAGCTAGCAGGGTTAACAGCGGCACCTACTACATACCTAGCTTAATACAGCCTGTGACCCAAACACCAATATAGTACGGTAGACACGATCAAATCAGCGGATCAACCTTCCAACCACCTCATTATGATCAACGGCCACAATTTAAAATATTCATATTTTGATCTAAAACCTTTGACATTACAAATGTATATATAGAAATGGGACTTTGAGTCACTTGCATATCCTGTTTGTACCGCTTGAATCGAGCCAAATCATCAACTCAGGCAAGGTTCGCTCCTGTCAATATGTGTATCCAACAGATCAAGTCTAGTTACACCGGGTTGTCATACTTTTATGGCATGTTATGTCTCATTCATGTTTTGGGAATACGTACTGTGATCCAATCTATTTTCCAGGGTATCGTGTACATATAAATGATGGGCATACTTTTCATAGATACGTCTCCTAGAGCTTTATGTGCTAGATAAATTGGTACAAAACAAGAACGGCATCATAAAGAACCAGCCACTGATGAGTTCTAGTCATCAAAGTGATTGCAACAGTCTCAGTAGGGTCGAATCTGAAATTCCATAAGAAGCCGAGACCGAAGATGCCCCATAGTTGATTTCGTCAGTACACCAATGGCGAGGGCCTCGCTAATTGTGTGGTCGATTTTGCGACCGCCTACCACAGGGAACGCATAGGGTGATTGCTAGCTTGATCTACTTGGAGCTGCGAAGCTACATTACTTGGGGTCTTTCTATTATTTAGCCATAATACAAGCTATATTAGATAGACAAATATTATTTTTAAGAAGAGGTATTCGACGATTCGGAGTCCTAGTCCATGTCTTTATCCAGAACATTACAATATCACTCCGTGACCTTCTACAGTAAATGTTGGCTGAATATAGGTAACACGACTTGCATTATAAACTGCTTTACCGACTAAATGGTCCAAGGCTGAGCAGTAGAGACCTAGATTCTGAATGAATCTATCGTTGGCAACGCCAGAGTCTAACAACGCAAGCTTTGCTGCTGCTCCAACCCGGCTCCGTTTGTCTGACTGGGGGGACTTCCCCAATCCCGCAACACCATCATGGAGACACATTCATGCCCGAATCAACGAAAAAATGATATTAAACTGACTTCATCGTGGACTTCGATTAGTACGGGGCTCTGATTTTGCTGTACATGCAGTTTCTACTTAATGTACCAGCGCACGAAGCACTTTGAACATATTCTGTGACAACCTGGATACTAATCAGAGTGATGTGACGAATACTATAGTAGAAACTACAAGTAAGCGTATGAACCGAGACAAAGGCCATATACCGCCCACCCCTCGGGACACACGGACGCTCAGGTGAGCTAATGTAACTCTCATATCAGCATTACTTTTAACTCATTAGCGCTTCACCCCGGTTTCCATTCCCTACTAGAGTAGGAAGATTTATGACCAACAGGGCATTGTTGCGCCACCCCAGACATCATGTGAGCTGGTGGGCGGCAGGGGGGAAGGCGTAGATCCATAATTCTTAGTGGTGGATTTGAATTTCGAAGAGAGGGTAGACTGGACTACATGGCCTGTCACTTTCGAAATCATACATTGTGGCTGGCTGTCCCTTTTTGGGCAAGGGTGGGTAGCAACCGAAGGTACCAGTGTGGCTGAGTAGAACTTTTGGTGCTCACACGGGTGGTGCACGTCTTACTTAAGTTCCTGGTACCGTCATCATTCGTGATTGTCGGTCACCGTTCGCCTATAAAATAAGACCGATTATCCTTACCCTGCAATTCTTTTACTGTTTTCCTAACAGACACTCCCAGCAGACCTGACCATGGAAGCGTGCAGTTCATCAATACCGAATTTGGTCTTCAGGTGCCTTTCAGCGGCAATGCCCTATTTGAAAGACGAGGACTGGCGTGTTTTTACATACGTCCTCTTCTTTGCAGCCCTGTTCGCGTCTTTTATACTATTCATATACAAACTGAAGTATGCTCCCATTCCTATTGCGACATGGGACTTATGGCTAATGGTATTGATTGTACTCATATAGTCACTAGGCGCAGTCTGAAATGCGTCATTTGCCAAACCAGCAATGTCGGTACACTTCTTAGAGTACTGTTACTCAGTATCATGGTCGTGCAATCCTATTTCATCTTGTGGACTTTCAACCACTCGTTAGCTTTCTTGGACTGACGGGGCGTTCACTGTTGCTACGAACTTCATACCTTCACACAGGATTTTGCAATAGTTTTATTGCTAACTTGATCTGCCCTTTCAATACTTTTGTCTTTCCAGTGTTTTCTTGAATAATTCATCTGTCCGGGAAGTCGAATATGCTTCATACTCTTTGAGCTCGTTGTTGGAGTTGTTTCTTTGTCAATGAATCATCACGCATCCTCAATAGATGGCACAACTGCCCCAATACTATCAGGCCAGTAGTGCCACGGGCCAGTTACGAAAGTACGAAGTTTGTCCATCTTTCCAACAGATGTTCTTAGATCTTATGGCAGCAAGTTGCAACCAGCAGCTAAGGATTGTCTACGATAACAGATAGATGCTCCTTGACAGTGAAATTAGTAGATGGGAGTGTAATATAATAACCAGTACAGACATGCTACCTGAAACATGGTCGACGGAACTACTTTTAGGCTTGGCATGATTTTGGACAAGGTCCCCCAAGCTACCGATCCAAATTGAGATCAGGCAATCCAACCACGCCTGAGGCCGGCAGCCTTCCTGATGGGGTCCCTACTTCCTCCGCAGTGGCTGTCTAAGCGCGCGCTCTATCCAAGGCTAGAGGACTATCCACCATGATACTTCATCCTCCGAATCCGGCATCCCACCCTACATCGTCCCAGCTCTTCTTTCATCAATAGAAAGAAGATCCCATGGGATGACCAGGAAGAAAGACATGCCCACGATAAGTGGATACTTCGACGGCTGATAAACTAACAATTTCGACCTAGTTGACAAGTGTTTTGGTCATACCTTGTCCAGACAGAGGACGAACACGTCAGGATAGACGACCCAAACACGCTCCACTGAAGTGGGCGAGGCAGCACACCCCAAGGAGAAAGAACAACAACATAGGAAGCAGGAAGTGGTAAATCGGAAAGAAGACAGAGGAGAAGATGTCGCTGGCAATTAGCTGTCCAGTTGCGACATGTTTTATTTCTCGATTCTATTTGAGTGGCGTGGTTAGCTGCGGTGGCAGCATGCGCTCTTGGGGGTAATTTTCCGAATTTGAGGAATTCGCCGGGGCTAAGCCATCCTCCCGCTTCAAAGATAGGGCACTTTAAGGCTAGGATCTTACATAGTAGGGGTCGATCAGGTGTGGGAATACTATTTACTGTATACTGACCCGCACAACGAGGTAATAGCGAGTTAACGGCTGGCACCTCCTAAAGCGAAAAAGTCTTTCAAAATAACGACTTGAGCATAGTTCGGACCGATCCAAGTAGGACAAACAGCTCACCAAGCACCCATAAAGAAGCCCTCCAGAGAAACGTATTGTCGTCAGTCATGAGCTTTTCTTTTCATTCTTATCCGAGATCCTCTACCCTAGGATACCCTAGACCCTGTCGAAGACGACTTGGACACGATATCCTTGTTGAAGGGCCCCTTCGATGCCTTGCATCAGTCCACTCATATCGCCACTGGTGTACGCAATGTAGATAGACGCGGGAGTTAGTGGACTAGGTAGACGAACGAAGTTAGTCTCAGACACCGTGTCGTCGCACGTTATGATAGGAACGGAATTAGTACATAATATAGCCACCGGCCAGAAGGGTACAAAATGCGAGAAGGCCCACTCCGAACAAGGCAGCGCAGAGCATAATTTTAATGGGGAGTTCCATTGTAGGCGCCAATGGGTAAGGATCGTAAGAGTATACCTTGGGGGGTTCCGATCTTGGTATTTCTTGCTGTATTGTTTTGGTGCGAAATAAATCGTACAAGGCTTTGGTGTTAGACAACAGAAGGCTTCAAGGAGATAGGGAGAAGTGAGTAGGGGGAAGTTGAAAGGTGGAAGCGAGGAGTAGAAAGGGGAAGGGAGAAGGGAGAATGTGCCAGGTTCCTGGAATCACCGGCAGCGCCACCGCAAGTGGTCATGATGGTGTCGATGGAAAAGCGGATCAGCAAAAAATTATGTCAATATTACTGTTCGATGTGAGTCATTGTTCTCAAAATGCTAGTCTTGTTATCATCGTTCCGTAAGCTGTGGGTGTATGCGATGTTCGTAACCGCGCTTTGCAATTGTGGACTTTTCTTATACCCTTTCGCGGCGCACATGAACACTGTCGGATACCATGGAACTGGCATGAGAAGCAGATGTCCAATATACTGAATCTGGCTGTACAGTCGCTAGCTAATACCACATACCTAACATACCTCTTAAAGGCGAGAGCAAAGTGCGCCCTATCATTGTGTGTGAGTGTGCGTATGCCTTTATCTATCTTCTTGATACTTTTAATCCTTGAGATAGGCGTCAAAGTGACGCTGTGTATCTTACACGTTATATATCTTGTGTTGCAATCCTTCAATATCTCATGAATCACCGCGTGTTTGATGTTCTCAGTACGATAAGCCTTAAAACCTTAAAAGAGATATACATTGTACCGAATTGAATGAAATCTAAACTCCCACTATGCCTGCATCAATGAAAGCGGTTATGTCCTCTCCCAACATGACGGTGTGCATGTCTACTCTTCACTGGAAGTGTAGCATCACGACGGGAATTCGTCTTCTTCGCAACGCTAGATCCAACCCAAGCATTCCAGTTGGACAAGTCACTCACACACGTTGCGTTGATCGACTGACCAGCCACACTGGCCAGCGTCTCCCCATCCCGGGTGATACTAACCACCACCTTCCCAGTCGCACTACCATACTCCACGGCACCGTGGTAGAGTCCTGCGCCGCTGTTTCGGCCGTGTTTGGCCCAAGTAGCGCCCAACGACGTGCCACCAACAGTGACAGTGACATTCGCATGCGAGTGAAGCATCGCTGAGTAGAAGATCTTGTTCTCGGCCACTTCAGCGGGCGGATATAGCGTCTGTCCCTCACTGGCTGTGTTACCGGTAGTACCTCCTGTGCCGCAGGACTCCGACGGGTTCGGTCGGTACCAGGTGACGATGCCTTCGTCGCCGAGAGTTGCGTTTCCTTTCACGTAAGTGTCGATCGCAAAAGGAAGAAGGTCTCTCCATCCATCATGGGGCATGTTTTCGATGTAGTTCAGCGGTGCACCACCAGTCGTCATGAGACTAATTGCATCTTCACGGATGGGACCGATGTAGTGGCTTTCGCCGTAGTCGTTCCAGGTAAGGATCTCCACCCACTCCGGCTGCAGATCCCAGATCTGCTCCCACCGATCGTGCCACAGGCTATCGCCGCGCCATAGCCAGTTCTTGCTGTATGAGGCGAGGTTGGTGTAGAACCACGGAGAGGCAGGCATCATGTAAGGGATGTCGAGATCGAGGTAACTGAGATCAGTAGCATTGCTCATGTTGTTCGGACCGGAAGGCCAAGCACCCCAGCTAAAAAGGCCGTCGACGATACCTCCACCGCCAGCCTCATAGGCGCCCTCTGCGCCGAGAGAAGACCAGTCCGGGACGAAGAAGCAGTCTACCTGAGATTTGATGGACTTCCAGTCCGTCGCGTAGGCGGTACCCTCAAAAGTAGAGACGAACGCCTTGCCGTTGTACTTGTAGTGGGCGGAGTTGGAGGCGTACTTGTTAAGGTAAGTGAGGATGTCAGATTCTGGCCAGGCACCGGTGCCTCCTTCGTAGTCGAAGGAAAAGAAAAGCTTGAAGTCGACTTTGTTGGCTGCTTCGAACGCGAGAGCAGCCTGCGTTGCGGTGGACGAGTCACCGTAACCCATGTTCAGGGCAAATGCGTCGATATGGGCCTCCTGGGCCAGTGTCATGTCATTTTCCCAGTCTGTAAGTGTGTAGTTCCATGCATTGCCGACGATGAAGTGGGCGAACACGGCGGCGCCCAGCGCCTGCTTAGCCCATAGGAGCCCGAAAAGGGCAATGAACAAGAATTTCATCATCGTGAGGGCGTCGAGCCTATCTGCACGAGTGGAATACAATTGAAGAATGGAGTATAAACTGTAGTAGTTCGATAAAGGAGTGACTGTGGGCGAAGAGCCCGGGTGGGTGGTGAAGGAAAGTGGGCGTGATGCTGGGACTGGTTTGGAGGCATTCGAGTCTTTATAAACGGCTGCCTTATGCGAGCCAATCAATACTCCGAACCTGGCGATGCAGGGTTGTAACCAATAGGAGCATTTTCTCTATCCCATCTGCAATATCGGGATAGACTAATGCAAGCCGTCAGGTCGGTTGTGGCATGTTACAGGCTGGTTGCCATAGGGCGGGGCGTTTGCTAGATCCATTTCTGAGTGTACATCCATCGCGTGGGTCGATGTGAGGGTAATCAGGAACATTTCTTGCAGTTATGAGTCATTGCGTCGCATGCGAGAAAGCCTCGTGGAAAATTAAAAGGCGTGAGTGTGTAATGGGCATTTTGGACCCCAACTTTGCTGCTTAAGATTGAAACCATGGCGAAGGGAGAATAGTTCATTTCTCGGCCAAAAAGTAGACAAAGGATCGGAAACAAAGAACAGAAGCTTAGCAGGACGAGGTGGTCAGTGCAATTTAATCGGAATGATCTCATTTACGGTTCGCCAATGAAAGCCGTTAGCTTAGATTCTGAATGGATCCGAAGGTGCAACGGCGCAAGGCTGTTCACACCAATGGGTAGCGGTTATGCTTAGCGCTGACTCGGTGTTGGTGGGGGCGCTGAGACACAAACACCAATGCTGATGCTGCGATAGCCCTGCACCCACGCGGTTACTTGCATCAATAAATCACCATCCGGGCACACACCAATAAAAACGAACCGCAGCCTGGGTGTATGGGGCCGAAAATTCTACGATGAAACGAAGTTATCCAGGGGCTGGTGCAAACTGAAACAAGTTCACCAAGTCTCAACTCACCAACAGCTGACCTGTCAGAAAAATGGCTCCACCACCACACTTACCAGTTCATGTCGCACAGCGCTTCTGACCGAGGGTTTCAAAAGGATGCAAGGTTTCTGTTAAAAGTCCGACATGAGCTCCTACTCACTTTCCTTCCAGAAGGCATCAGAGAGACAACTCCGTCAAATATGCGAGTTATGTCCACCAGGATCTACAGCTCAATATTAACACAACTTAATATAAGCCTGAATCCCAACACTTCGCCCGAAAAATCGATTTCTTGTCTCCATATCTCTCTCCGCTAGTCGCTGCTAATTGGTTTGCCACCTCCCTGCGAATCTCCTTCATTTACCCACAGGAACGTCTTCCTGGCAGCGTACTTGGGATCCAACATCGTCCTTGCTCGACGTCTACTCTAAACCTACCCTGCACTCTCTCACCGGGTCGGCCTTCTGCGTAGTGTCCAGGGGTACCCAGTTACACCAACCCATACGTCCCTCTCATTTGCAGCGGCTGACCTTGGATCTATCTAGTTAGATTTATCTTTCGACATTCATTTCCGCCTAATTACGAATCCCATTAGGAATTATGGCAAAAGTACGCAGAGAAACACGCAAGGAGCTGGGTTTGTCCGCCTCGTAGTCCTTTGGTGCATGTTGACGAGATACTTGATTGAACTGTAACCTACTCCACAGCAATAATACTAATGCAAGTCCTTATCTCGGGCCTTTGGATTCATAAAATCCAGAAATGTGAGTGTGATACGCCTAGTATCACCGACAGCGGTCGATAACATTCGTACATGGGCCCTGGACTCCCACACTTCCAGCGTTCTCAGATGCTAAGCATTCCTCGCGAGCTTTCCCATTTCTCTGGCTTGATCGATCGCATGTCTTCCTTCTGATTGCATTTCGGTCATAAACAGGTGGAGGCGACCAAGCAAACTCGCGGTCGCAAGAAGCGCTTGGTAAATCATCCACCCTTAGACTGGATACGATGACATGAGACTAAGAGGGCTTGTCAGCCATCATGCCTCCTTTGTGGATTTTTTTGTAAGAGTCCTGGTCTAATTACCGGGTAAACAATTCCTGGTAGGCAGATATGATCGGTCACAGTTGTCATACAAGCTGCAATTCTCTTTATTAGAGTTCTAGGACCAGCTCACGCAACCAGCTTTCAAGGAATGCGTCTGCGACTCAGACGATACTTACACCGTAAAGCCCTGGCAAAAATTCTTTAGGTGTGTGGTTATCTTATACGTTCGCTCAAAATTAATCATGGAAGAACAATGCCAGACTATGCGAGTTCGCAAACACAATCTACAGCACTTCCTACCGATAAACAGGGTCCATGATGTTTGAGGTAAATTCTTCGCCCATTAAAGATGTCTCTCATTCAATTTACTGACACGTTGACCCATTCTGAAAAGATGCTCGGCCAATCCCCACAATCAGCTATCAAACTATCTACTCCCGATGTGTACACATCCTCACCGTTCACCCCGCTCGCCAACCCTTCTAGGTACAGATCACTCTGTTTCATGGCCTCCCAGAATTCTGACTCTCGGATACTCCCGTTCACCATGGGGCAGCGGGTCGAAGGTGTGGACGAAGTAGCAGCCACATCCCGGCCAGTTTCCTCTCTCTCAAGAGCGTTTCCCCTACGGCTTGTTGGCGCTAGGGATGAAGAGTCCCCGCTGGTCGGAGCATATGTGGACAGTACGATATCCAACACCGACTTAAACATAAAAAATACATCAGGGGTCTCTCCAGCCTTTGCGACGGAAAGTCTCGACATTCTATGAGAAAGACTCTCGAGATAGATCAATATGCCTGATCGTGTCTTGATTTGGAAGTCGGTCCATATAAGGCTCATAGAAGCAAGAGATAGAAAACAGATGTCGGAGGCTGCGCTGATGGCAAGGATTAGTTGGCACCAATCTCGAACAGAGAAGAATATGTATTGATCCGGTGGGATACAAAGGAAGTACTCAAAAAATAACCGGATTTCAGTTGCGCAGGAGGTGCCTTGATCGACTAAGCCTTCGAAGTTGGGTATGGTGCTCGGTCTAGGATCGAGAATTCGGAAAGGTAGAAGAGCGATATGCACTCTGAGTGATGATAGTAGAAGACGTACAGGGGCAGTGTGTATGTTAGCGTCTTGCCTCTGTGGCTTGTTAATTTACTTACTGGTGCTGGGACCATGTACTCGTTCAAATATTTGTAGTTCTAGGCGGAGAGATTCCATTTTCTCTTCGACTCTCCGTTGTTTGGTGATTGGGCATTTCAGAGGGCCACATTCTATGTGGCAGCGCACTGTCTCCTCAAATAGGACGTGAAGTTTTGAGAGTTGAAACTGTTCGTCATACGGTTGGTTTAACCGCTGTTTGGCATCCACTGCTTCTTTGAGATACTTATATGCGACGTCATCACCACGCCGTCGGAAGCCAATGGATAACCTGTTCATCCAATTAGACACTTATCCCAGACTACCTGACACAGACTCACAGAGATGAAAGACTAAAACACCCAAGGCAGATGTCTCGAGCAGCTTGATCGTGCATGTTTTCCGTAAGCTTCAAGTCAGATATCATAGTCACAAGTATCTGCATGAACTGCGAGCCCTGGCGACTAAGCGGTCGGATATGTAACGGACGCCTGAGTAAATAGTCAATACCATTCACCAAACAGGACCATCTATCATACCACGCCATATAAACCAGTAGACCTTGAACATAATCCATGCTCTTTTCACCATAGAATATAACTCTTTCACTTAGCACACGGCGGAATCGTTCATCCAACCTCTTCTGCAGAAGCGGCTTCCGCGTCAAGGATACAGTCAGAATAGCCAGTAATAAGAAGGGTTGAGATGGTGCCATTAACGCCGCTGTGGTCCCCTCGGGCACTTCGATGAACGGGAAGTATGCTCTTTGCTGTCTGAACTGCAGTAGTAGCTGTTCGGCATCATTCATATTCAGGCTGATCTTGCTGGACCTAGAATTACAATCCACAGTATCACCGACGCTGGATTGGTTATCTATTAGGGTACGAGGATCTTCGCCTAGATTCCGGCCTTGCAATACACCGCGATGCAGTTGGCGCAGCTGCATTACCTCGTCTTCTTCTGCTTTCGGCTGGCTTCGAAATAGTCCTGAGACAACATCATCGCCATGGTGTGTAGAAGCCTTCACAACTCGATCATTGGATCGGTTTGCACTTGTGTCCGCGGTTAGCTAATGGCTTGAAGATAAGTTACAAGATATTACTCACGTTGATGAAGGGAAACTTCCGTTGACTGTACATGTGTATCCAAGCTTTGCGCATCTACACAATTCAACACGGTTTAGCACGAACACATTACTCAAGAATTAGTACATACCTTCGACAGGCGTCTATCCCGCCGCCTTTCTCGTTAGGTATACACCTGATTTTCCGCGTTCTACATGCATCACAAGCTTTGGAGCTCCGCGGACGTGGGCACATAAACTTATAATCGTCTGCCATTACTGTTACCCCCAAAATCAAGTCATGAATGGATTAGAGAACGCGATGATGATGACGGTCAGATAGGGCGAAGGAGTATATGAAAATGCGGAGGGAAAGCCGAGCCGAGCCGACGGGCGGATGGCAAGTGTAGCCGGACCTCCCGATTAGGATTAGCGCTGATACTATCTGCTTGCTATGGCAATCAGTATATCCCGCCATCAGACAGTACTCTGCTCTAATATAGTCTCTATACTTGAGTCTTTGAAACATACATCATCCGAAAGCACCACAAGTGACCTACAGCGAGTCAGCAATTAGCTTCTGTACTATTGTGTTCCTTTTCCAGTAATACATTTTGAAATGTTCGAAAGACATGCCAAGTAGGCTGGAAGAATATATAATATCATTAGTCACTACTCAAGCATCAGGGCAACGAATACGTAGTAGGCTGCTGGTGGAAGTTGCCGGGAGTTGTGGCCAGTTGCATAGTTAACAGTTTCCAGTGATCTATTTACAAAGAATCACATTACTATTTCTCATCCATATTGAGTGAGTATTCACTGTCACCTCACTGCCAATTCACTGTTACTTCACTCTCTTCTTATATATATCATATCTTTCTCTCTTCTCACCCTCTCACTCTTTCTCTTCTCTACATTACTCTCTCACTCTTTCTCTTTCTCCCTATCTCTCTTGTTTCTGTCTTTCCCCCCCTATTGAAACAAAATGGCCGAAGCGGCGATAGATTGGACCAGAGGTGAGCTGGAAGGCCTTTGCAGACGACGCAAGGAGACAGTACTAATCTCGAACAAATACTCTCCGTTGCCACCTCAGACCTCACTTCTCATCCTCATAATTCACATTCCTGCTCGGAAAATACCCTGTCCGAAGGACATGTTCCACCAGAGTCCCTTCCCCACCCCAAACCTCCCTCCCGAACGCAGCAATCATATCCAGGCCGTTCAACAACGTCCCCGTAGTCCACATCTTTCCATCCCTCACCCATCTCTTCTCCACCCAGTTCGTGCCCGGAGCTATCTCACGAAACAATGGCAGAAACGAAAGTGGACCTGTCGCCGTCTTGCCTTCCAAGATGCCCGTCGCTAGGAGGGCGTCCGACGCACCGCAAACAGACAAGAATGCGGAACATTCGGCATAGCACTTCCGGAGGAAATCTTTCTCTGTAGTGGTGGCTTGGTAGCCCATTTGACCGGCGCCGATGAGCACGATGTCGAGGGGTGGGCAGGTGGCGAAGGAGTCCTGTGGGAGTTAATGATGGGATTTCGGTGTGGAGCATGTATTGGGGGAGATAATACCGTGGGGATGACTTTGAGGTTTCCGCTCAGGGAGCCCGGGGTCGCGCCATCTTCTGTGACCCAGTGGGTGACGAAGTCTAGGGCTTGGGATCTGAGGTCGTCGGAGATGGCGAATGGTGGGAGGCTTTTGATGAAGGAGGTGCTGAAGTTGTGGAAGAAGCCAACGGGTGCAATGTCAAGGTGTTCAGTTACACTGTATCGTGAATAGTCAGATGGTTATTTGGGTAGGTTTTGCTGAGCGTGAGACTCACGTATTCAACAGGACAACGCCAACATGGACTGGGCGTCCGGGGTTGCGAAGGTCGAAGGGAGTAGACATGTCGGAGTCGTTTGTCGCTCTAGAACTCGGTCGGTAAAGCTGTTATGATGACTTTGTTGCTCTGGCCTTGTTGCTCTGGAATAGTCACACTGTCAGAGGTCTTACATGGGCTTTATAGACAAGCTGATGCTATCTGTATACCTCGTTTCTGAGCATATGATTTGTCGGATGAACTTGGCATGCGGGACGGCTCGAACTGCCATCCACCGTTCCGTCCTCGGTTCCCCATACCCTCCGGAGAGTGGTAATCCTTAACCTGGAATTCGGACTATGACGAACACATAACTTATGGTTTTTCACGTCTTCTTGTGAAATGTATGATGAGAACAATTGTCTTTTCTCTGTTGATTAGTTGTTATGTCAATATAATATTAGTACAAATGAAAGTATATACAGGAGTCTGGGAGCACGATCATATTGCTTCATCCACTCCCTCCGATATCTTGATTGTTGTCTGAATATTGACCTGATAAAGTGCCTGCCATGACCCAGCACCCAAGGTCATAGTATCCTGATTCCTATCCGAATGACTCAGACGAGATGTGACGGTGGTTACTAGACGACTGTTCGACTTTCCTGGAGCAAACTCCCCACCCCAATTGCTTGGGTTATGTAACCTTTCAGCATCCGTGGATAGGTTCGACAGAGGATGCTCCTCTTCGCCTTGCTTTTTGCCACGCGTGTTACCACCATAGTATGATCGAGTTTCGAAGACCCAGAGGAATAACGGGCGAAGGGTGGCGAGGCTCCCTGCGGTAATGCCGATTCCGATCTCGATGATGGACCAAAAGTCGATTTGGTAGGTTGCGTCTGCAGGGTTTAGGGATGTGGTGACGGGAGGGAAGGTCTGGGAAAGCTCACATAGAAGGTTGGTGTCATGGTAAGTATGCAGATATGGGATTCGGATGATCACGGCGACACTCTCTCTAGAACAGGCTCAGCATCTTTCCTTTCCAAGTTGTCAAAGATATAGTGCACGTACAGGGCTCCTAGGCTGAGGACTCCAGCTAATGCAATCTTTGTCCGGCGGTCCATTTGCAGGTGCCAGATCAGAACGGCAGGCATGATTCCGAGAGTCACATCGGACAGCACAATCAGGAAACTATAGAGATACCCAACATCCAACAGTATCTGCCGACGTATGCATGTTCCTTCATGTTTTCCATTCACATGCGACCAGAAATAAGAGACTGGTTGGCAGCCGGCGAGGAACACTAACCAGATCATTATTCCAGCGATTATTACAACGCCAGTCACCGTCCACAAAACAATGCGGTGAGCTTTGTGCACAGCTAGTCTGAGTAGGGCAATAGCGATTGATATTTTTGTGATAGCGGCAGACCAACTATAGAGCATTTGACATAACCACCACCACTGATAATGGTTAGGTATATCGAAATGGTTATGGGTAGACGCGCGTGTTGGTAGAAAAGAAAAGAGACCTACCAGAAGTGCCTGCTCCATTGTATTATAATCAGTAAAGTCCTCGTTCTTATGGCCAACCCCTCGCTTCGATGCGACCATCCAACATGCATCCAGCGCTATGAACAAAGCCTAATTGAACATCAGCTGCTGTCGTGTTTGCGAGACGATCAGAAATCCCACCAATGCGATAACCATGAGAGCGTCATCCCACCCAAAAGCTCGAACTGTATAAATACGAACAAAAGTGCGCAACGCGACCGCCATAATACTAACGCTCATCATTACCGCCGCACAGATAAAGATGGCCAGACTATGGCCGACAAGAGGCATCGAGGAGCCCATGTTGGTAGGGAGTGACTTGGTGATTGAAACCCATTGATCGCATGCCGGCTGCTGTGCAAAAATCTGGCAGGTGAGCTCCAGCGCGCTTTTATTTACATTGTCATCCGTGCGGCCCCTCAACTGAACCAATTAATGTGAAGTCTCCTAAGTGGGCAGACTAGTAGTGCTTGCGCAAACAAAAAGTCGAACATGATCGTCAACGGAAAAAAAGTTGATCGACCTACAAGGAGCAGAAAGACCCATATTTTTGGAAGAATGACAGGGGGTGAGCCAAGCGGAGCAGATCCCAGCAGCGGGACCCATCCATGTTGCGGATCGATCTGACTCTGACAGGCTCATGCATCTATCCAACTGCAGTCGAATAGCTATGCACTTGTACCTTGAAGCTGATTCATGAGTCGCATGTATTACTTGTCCCACAGCCTCGGGATTTCTCGTTCATCTCCCAATTACTGTGGATAAAAAGGCAACAAGGGTGAAGCTTTAATTGCCAAAGCCATCCGCTCCCCTTTGAAACGCTCGGCTGAAGTAATGTGTGAGACATGAATCCTTCAGTGGGTGTTTACCAGCCGCCAGCTGAAGCGATCAACGGAAGCTAAGCTACACCGCTCAGGGTTTAAGCATCTAGAGCTTCGAGTTATCCACTGAACACCGAATCGTGGTCACCTTTGGCTTGCAAAGAAAGAATCCAATTGGCGAACCTGGCCAGCTCATGAGCGTGGCACAAATTGGCTCCTTGAGTGAAACCTAGCAGATTTAAGCTAGTCCAGCTTACAACGTGGATAGAATGAGGGATAAGTGGACAGGATCAGGCGGGTCTCCCTCTTCCCAGAGCCCCGGCGCAAACGGTTGTTTCAAGTTGATAACCCAAACTCAAAATTCTCCGGAATCAACTTTGCCGTTATTTACCCGGCAGTTAATCTATATCTTATATTAAACCATTCGTGGACATGAAATAGACTGGTCGAGGGGAATCATCTCTCGGTCTTTGCTCAATTACAGTGGTGCTTGGCTACAGGTGGCTATTGGAGGGCGATGACGTCTGTTTAAGGAAATATCGATCTTCTTCAGCGGAAGTCACTGTCTTGCATGGGGTAGATCCACTTGGCTGGTACTTCAGTGATGTCGTTAAGCTTAAAGCTGCTATGATTACCGGGCAATAAACCTGGGTCATGAACTTGCAGCAATCCACACTTTCTCCCACAGGAAGACAACGTTCTCCCCAGATGCACGGCACATATTGCCCCATATCATGGTGCAGACTCTCACTCGGCCCGGAAAGGCGTCTCCCGAATTTGGAGGCCCGGGTGTGACGGAATGGGACAGCTCAAGCTGAAAGCCTCTGATTGCGCAGACAGATTAGAGTAACAGGAGCCGAGGCTGGGGATTCAAAGCGTGCATAATCGGATACATCTTCATTCCATATTTTGAGCATACAAGTTGGTACTCACGATATCATTGTTTCCCAACTTAATCGCCTAGCTGCCTTCCTAATGGGGAAATTTATGTAGCGGAATCAACCTTAATCACCTGCGATTGTCGACAGGTCATATTTTCATCCAAATTCAATCGCAAATTTGGGTCAACTCAGGACTTGGCGTGTTGTCGAAGAGTAACCTCTCACGTGTCGGTTACCTGCCCAAGACAATGTGTGAGATCGTCAATCTCCTCTAGCCAGGAAGCAATTCGGCCATCGACTTGGCATATGCATGTCTGATAGCTGTGATATCGCTAGTTGTGTAAGCGGAAGTAGGAAACGGAATTTAGGTGTTAACACGAGACCCGTCTTGCCCCTTTTTCATCTGTCTGACCGCTTGCCCATCCAATTATTCTGCCACTAGACGTTGTTCTCCGCCAACAGTCCCCCAATGTGTATTGATTTTCATCGGAGTTACTATATATATACAAGGCGTAAATTTATATCTACTATGTAACTTACATATATTTTGAGAACCCACTGAGAAATTGCCATAAGGACTTATGATTTTTAAACCTTGAAGATCTAATAAATGAGCAGTGCCTGTTCGAGGTTTCTATAACGGGCGGGTACTTAAGTGAGGGATGGGGTAAAAGTTCTTCGGTAGCGGTTATATATAAGTGCCTATAGCTACTTATGAACGTATGCTTTTCACTATGCTCTGCAATATCGTGGACATATATTTCTACTAGATCTGGCAAACGTGGTTATTGGTGGCTTGTACTTCCTTTATTTTACATGAGTGAACCCTACTCCAGACGAGTCAAACAGAAGTATTGTCTATTTGTTATACCCTGATGTTCAGAATTCTTCTAGGGTTGTCCGAGGACATGTCCATCGGATGTCCACCGGAGCGTACCCGGACATCCTTACCTCCGGATTTCAGGACTCGGAGGATAGACGAGTACCTCCCCACCAAAAGTGCCGTAACAGAGCATAACTATTGTGAATGTTAAATACCATCTCCCAAGCACTTCACTGCCATGACGGTTCACCAGCAACAAAAGCGTTCAAAATTCATTGAAAATGACAGGCACCACGCCCACACATGTCACCGCCCAGAGACTTCAGGGTAAGACAGCTCTAATCACAGGCGGAGCACAGGGATTCGGCAAAGCAATTGTGATCAAGTTTATTGCCGAAGGTGCCCGGGTTCTAGTTCTCGATATTATCGAGCCTCCGGAAGAGTTCCAAGGTGACTTATCGAACAACATAACCTATGTTCGAGGAGATGTGACCTCTCTGGACGATTGGCAGAAAGCTCTCGAACAAGCTTTATCTGTTTATGGACACTTGGATATAGTTGTCAACAATGCTGGTGTATTACACAAGGCACAGCCGTCCATTGAGCTCAGTGACGAGGAATGGGAGCGAGTCTTCCGCGTCAACGTGAAGCAAATCCACCTCAGCACCAAGACGATCATTCCCTACTTTTTGAAAGAGAATAGGGCTGGGCTTTTCATCAACACCTCCAGTGCTAGTGGTGCTCGACCCCGACCCAATTTAGTGTGGTATGGAGCAAGCAAAGGCGCGGTAAATACGGTCAGGATTTCCTACATCTCCGGCAATGAGATAAGGCAGAAAATGGCTAATAGGCATGATTCGGATATTATAGGCTACAAAGGGACTTGCCATCGAATGGGCACCGCATAACATTCGCGTGAATGCCGTATGCCCATCTGTTGGGGATACAGCCATGATGCCGCTTTTCCTGGGTCACAACTCTAGTGAAGAGGCACATGCGAAAATGCTAAGCAGCATACCGCTGGGTCGTGTATGCCAACCCAGTGATGTGGCCAACACGGTAGCCTTTTTGGCAAGTGATGAGGCGGCTTATCTGACGGGGGTATGCTTGGAGGTTGATGGCGGCCGTGGGATATAGGCCACAGCCTTACTAGGCCTGTTTGACATTTAACACGACTTCTTTAGTAAATAGCAAAATGTTCATTGAAGCCGTAGAAGGCTCTGTGTTTGCTAAATTATAGCTCCTTGGAGCATCTATTGATATCGTTTTTACCTTCTTCAAGTTGTTCATATCTCTTCGCTTTTAGATGTCTCCTCCCATCCCCCCCGCCAGCCATTACTGCAAGCTGGTTTCTGTGAAAGCCTTCGACTGTAGGAGAATTACGCAAGCTAAAGTAGTTTGTGATAATCTTGGCTGCTAATCATGTATGAAAAAAATTAAATGTTCCGTTGGAAACCGTAGCAGCAACGAGAAGCCATCCGTAACAACCGCCCATGGATACTTATTCGCTCGTAAATATTTATTCAATGGATTTTGAACAGATTGCAGGAATCAATACACTTTTCTACAAATATCTTAGTATAATGCTCATACAAATCGAGACTGAGTTAGAGATCAACGCCTGGAAAGAGAGGAGTAATCTGAAATATCGATGCGACGGACAATGAGAGCATTGGTTGCGGGCGACATTGCTTGGTACTTCAAGAACAGGTACGCACAGTAATCCCCTGCCAAATTCCATGACGTAGTAATGAGAGGAGTGCAACAAATGGTTTGCAATATAACGGTACACACAGTGATTGTCTTACTTGCAGCTTTGCGTTCGCACGAGACTCTGAATGTCAACCCGAGGTTGAGCCGAAGCCGCTAAAACCTCCACCGGACTCGGACATCACCATACATTCTAGCTCCCACCGGACAAGTGCAACCAACGAGAACGTTCCAACTGTCTCGTACCACATCCGATTAACAATATAAACAAGGTGTTTTTCAGGGTCCAGTTTACAAATTGCAGAGTATATAAAGGGTGAGGCTTGACATATCTTGCTGTCCTTAGTTCCCTCATCCCACTATAAACATATCCGATCCCTTCTCTACACCATCATTCAAACCACCAACATGACATCCGCATCGACCACCGACCGACCCAAAGCGACAGCCGTTCCCTACCAGGGAGCCCCCCTCCCGAATGTCCCAGAAGACCTCGTCGTACCAAATATCGTGAACCTCGACTTCGAAGAAAGACTATGGGTTCCCCAAGCGCCAGACGTCTGGTTCCGTCCAATCCTATTCAACGTCACACAAGGCTACTTCGTCAATCTACTTCGTGTTCGTCGCTCCGGCATCTTGTCGCGCCACCGCCATACGGGACCCGTCCACGCAACTGTTCTAAAAGGGAAATGGCACTATCTTGAGCATCCGTGGTGGGCAACCGAGGGTAGTCATGCTTTCGAGCCTCCGGGCGACATTCACACGCTGGAGGTCCCGGATGGGGTCGAAGAAATGGTTACTTTGTTTCATGTTACCGGTGCATACATTTACGTTGATCCGGTGGGAAACCCGCTGGGCGTGGAGGATGTGTTTTCGAAGCTGGCTAGTGCGAGGGCGCATTATGAGAAGGTCGGGCTTGGGGCGGAGTATGTCGATCAATTTGTTCGTTGAGAACTTTTGTATATGTGTCATTGTTACAGCATTTGTATATACGTTGATAAGCCGATATCTGTTGGAAATGTAAAGCTCAGGCGCAGAGGATTGAAAGGAATATCATCAAAAAAATATAACAAAGTTCTGTCACTGAAAGAGATCTGTCTGATTCCATACCCAGCTTTGGCCAATGAGCGAGTTGTGTAGGGTGTTTAGATCGTGGCTGGCGGGGTCGGCTACTGATGCCGTCAAAGTCGTAGGTTGGAATGCGTTGTCTGGCTCGATGAAGTCGGTCGCCAACGTCTGTTGTCCGGGATCAGCGAAGCTCGAGCTAGTCGTGTCCATAGCACGACTGCTTGCATGCGCCATTGTATCGCAATTTTCCCACATTACTGTAGACTTAATTAGTACTCTAGAATCGTGCGGTTCAGTGCGGGATACTGCTGATACATATGACAAACGTGAGACGGCTCATTGCTTGGGGCAGGAAAACAGACCTTGTTGTACAGCCTCGAGTGCCCTGTCAATTTCAGGGTAACAGGGTAGAGTAGTAACATCCTGACCAACGTCAGGGTCAATCACGGTGCGCGCTTCTGGGGTATTCTGAGAGACATTCAGGGCACCTTGGTTTCTGGACAGAAGTTGGGTGTTCTCTTGACTTCCGAATGGTTGATTGAATGAGTCGCTCGCGTGGGGATTCAGCTGATTGGTATCTTGGTACGTCTCGTGGTGATAATCGTTTGTTGAGGTTGGCAAGCTGTTTTTCGGACTGGGACTGTTCATATGAAGAGGTGAGTTATCAAGTAAAGATTGCATCTCCCGTTTGAATATGAGTCGGAACAGTCCTTCTAGAACCCTGACCGTTTGTGAAGATACAACAGATGATGCCGCAAGTGTCTTTTGTAGAGCTATTGAATTCGCAACACCTCTTTTAGCATCCAAAGATTGTTCGGAGCCCGGGTCAGACAGAGCCACCATGCCCAAAGTGACTCCGGCGGTGAAATTCTGAATGGCGATATACGCTGCTGCATGTGTACTTTGGGCCGCAAGGAGAACCTTAGAATACCGCGGCAATATGCTACAGGTGCGCCTAGCACAATGCTTGCACTGTTCAAAGCTAGTCGGGCGCGCATCGGAGTTGCGCCAACCTGGTAAAAGTGGCAGACAGCGGGTATATCGAACAAACGGACGGTGCAGCACGATCTGGATATTGTCATATGCTAATTGGAGAACTAGTGCCTGCAGCTGAAACAGTTGACAGACCTCAGTTTCGGCACTCGTCAAATGTGATGTGTCCAGGCGGGCATGACGCTCAATCCTTAACTCTACAGGCAGTCCATCGAACCATTCAACCAGTTTCGTATTGATTTCTGCAGCCTGCATCATCACGGCCTCCAGGTTTGATGCGTTGAGATCATAGATATCGCTAATGATGGGGCCAGCAATTGAATAGAGTCTAAATTTGTGTCGTTGGTAAGTTCCCAAAGTAGACGCCACTTGGGAGTTCGCAGAACGATCGGCAGCTAAGCTCATCAACGGGTGGACTGTTGATATATCATCCATGTCCCGTGGCATGCTCACGGAGCAATGCGCGTCATTGATCAATGATGGCCTGCCATAGGTAATCGATGCAAACCTTTTGGGATATTAGCCAAGAAACATGTTCACTAGACCAGGTTATCGTTACCTCTCGAGAGCATATAAGGCCCACCAAGTTCGCTTGCGGATTTCCAAAACGATATCAGTTGCAGGACCCCAGAGGCTCTCCTTATGAAGTCCCTGGGCCTGGGCACTCCGGATTCCTGCGCCCAATATGGGCATTGCCAAGTTCGGTTTACCGTTGTATAGATGGTAAGTGCTCAGCAGAATGCACAGCTGTACACATTCGACACCCCCGGTGTCTAGCACATCAAAGAATTGCGACCGAATATGACTCAACATGGTCTCCTGCAAAGAGGTAACGTCGTTTCTGGATATATCAATTCTTGATATTTGCTCGTCAGAAGCATATCTGGCGCCCAGAGCGAGGACCATCAGAATTAGAACTGCCGTACCTCTCTGCCGAGGGCTGACAGACTGACTGTCAAGCATTTGACTATACTCATGTTCAAACGACGGAGCGTGAAATATCAACATAAACCAGTGTACAGACTTCCAATACGACTGGAGCAGAAAGTCACACACCGACCGGGATGGAAGGACTAAACCAGGGAAGTAGGCGGCAAAACTAGTGTTTTCTTCTCCAATCCTATTGCCGGTAATTCGACTGCTCAGAAAAGGACCACCGGGGAGGGCAGAGGTATCACTGTGAGCAGGAGATGGTTCTGCTCCATGATCATGAATGTGAAAGAGCTAGTATTCAGGTTAATGTATGTATCCCACAATGTTAGGCTATGTAATGGTAGGTGTGTACCTGATCCGTCAACTCTACCGCAGATGATTGGGCGTACCTGTGCGGTTCCGGTAGTAATCTCGACCCCTCATCAGCTCCTCCATGGAAGCTCGTGCTGAGTCGGACTGCATTTCTTGGAGTATCCGGGCTGCGAAGGCTTGGACTTGATGATCTGGACACATCATGCTGTATGCGACGTGTGTTTCTGCGCCGCTCCCCTGTATTATTGGCAGATCGTTTAGACTTTCTACAGTTGAATCAGCCTTCCGTATCATTTGGCCTGCGCTAGAAGTATCGGCGAAGAATATCATACCGCAAAGGTGTCGGCGTGGTCTCACATGCAAAGTTAGACCTTACACACAGAGAGCACGGCTTTTCAAAGTCACACTAAACCTTATAAGCAAGGGATGTCTCATTCTTTGGGAGCACCCATTGGGTATTGACCTTCAGCTTCTGTCTACGACATCGATCGCAGGCATATCGACGGCTGCGCGATGGTTTAAACTGGGTATGTCTTGTAGAAAGGAGATCCTTATCTTGCATTTCTCGTCGAGAGGCTCCAGGCTCCAAAAGAATATGATCCGGCATAGCGGAGAGTTTCATGAGGCCCTGCAAGGCGGAATATCTGATGGGTTGTATCCATCCAGATTATTGCCGTCATACCGGAGGTTCAATGTTCCGGATTATTCAGCATCGCGACTGAGGATCAAGTAACCATGAAGGTGTACCATGAGGCCACCATCATGAGAGGAAAACCACACATTTGAAATGTGTGTTTTATGAGTACAAAGTTTTCATTCGTCCATTTGCTGCGAACAAATATAAGGGTCTGATCCTGCTTGATCACTGTCATGCGCAAAGGAAACCTGTGCTCGATGGTTTCGAGGCGCATACTATCCTTCCAAAATTGCTGCAAGTTTCTTCAATTTGTACTAGTTGCCTACACATACATATTACGAAGTGTATGTTGCTAGAGGAAGAAAAGATAAAAAAAATCTAGACTGATATGTTGATCGTTTCATGAACCTTCGTTGTCTGAACAAATGCAATGCTTTGCCGTAGTCCGGTGGACCACTCGCCTCCACCGGAGTGGGTGTGTCCATGACGAAACCTCAACATTTGTAGCTCTAGTAATTTTGAGAACAAAATTCTATACTTGATTTTTTCAGGTACTGAGGGGTAAGCCGGATGGGTCATGTTACTCGCCCATCTCCTTTGGAGTCTACCTTGCTTATCCGTGGTGATTCGCTCAACCATCGACAGCGACGCTCACCCTCAGATCCTACCCTCTCCATGTGCTCATGCCGATGCTTTGATTGACTCACTGCTCCAATTCTCTCAGTCCGCCTCTGAGCTTTCACGGCGCTGCAAAGTCACCCTTCTACGCACCCTTCCGGTGCCTCTTGAATGTGCTTTTAGCAATTAGAAGGAGCAGAGTGGACTAGCAGTGCTGCGGGACCCTTTTGTACTAGCGACTCCAAGGCAAAAAAGGACCTAGTGCAATTCGATTCAAATCAAGTTCGTTCTTTTACACCTATCTGCAATATATTTCTACCATCCTCACACACACTGATTCCCTGCTTGTAGGTGGACGTCCGAATACGATGATTGAGACCGGAATGATGGCCATCCCCGGGGGCATCCAGTTTCCGACCTGGCAATAGCCGAGCAATTAAGAGGATACTCTAGAGCTCCCAGCCCTCTGTGATTCTATCCCAATCCCGGCATTCCCTTGGCGGCCTTGCCAGACCCCAACCAGCCCATCTGGCGGGAGACCAGAAAGCTCGTGAATTTGCCTTGCAGGTGAGGAGGAATCCAACATAATACCTACGTAACAACACAGACTTAGTAAGTCTGACAAAGTGCCGGACTGCTGGACTCACAAACTTCCCGTGGTTGAATCCCACACAAGGTTCTTAGCTTGTTCAGGGTAAGGTAAGTGTCCCCAGTTGTCAAGCTTGCTGTTCCGATACATCAGTCAAAATGAGCGAACAGGAAAGGCATTAGGATGACAAACTTGATAGTGTCTTTGAATGCTTGACGCACCGCATCCCGCTCTTTCCGACTCAACCCCCAGAATGGTGCAGAGCCGATATCATTACCCAGTTGGAGTCCTGGTACCACTGCCCACACGACCCAAATGACGAATCCACCGGGAACAAAGCCAGTATTATCCTGCTTGTCTTCTTTGCTGTCCAGCAGACGGGGGGTGATGGTTGATCCCTTCTGGGTCAAGGTGCGTAGGTACACTAGTTCCGGTGGACTAAAGGATTCTGCTTGCTTGGCTCGTATGACAGAAGGCTCGGCTTCCGTTCCTTCAATGGGGATCTGTTTATAGTAACGCATATGGCCCTCAACAGGCCCATTCGGTCCACGTGCTTCGCAGATGAGACGAGCACAGGCAAAGGAGGGGTCATGTCTGTCCCGCAGATCGTCCTCGTCAAGCTGGAAGCAGTGCTCACTAGCTTTCTCGTGGACTAACCACTTAGCTTTCATCAGCTGGATAATTGTCCCCGGGCCGACCTCGCCATGAGCAAACCAGCGCGAAGGCATGATAGTATGAGAAGGAGCAGTGGTCGATGTCGGAGTGAAAAAGGCTGCGGACTAGAGGAAAGCTAAAATCGGTGAAAACTACTATGTGCGGGGAACTACGGATGTTGATAGGGGCACGAGCAGCGGCGACCTTATTCCAGCTAATCAGGTATTAGCTTGGCTTTTGGTCAATAATTGGTCATGTGAGATTGACTTCAATATTAATTATCGGTAACTATTACACAATGATCTATTCCTGACGAGGCGGCACAGGCGACGCGTGGGGAGGCGCATCAATAAGAGCCGAAGCCTTGGTCAACCAGACATCGGCAGCCGTGTTGCGCGAAGAGTAAGAGTCACGGAAAATGAAGTTCATCGGGAACCCGACATCGAACGAAGATGCACTATCAATCTCATCGAGATCCTCATTGGAGAGGCTCACGCTCAACGCCTCCACGTTGGCTTGGAGATGCTCAATCTTGCGTTGACCGATGATAGGGAAGACGTTAGGTGTCTTGTGCATGACGTAAGCGAGGGCCTGTTTATCATTCTCATTAGTTTGCTTCCACGGCATGATATTGATGGGATTGGTATCTCACAATAGCATGCAAAGTCGTGTTCTTCCTCTTCGCAACCTTCTCCAACGCATCCGAGACCTTGATATCAGTCTCGCTCAATTCAGCGCCGCGTGCGCTGCCAGAACCGGCGTCGCTCTTACGCGCCTCGGCAGACTTGAATTTGCCTGCCCCGAGCGGCGCCCAGGGAGCAATCGCCATTCCTTGGTCTCTGCACATGGGAATCACTTCTCGCTCGAGGTCTCTGAATCCGGCGTTCCATCTGCCTTGGTACACGGAGAAAGGACGGAGGCCGTGGGCCCGAGCATAGTCGTTGGCCTTGACGACAACCCACGCCGGGGTGTCGGAGACACCGAGGTAGAGAACCTTGCCCGATGCGACCAGATTGTTAAGTCCGTGCATGACCTCTTCCACGGAGGATGTAAAGTCCCACCAGTGCAGATACAGGAGGTCAATGTAGTCAGTCTGGAGCTTCTTATGACTGTGCTCGACGGAGACCCGCATGCTCTTCATGGAGTTGCCGACGAAGTTGGATTGGAGAGGCTCGGTGTCGCGGTGGGCGGTTCGGAAGCCTGTTGTATATTTGGTTGCGATGCTAATAATATCAGTTAGTTGTTCAAAGTAAGGTATGAGAAGATCCTGCTACATACACCATCTGGTCGCGGTTCCCGCGAGCAGCCATCCACTCTCCGATCCATTTCTCGGATTCTTCGAACTGATAGTTGTTGGCCCTTTAGTGGATATGATCAGCATCTTACAGCGTTGTAACTTGTAGTAGTGACATACGTGTCGATGAAGTTGCCTCCGAGTCTGTAAAATTCATCTAGCAGGGCAAAGGTCTGCTCCTTGTTGCATTCTCCCATGAATTCCTTCCTGGAAAACGGCAAAGAACCTGGTTAGTTGACCAGTCACACCAAGACAGTACAGATGTCATACCATGAGTCTCCAAAGTTCATAGCTCCCAGACACAATGGGGAGACTTTAACACCAGCAGAGGGTGCCAATACACGGTGGTAGCCGAGACGGCTCGCGGGCTTGGGGGCGGGGGCGAAGAGAGACATGATGATAGTTGATGAGCGGATAACGACGTTTGTGCTTTCGGTGATGGCTGAGGAAGACTTGGTCTATATATGTCTCCGGAATTGACGGCGATAGACTTAAACTCCGATTACCTCCAGGCCCGAAGTTGTAGGAGGCATGGGGATACGGGTGATTATGACGCGGAGTCTCCACCAGATGCCGTTTTGGTAAATCGGAGCTTGATGTCATCGGGTATACCATCGAACTCGTATCCCCGATCCATTGACTGTGAACAATGTGTAGTCAATGAAACTTCAACTTGGACTCGCAGTCACATCAATGCATCTGAGCACCAGGGTAGACGATTCAGTTGACTTCGGGAATACGAAGCTGCTTCATGTGCCTCGGGTGTCATCCGATGTGGCATCACACTTGTATCCCCGTTAATTCCGTGAGGGGGAATAAGTGCTGACCGACCCACAGCGGGGAGATCCACCCCTCTAAAGCTGCAAGTTGCTGCTGACACTCACTTGTAATTGGCCTCACCAGAAACCTTCAGCAAGGTATGCTATATGGTTGGTGGCATCTCGCCAACCTGCTGTGTTACAGGAGGCCCAGCCGTGACCCGAGCGGATGGCGACGGAAGGTAATCATCCAGGGTCCCCCTGTTGTCCGGATCGAAAGATCAGCAACAAAGACGCGACATAATTGATGGTTGAATCTGCAAATCTCGTGTAAAGGAAAGATTGTAATTACAAGTGTTATATTTGAGACGGTGGAGGTAAGCCCCTGGGCTTACATCTGGGGTAAGATACACACACTACAATCTCGAGGATCCTTCTTTCAGGGCCAGCCATTGACTGCCAGTTGAGATACCAGTGCAAGTCGTTTGATAGGAAGGTAAAACGCAGAATATGCACAACCATATCGAGCATTACCGCCACCTCACTGTCAGTCGACTTACTGATGCGGTTTACGTGCTTCTCTCGTTTCGCGTTATTCCCGAGCTGGATGGGAACAAGGATCGAGGGGGTTTCCACTTCGCATTGAGGGTCGGAATCAACTGTACGTGGAGAATTCTTCCTCTCAATTACCCCGGATGATCGCAGCCCCATGGGGTCTGCCTTATCCAGGACATGCGGTCTGACTGGCATCCATCCCCACCAATTGTGGCTTTCCGGTTGAGGAATCACTCGCAGGTGCGACCGGGGGTTCGGGTACTATCAGAAAGAGATATACACGGTATTGCTAGAAGTCTACCCGGCTTCCCTTGGTCAAGCTGATGACATGCCTGGTCCACACCCAAAAACCCCTAACTTGTGCTGTATTGCTGGGGAAGTTCATTTGCAGTGTTGCCGCATCTTGATCTTCAGGCCTCGCAGCAAGCTGTCTCAGGCCGCACACGGCTGCCGCGACAACTTCTAGCCGGGTTTCGCAGCGCTGCTACTCCTTGACGCATTCTCTGAGTCAAGAAATCAATTCGCGTGAAGTTGTGTGCCGATCCTTCATTTGAGTATTATTAGACAGATTTAGGCCCGGGATTGAGTGCTACAATTGTCGACCCGACACTGTCCGGCGATAGAGGTATATACTGTGGAGAAATTTCTGACATCTTCGCCCAATAGCCTCTCGTTTCTTGCATCGAACTTGCACCATGTCATGTACGGGATTGACCCAAAATGACCGAGTCCAGTCGGAAAAGACGGCAATACTACTTGGTGTGACCCACTGTACTATCGTAATCATCTAGTAGACTACAGACTCAGGCTACTAGGCGACAAAGAGACAGTTCCAGTACTGTGCGGCACTACAGGAGCTTCAATAGCCTAACACCTTGGCAACCCGCGGAAACAGTGAAAGCGTTTTCTGATGGTTGATGCGCGCCATCTCGGCATCAGTGAATTCGCCGTTGCCCTGAATGGCAGGGAGCGCGGCCTCGCTCTGTGAAAGGGGGACATACGGGTCTGAGACATTATAAGATTACTGATCGATTGGACGCAAAACTGCAGGAAAAAGAGGGTGACTCACAATCGGTTCCAATCAGAATCTGTTCCACCCCAATGAAGCTTTTCATGGCAGCGAGTTGAATTGCCGAGGTGGCAGAGGCCGTGTCAAAGTAATAACCTGCAAGCTCCGCCAAGGATTTGGTCATATTTAGGGATCCCAGCAACGACATGGACGCCATTCCGGCAATACGGCTGGCCAGATAGGGCATTGCGCCGCCGCCGTGGGCAAATATCATCTTGACATCGGGGTTCTTAGCTCGCTGGCCAGACAACAACAGATTCTCCATCGCCCGCACGCTGTCGAATGGGTACTCTGTCAAAGGGAACGGGTAGCCCAAGCTCACGGACTGACATCCCGGAGCCGCCGGATGGACAAACACGGTGGCCTGTTGCTCATTCAAGACCGAAAAGACGGGACCAAGAGTCGAGTTGCCAAGGTAGGTACCGTTGGCATTGGTGTACATGCCCACACCAGGGAACTTGAGTGTATCAAGGCAAAACTAACAGATCTATTAGCCAGGATTGTACCACTGGTGGGCAATCAGCCTACCTCCAGTTCGGCTACGGATTCTTCTACATGTGGAAGGGGCAACAGACAAAGCGCCCCCAGTCGAGTCGGATGAGCCTGGGTGTAATTATGCATGGCAAGATTAACGGTGCGGGCGAGCGCATGTGCCTCCTTAGGATCATTGAGGAAGTAGACCCCGGGAGCACTCACGCTAATGGTCGAAAAGTTGATGCCCAAGGTGTCCATCGTGGCCAGGTGTGATTCCAGCGTCCAGTCGGGCACTGGGAAATCGTCAGTATACAGCGTTCCATTTTTCACAGGGTAGCCAGCAGCAATCAGGGCCTCTCTCCAAACCGGAGGAATGACATGAGAGTGAACATCGATCCGGTAGCCTGTGCTGATGTTGTTCGCCCGAAGGTTATGCCCTGCGACCACCCATGCCGACAACACGCCAAGTAACAGAGATCTGATGCCCAGCATGAAGGGCAGAAGTAAAGACAGGGATATGAAGACGAATATTTGATAAAAGAAAGACCGTCTACGATTTCAGGGGATCTTAAAGGACGGATAGCCGAAATCTCGGACGAAGTTTAGTTTCCGGATGAAAATTTATGCCCTACGCTAGGCTGCCAAGTCAGCCGGTTGCCGACTATCGAGAAGCCAATCGGCCGCCGGCATTGTTAGCGGTTTGACACATATTGGACCGGGCGTTGATCGGCTGATCTCGCCAGTGACATAGACCAATGCTTAAACAACGTTGGCCGGATATAGGCATGGGTCCTGCCAAGGCCCTCAGTCGGATATTCCAATCCCGAACCTATCTGTTCAGCTTTTATGACGGAATACGTTAGTTAAGTAGCGTTGATTACGGTTCTTTGGATATTGGCCAAGAAGACGAGTATTATGGTGGTAATGAGCCATCGGATATCCCTGTCGCCAAGGGCCCTAGGGCAGCTTCTACTTGATGTTTAGTGGGATCAGACAGTCAAGCCTCTTTTTCGGCCGCGCGCAGTGTGTGCCCAGCAATAAAGTCTCGTTCTCATCTCACGATGAGCCCATTTGGGCTGGGCTCTACGGCCTCACCATGCAGCAAAGCTTTCCAGTACGCTCGGAGGCAAGTGCCTGAAGCTCGTGCACGGTGCTCATACTGATTGCCGGCTTAGAGTGAGGACCGTGGGCCCTTGATTGTCATCATCAATGGTACCATGACCGGGTTCACAGCGGCCATCGTTGTGCTGCGATTGTAAAGCGGCTAGGCTTGGATGACTGGACAATGATGCTTGCCACGCTCACGGCCATTTTGAATGTTGCCATTGCAGGTCTTGGTATATACATATAGTCCAGATAGCAGTATTGAAACTGATGTCGGATATCCTGCTAGAACCAAATATGGCACAGGGAAACATGATGGCATTCTTCCGAATGCCGATGCGTTACCAGCAGCCAAGGTGCGCCCGCTTGCTCAGATCTATTTTCACCCTTCCCAATGACAGCCTAGTTTCTGACCAACGGCGTGATTGCCTGTAGATTCGCTACGTCACTCACATAATATACACCCTCATTACTGGCCTGATCAAGACGTCAATCTGCCTATTATACCTGCGCCTCTTCCCGAATCTTCGCAACATCACTCTAGGCACCATCGCTTTCATCGCCGCCATGAGCATCGCCATTATCATTGCCACCATCTTCCAGTGCTCTCCAGTGGATGCGGCTTACAACCCCCAAAAATACGACCACTATACGTGTTTCGCATCTATTCCATTTTGGTATACCACAGCCGCACTATCACTGGCGACGGATTTGTGGATCCTAGTTTTACCGATTCGGACAATTTTAGGTGGGAGGGGGCGCCTGGCTTGAGAGGGCTGTACAGCAGATACTTACGAGAGTAGGCCTACAAATCGGACAGATGAAACGCGCGGTCGTCATCGGGCTATTATCCTTGGGAACATTGTAAGGGTACCCCTGGAACGAGTTATAGAACATATGCGACTAACGGGTTGCCCCTAAGTGCCAGCATTGCCAGCATTGTTCGAATGGTTTACATCGTCAAGCTTTACGAGAGCACCGATTCAAGCTGGAGCACATTCGGCGTGTCCGTGTCGTCAGGCATCGAAGTAGCTATCGCTATCGTTGCCGCCAGTTTGCCCAGCACCAAGCCAGTCATCGATTTGATCTTCCCAAAACTGTTCTCTACCACTGCCAAGTCCCATACTACTGGCGGAAGGTTGTATCCCATTCAGGCCTCAGGCCGCAGTCATCGCCAGCATGATGAGATCTCACTTGTTCATTTGACTATGGAATGTGATTCCGGGAAGGATAACTCTACGACCGCAGTGTCTCATGCTTAATGCAACTAGATAGACACCTATTAATGTTTCAGTCCCCCAAATATCTGACAAAAAAAGACACCAGGCTGTTAGGATAAATATTATAAAAGGAATATAAACTAATACATACGACCACGGGGTGTGGGAAACAGGGCTTCCCGTCAGATCAGCCGTTCTTAAGCCACGTATTGCGCTCAATAAATAGTAAATGAGCCTTTCTGCCCTCTGAACCACCATGGCAGTGTTAGGGTGAGTGCTGGTGAGAGGGGTGAGGACTCTATACATCTAATCACCACGGGTGATATGGGCTCACCGAGGGGTAATCAATACTCACCACCTATGAAATACAAGATTTTTGTCGGAGACTAAGATAATAGGCATCCAGATGTTAATAAATAGGCCGTGAGCTCTTGTTACCAAGTCATCATTATCATAGGTTTCTTTCTATCACTTTTCTTTCTATCTTAATCTTCCAGGAGCAACATGTGACTATCACATGACCATGTACACTTACGGCGGGCAATAGCGGCCATAGGGCAAACGATTCTGATGGCTAAGTACGCTCACTGCTGCTCTCACCGCATACTATATTAAGCATATTAGTAGATGATGCTGATTATTTCTCTATATATAATATTTTATATAATAAGAATATCCATTCTTCCTGGCCGCCTAATTCTGCCTGGTACGGTCACTGATAAGAGTGCAGTAACACGTATACCCTCTGCAGTGATTCCAGTGGTCCATCCCACGCCCTGCTGCGTAGTAAATTTGTTAGTCCTAGCTTTGTCAAGAAGAGAAGTATCGCTCTTCTCGTAAGAGTGCTCGGTATTAATAGCCTGAATGAGTTGTTCGTGCTTTGGACTCTTTGGCACGATGTCATAGAGAAAATCCTTGGGGTGGCTGATAAGCGATGGTGTGACATCTAGTTCAACCGGTATCTCGAATCCTTGGGTATCCACAGCATTTTTGATACGAAACGCAGCAAGTGTCTGGGCGATGGTTATGAAGATGCTCGATTCGGTGATGTATCTGCCTGGGCATTTTCTGCGGCCAAACCCAAAAATCACGGCCCTGGGATCTGGTTCATCGCGAGGCTTTAAGAACCGATCTGGATTAAAGACTGCTGGATTTGTGTAGACTTCAGGATCATGGCAAAACCACCATGTTGCAGGCAATAAGTATGCCCCTTTTGGTATGAAATATCCGTTATAGACCATATCCTCCTCTAACACGTGCGGAAACCCCATCGGCACAACCACAGACCATCGATAAACCTCTTTAATTACAGCCTCAAGGTATGGCAGTTTATCGCGATCCTCGAATCCGGGAAGGCTGTTGCACTCGGTCACCATGTCGATCTCTTCTTGTGCTTTTCGCTGGACGTCAGGGAACATAACCATGGCTAAGATAAAGCTTTTTAGCGCTGAGACGGTAGTATCGGAGCCCGCGTAGTATAGTCGCTGCCGACCACTTTACAGCTTCCTCTTCTGGCGGACTCAAGGTTGAAAGTCCAGTACCAGAACTGCTTCTTTCCTCAAGGATCCGCGAAATGTAAGATGGTCGGTGACTCCCAATTTTCATCTGGTTGCGAACAAACGAGTAGGGGATATCTGCCACTTCCTGGCTGAAGCTATTCCATTGTCGTGCTGTTTCTTTAAATGCAGTGCCGGGGAAACCATCTGGTAGGCACTGTACAGCCGGTATGATATCAATAAGCCAAGCCATGGGCATAAACGCATCCGAGATATTGCGCGTCACGCGCTCCACAAGGTCAACCAAGGGGTCTTCTTCATTGGTCTGGATGCAATACCCATATGTTAATCTGAGGATAGTCGCACCTGTCGCCCTGCAAACTAATATTCTAGCAGGCAAAACTGCTGGCTTGTTTCAATGGTTGTACTTACGTTCTGAGATGTTGCATGAGACCTTTCGGCTTCTCCAAAGATCGGACAAGAAATCGACCAGCTTCTGCTTCCATCATATCATGATATGGCTCGGCGTCAGATTTGGTGCCGAGTTGTCTATTAATAAGTTTGCGCTGACGGCGGTACGTTTCATCGTACTTTCGGACCGCAAGAAGGTTTTCATGGCCACACAGCTTATGTCCAAACTCCATTTTGCGGCCGCGATGAAGTCCTGTTTGATTTCTGCTTGAGTAAATCGAGCGCGGCTTTTTTGTCATGAATAATGACCAGCGTTTGGCCCATCACTGTGACGGAATCAATCCCACCGTAAGTGTCTTTGTGCTTAAGCCAATGCTGAAACTCCGGTTTCCCTTTAGGCGGCAAGTCGAAAATATTTCCGATCAGTGGGAGACCATTGGGACCTGAAAGATATCGTTTCTTAAGGGTGTTTCGAAAGCATAGCCGGTACATGAAAAGCCATGTCAAAGCTATGGTTGCAGAAAACAAAAGTATTACACTCATCGCGTGCGACTTCACGGACTAACTGAAGCGACTCTTGGTAGATTATGATAGACTTCTGACGTTTTTCTTTGATTTCGCCGAATAAATGTATCTGATGAATATGGTGGGAGCGGCAAAGAAAATGAAAAGGAAACAAAGACTCAATGCTGGACCTGAAAGCGCTTCTTGGGCGAGCTTATTTACCTTTTTTTCTTTCATTTTTGGGGAGCCACGGCCTAGCCCAATCGGGCCTGGGGAAAATAGCATTTGCGAGAATTCTGTCCCGAATAAATACGAATTATGCGTGGCAATTATTATAAACACAGCAGGGGTTCAGTTTGGCGGTCTGTGTGATGCATATCATACTATTTTCATTGGTTGCTGAATGATCAGCAAGAGATACCATAGTTGCATTTGGCACCTTAATCTTTCTGGCTGGCTAAACAGCAATACATAACTTGTCACATCTATAGCCCCGTGACTTGATTTAACCAAACGTAGCATAATTCAAATAGAGAATGATGTACGTTTTTATCCCTAAGATAGTGGTATGAATCATCACATACAACCATATATACTAGCAGTAATGATGCCCATCAGTGCGAAACTTATATGGTCCAGGCCAAAATCTAATTTGTTATCTCGCCTTAGTCTCGCCGGTGACGTGTACCAAACTCGCTCCTATAATGGTCAGGGTAGTCTGACTGATGGCATGCTCAATTCGGGACCAGTGTCTGGCGTTAGTGGTAGCACTTAACCAGTAACCCCCTAAAGAGTCCTTCCTAATAACAATCATAAAATTGTCTAAAGAGACTCCACGAAGGGAAAACTGAACATAAGAATATACTGGTTTATTAGACAGGGTTGTAGTGCCCTGATGGATAACTGGTGTGGAGAAGTCGAGAGATTCTGGCCTTTTCGCAGAGAAGGCTGGGGAAAAATCGCTATAACCGATACACAAATTAGTACAAACCACGGGGCATCACTGTGCCTGAAAAGTGGGTGATGAAGTGCATGCAGCATTAGGGATGGCCGGTCCAATAGCGAAAATACCTCACGCCAGAAGAACAAGGGGAAGGGTGTCGAAACTAATGGTGGTTGGGAAGGCTGCAATGCTAAGGGGGAAGCAGGCGCGGGCGCATGAACACCCTTCTTGAATAGGAACACTAAACCATATTTAACAATGTGTACCTACCTTATCTATCTGTAAGGCTGACTGAGTGACTGACTTTGCCGCCACTGAGCCGGATTTTAATACTTACCATATAATTGCTTGTGCATCCAGTCCAAATAATCCATTTTCAAGGACAATTCTCATCATAGGAGGCCCCGAAAGTTACATTAATGAAATAGCATTATTTCATTGGCATTTGGCGCTGAAGAGATAAATAACATGTGTGAGGTATTATGTATTACTGAGAAATATCAGCTTTAGTAGCCTGTTTAGTTGAGTATTGGTCCTAAACTAAACAGCATCGTTTCATTGGCATTTAACGCTGAAGAGGGAAATAACATGCGCGGGGTGATTATGTATGTACTGACAAATATCAGCTTTAGTGGCCCACTCACTTAAGCGTCAGTCCCTAAACCAAATAGCATCCCCACCTGGATAAGAAATCCGATACCTGAGCTAGAAAGGTCTATAAAGCAGTTATTCGTACCTAGCTAGGTAGTAGAGAACAACGATTGACTGACATACCCGTCCTCGTCCTATATTCTCTGGCCGCTTTCAATTTGCGACCTATTTATTGAAGGTGCGCGTTGGAAATCAGGATCAGAATATGTCAACCCTCGAGCAGTGCATGTCCTCCCTTGGACCAGACGAATCGCATCGACTGGGACTCTACCGCTGTCACATAGAATCTTTTTACGCAACCCGCCTCGAATGTATCACAGCGGGATCACACGTCCAAGGATGTGTCTATTGCCACCAACAGAAAAGCTGATGTAGGCAGGTATGGACAAGTATCGTGAAATGGATCCAGCTTCTTAACAGACGCTCGGTCCTTCCTGAAACTATGTCCGACTTCGCAAGCTACTTGGGAATTGCTTCGGCCCTCAATCTACGCTACAAGGAAGCCCGCACAGCGATTGACCGCCTCGGATGCCCCGTCGATGACACCCTCGGTAGACTACGAAGAAGCTTTCCATCTCTGAAGTTTAGAGGAAACTCAACAATCCAGGCTTTGCTCCATGGAGCCACATCTGAGATGTAGTTTCATAGTGAGAAACTGTGCGCGTTCCGGCCATTGAATGAAACCACTGCTGTCGATGCGATTCGAGAGCTATATACCACCCTGGCAGTTGTTCTCACTAATAGCCCGGGGCCAGATCCAACTCGGCCGCTTCCGCTTAGTAGACATTCAAGCAGCCTGCGGGTCTCTGGCGATGTCACCTTCGCCTGCGTCATGTATGCCAGCTGTTGGTTCGGAGATTACGTCCCTTCCTCGATTCCTCTTGTGCTTGAGATATGGTGTGCATGGTTTCCTACACGTCAGTCAGACGCCGATGTGTGTTTTGTACCTGCGAACCATCAGTATGTCGGCACTGGCCAGCATGATGCCCGCTACGAGTTGGAGGGCCATAATGCACGCGGGTTGTCAACTTCACGCTTCGAAGCCTCCTACCCAGAGTCCGTCGCCACCGTGCACTTAATATCAACTCGTTTCGTGACATCATGGTTTTACGAAGCGGGATGTTGGTCTCAGACTGCGTAGACCACGACAACCGGGACATTGTAGCCTTTCTACAGAAGGCTGCACAACTTCCCGCGTTGATCATCCCCTCAGAGGCTATCGACCTGTGGTCCGGACAGCCGCTCGCCGAGCTCGACCGACTTGGCTTATACATACGACAGGTGAAGCACCTCACTGTCTGCACTCCAAGTCCTCGCAGAATGACCATAATATACACCTTTTTGTACTCTTTAACAAGCTCGCGGCAAAATGCTCATGTGCGTGGGCGAATAACACCTGATTCAAAGAAGAGCGTCAGCTGCTGTCCTGCCCCTTTTTGCAGCCAAAACGCCCCACCGCGTGAGCTTGATAGAGACTTGCCGTTATCACACAGTTCAGCATGGAACCCGCTGAGGCTCGTGTTGCAGGCAGCCCTTCAAGAAGGACTGGCCGCCGAGGAATGGCAGGTGAGTATAGACGCCCGAGTACGTCTATGCGATGAGTGGTCCCGCGGGTTGCAGCCTCAGTTCGGACAGTATAACCCTGTCGCAGCGGCGGTCGACGTGGCACCGCTTTGTATTCGAATTATGTTACGTCTAGCTCAAGAGATTTAGATTCCAGCTCCTCAGTTTACCAACACATTGTTTCAACATTGTTGAAAAGAGTACTCACCGCAAGACTAGTTGCTGGGATACAAATTTGGGTTTTATACTTCGTATGTACATAGCCAAGTAAATGTTCAAGCAGTTCCTGTAGCTCAAATAGAAGAGGCAGGCTCGTAGCTAGCCTTTCTATGACCCTTATCAAGTATAAAACACAAACTATTGAAAGTTTTCTTCTGTTCAAACAGATGACTTAGGATTAGTTCACAGAAACTACTTTCACACGGACGTACTCACATTTTTAGTTTGCCCGGCGTAGGCTGACATCTTACTACTTTAAAAGTTCTCTATATAATATTGATTATTTGTGGCACAAAATCTTCATTTTCTCAAGTGGTCGTGGTGTTGAAAATCGGGCGGCAGGTGGTAAAGTACGTTAGTAATTAGCGCAACGGAGCTTCTTTTCCAACGGCGTTATGCAAGCTGATTGGACTGCAGATTATTTGTGATCATACTACAGAGTATGCAGATCTCATATAGTAGTTCAGCAAAAGGCGCGGGCTGCTGTTCGTCCCCACGGATGCAGGCAATGTGAGCTGTCTATTCTCGCCCAATCTTCCCAACCAGTCACTATACGGATTCGAATCTACACTGAAACATTCCATACGGGCAGCAATGTAGCCTTCACTCCGGTCTTATTTTTTCTATGTTTTTTCTTTTTTTATTTTCTTTTCTCCCTTCGTGGATTTTAACTCCGTGAAATTTGGTGAGGTTGATTTACCCCTCATTCTATCTATTTTGACTGAACGATAGAATGGCCATGTATAGTTTTCGCAGATCGACCAAAGCCATGCCGCTCCTAATCACGACTCAAGCCGCGGCCGGAGTGACAGTGGGGGTAACCTTCATGACATGCGGCATTCTGTTTGCGACGGTCACCTTCCGTCTCGACCGTGACCCCCAACTGATCCAGGTGCTGAGCGACCTTGCCTGGCTGTACTTTACCATGTTGATTCCAATGTTGATCCTGCAAGTCCTCCTCGTTGCCCAGGTCATTCGCTCTGATCGCCGTGTGCAGCCGGTCGTGCCCTCGTGGCTTGCATTGACCAATGAATTTCTTCCATCTGGGTGGTTTGGTGTCTTGGGGACTCATTGTCTGCATCACGGTCCTTTTCCATGGAGTGGAGGGATCCCGTTCTGGCTCACAGCGGCTACCTATTTCGTCCATATGACGCTCGGCACGGCTTTCTTTTGGATCGCGGCCGGAGAGATAGAGGGACAATGAACACCACCGGGAATGCTGGCGTCACCCCCTCTTTGCTGCTTTCTGAGTATGACTCAATTTGCAAATGCCGATGGTGGGATACTCTCCTAGACAGGTCCCGATGGTTTTTCAGGGAGTCTGGATTGGCCCAGCACCAATCCCTGGCTGATGACCGGCCTGACCCGATGATTCTGCGCTGGGTAGGCTGGCTCACACTGGTCTGCACGGTGGCGTGGGCGCCTGGTCTCGGGGCGAATTTGGTCCACGACGGCCCAATGGCGTAGAATGGGGGCATCACCTTTTGGGTTCCGATGGTGGCGTTTTTTATTTAGCAGACGGTTTGGGCTGGTATATCTGGAAGGCGTCGGAAAAGCCCGATACGGTCAGCCAGGAGGAGCGGTCGAGTGAGGATGCTTGGTACTAGGATTTCGTTCTCTTTCTATCAGCTGAACTTGGAGAATGCTATATGAATTCAATTATGCCTGATACAATTAGGAATAGTCTACAAGGTGAGGAGGTTGTTGGAAGATTGCGTGCTTGAATTGCTGATAAGCATCGGCAATGTGATTAGGGAAGGAGAAACTGTTGGTGTAAAGTATCAGAGTCACTAGTTACAGAAAGCCTGGCCCCACCTCACATAATATCCAATTGACCAAAAATATATCTGGGCACAAATTTGCAACCCTTGTTAGTATTTCTACTTTAATAGGAGATGTTTTCTGCCGCGCCAAGCCACCTGCTCAAGGTAATTAGCACTGATGTCATCACTGAAATTATTACCCACAGTAACTCCATCTCCACGGCTTTTTTCAGGGAAGAAGAATGCCCCCTCACCTGGTTTAACCATCTGAAATCATAACTATGGAAATCAGAATCATGCTGACCCACCCATGGGGCCCACAGTTCGGTGGCTAGCTGAAGTTGAATCACGCGGGCTAGATACTGTGGAGTAAGATAAGTAAAATACCATCAAAAGTAAAACAGATCCATTAGCTCCTACATTATATGAAATCCACTTCAGCTCCAATGAAAACATATGTCGAATTAGCACCGCATAAGGACGGTGTCACATGAAACTTGCTCATTGAATGTCCGGATTATGTAGGTAAGTGAAGACTCGATAGCTAGTCATTATGCGATGATTTAATCATGCAGCTTCACTTACATGGTTCATGGTACACGGCTTTGCCGAAAAAAGAAAAAAAAAGGCGATAGGAACTTGGCTAGACAACAGGACAGCCTCCTAGTGTCAGCGTCAAAATGAAATATGACTGTTCCCGTGCTGCATGTACTAACCATCTGCATTAAATGTAGATTATTGATCTTAATTTACACAATTGCAATTATTCAATCGACTCTATCTAGTGTATATCCAGCCAGGAAATGTTCTACAGATGTGGCAATAATAAGACAAACAGACGAATAATCATGAACAACACAGGAAGGACTTATCAGAAGACGTTGCTGTAGTACTCTGTGATACCATTTCGACTTATGATTGAGGACTCAGACGTACGCACTACTACTGCTCACAGAGCCGACTTTAGATTAATGATGGGAAGGATTGGCACGCTATTACAAATTAATCTCGGTTTCTATATTACATGCCATCTACTAGGTTTTGGTTCCTAATAAGTATCATAGTGGATACGCCGTGATTATAACATGACGGCTAACCAGCCACTTTGCATGATAGGCTCTAGGAGCGGGCCGTGGCTGAAGAGCTGAGCATTAGTATTCTGCTTATCTTACTCTGCACTATCTAGCCCGCGTGATTCAACTTCAGCTAGCCACCGAACCATGGGCCCCATGGATAGGTCAGTATGATTTCTGACTTCCATAGGTATGATTTCAGATGGTTAAACCAGGTGAGGAGATATTCTTTCTCTCTGAGTAGGGCCGTAGGGATGGTGCTACTCTTGGCAACAATTTCAGTTCAACATCAGGTGGATTATTAAGCATTACTTCCCCTCTTCAACTAGTTAGCTTAGATCCTGTGCAATTGCTACTTGGATTTTAGTAATACTATAGATGACCTCATGCATAGCACACACGGATGAATTGACCATGTTCCACTGAGTAAATGATATTGAAAGATTTTTGGTCGGACGGTATTTCTGTACGAATTTTACAAGAATTTTACCTCATTCAGGATTGCCGTTCGCGCTTGCTGATTGGACCCTTGAGTGAGGGTTTTAGCTTTTTTTTTGGTTATATTTGCTTTTTATCCCAATCCCTCTTCATTTCTTCTAAATCTAGAAAGCCCATTCGCCACCCGTTTCTGATGATGTAAAGATTAGAAAGTAAGAAAACAGATCGATCAAAAAATGAGACTCTTGTGCCTTTGCTATGCGTCCCTAGGGGCTCCTCGGGCCATACGAACAGACGACTACCTAGTTCGATTACTACTATCGAGCATGGAACAGGAATTATGCCCTTTATACAGGCTTGGTTGTGACTCTACAACAATATTTTGGGCTACTTCAAGTTACAGTGACCGCTAATGAAGAATAACATCATAAACCAGAAAGACTCAGGCCGCGGCCAAGGACGAGAGCTAAAGGTATATCTTCTTTGTCTACTTTTTGTGACAGTCCCAATCGCCGCAGCTTTCCTCGATTGTCAGTTGAAATAAATATCATTCAATTTTGCAAATATTACTTTCTCAAGCTGTGACAATTCCCGTGCCTCACGAAAATTCCTCCCCCCCCCCCAACCAAAAGCATTATTTGCTTTATAATTCTCGTGGATTCAATTTGCATACCTGTATTCTCTCTTCGTTAGGACTCAGACGCAATGAATCCCCACATGGTCCGCCTGGACGGAGTTAGTGGTAGTGATCCTACATCTATTTCACCCTCCCCAGACTCCGCAGTTGACCAAAAGCTTTTGAAAGCGGTCTGCAGAGTCCTTGAAGAGGTACAGTCGGATATTTTTGAACTCAATGGCGAGGGTTTGCATCGGATGACAAGGCTCTCGTTTCTATGAGCATCTATCGTCGTGGGAATAGGCTGTCTAGTAAATAGTAGAGAAATTTATTAAGACCATCCCATACACTATAGTTCATAGGTTATGTATTCACGCCCTGCCATAGCTAAGCAAGATACTCTCACCAAGTTTTGTCGCAACTAAAGCTCCAAGAGCGAATCACATATGCGATGCTCTTGCCGGGAACCGAGTATCCACTTACATTCTGGTGCTCTGGGGAGGCTGAAGTTGTGGCTTATTCTTGAATTTGAACGTCGACCTTTTCCCCAGACCTGTCTTCCCCTCTACAATAATGTACCATTGAAGTCGGCGTTGTAGCTACTTGCATCAGCAATCATTGACTGATTGTAAGCAAAGAGGAAGAGGTAACATACCTTGATATGGCCCTCATCAAGCCAAGGCACCAAGCGGCATAGATATATAAGCCCGACAAACACCCCATAAAGTAAGCTCAGCACAAGCGACCACGCCCTCGTTGTTCCCTCGAATCCAAGTTGATTCGACAGCTCACTCCCATTCAGCCAGTACGTATTAGCCATAAGAAGTGACCGTGGCACATAAGGTAGGGCGTCATCCAGGGCTCGGAAAATATTCCTCGCCAACAGACCACTTTTCTCCGTAGGATGCAGTTCAGCCACTAGATACGACTCTAGCATGACCTTTGCCGAGTGCGGAGTCTTGAATGGCTCAGAAGGCGTCCCCATGTAATGCGCAACTAACCTCCACATGGCGATACAGTCGGACACTTCCTGGTTTGACGGGTAGATTCCCTGCGCCGGAAGGCCTATGAGGAGGATCACGGCTGAGAGATCGAGTACTGTGACGATGGAATCGATATCGTTTATTGGGATGCCGTGTTCCTTTACATTATAGGTGGACTGCGACGAGTCCCTTTGAATAAGAGCCATGAATTGGGTGCGGACTATCGCGTGGAGAAATCGGACTCGTAGACAAGCGATTTGGCCCGTTCCGCCGGGCTGTAGTGCGGATAGGGATTGAGTTACTTCGAGGATAAATTGGGCGGTTTCGAGGATTCGGCGACGAGCTGTCTGTCTTCCGAGGCCGGATGTACGTGCGAGTGTTTCGGCTCCACGGCCGGGGCCCCTATTTGATATCAAGATCATGCGATACGATTGAAGGAATGGTACTTACATCGCACCGATGAGGCCTTGGAAGGCTAGCTTTGCTGTATCAGTAAATGTACGTTTCTCTATACTAGCAAGGTGGCCTACAGAATTCAAAGCAAGTATATCATATCGATAAAGGACCTTCTGACCTCTTTCTATTTGCGCCCAGTCAACCCAGTCCGGAATGGAATGTACTTGACCCCATAGCTTGCGTAGTTTCTTGTCTTGGGTATAGTTGTCTCGCAAGAGAGTGTATAGATCTGGGTTCAGCGGGGCTTGTTCAGTAGGGCCATGACTGGGCTTGGAGACAATTTGCTTCAATCTGAGATAGCACTCTTCACCAAGCACATCGTACGAATATCTCATAGACTGTAGCCCCTCTGCTGGAATATGATCTGATGTCCATTTGAACGAGTGGTTCCAGATCTTGTATGTCTTCTCAGACATGATGTGCAACATTCACATCTCAGAGATAGGGAATACCTCTTACCAACCTATATTAGATGGAGAATATGGAATTCCAAATGAATGATTATGACCGCAAACCTGATTATTTTGTAGTATATGCCATGTACATTCTTATTGGCCAGATAGAAATCTTCGCTGGCGGTGTGACATCTTTCAGCTGAGTATTCTGCACTATATAATTTCAAGGCATGCAAGGTATCAATAGTTTATATTGCTTCTTTTACCCCTCTTCTTCAGTCCGTCTTGTCTCATGCTTCTTTTCCCTTTCTTCTTGTTTTCTCTAGTTATCTCTTTCTTCTTACTACCTTGGGCTTGCCATTACTTGAACTTTTAGATATTCTAGATATACGAGTTGGCAGAATTAACGTGGAGTTTTGAGTGTGTTGAGAATGAAGGAGCTGATCGTTTCTCTCGAGTAGTTATACAGCAACACCCACCTTGACACACCCACGACCCGGAACTTCCTCTCAACATGAGCGGCCATCATGCGTAAATCTAGAATCCTAGTTGTGTAACATTATAAATCCTAATCCGTAACCCCCACCGCAATCCTTCCCAATGGATGTTTGTATTGGCTAAGGAAATTACTATTATGGAACTGCCACGTATATAACTGAACAATAGTGGAGTGAGCCTAATGGAAGCAGCCTTGGGAAACTACTCATCACGCGCTGAATGGGCCTTACCGACACTTTTAGGCGTCGGTCAGCTTGTGAGGGGTAGGTAGGGATTAGCCAGAAGTAGACAGAGAAGGATTACCTTAGTCTGGCGTTTCCTCATATTCTAAAAAACATATAAGTCTTCCAGGATGTCCTCTAACCTGGTAGTATAGTCCCTTCTTGTTATCCATTAAGTCAAAGCCTATACTTTTCAAGCCAAAGCAAAATGGACACCCACAACGAGAGAGTTCATCAAGTCTCACAAAAAGTTAAAGCCTTTTACGAAACCAAACAACCCTTCTCCATCTACCATGGCTCAACAAACAGCACGCGAGCCTCAAACAAGACAAAACATAACACCGTCGACATCAGCCATCTGAACAAAGTGCCCGCTGTAAACCGAGAAACGAAGACTGTCATTGTCGAACCAAATGTCCCTATGGACGTTCTCGTTGGCGCAACCCTACCTCATGGTCTTATCCCACCAGTCGTGATGGAGTTCCCGGGTATAACAGCTGGAGGTGGATACTCGGGGACATCGGGTGAAAGCAGCTCGTATGAATATGGATTCTTTGAGAGGACGGTGAATTGGGTTGAGATTATTCTCGGGAATGGGGAGGTAGTGCGTGCTTCGGCTGATGAGAATGAGGATTTGTTTTATGGTGCTGGCTCCTGTTTTGGGACGTTGGGAATAACCACTTTACTGGAGATCAGACTTATTGAAGTCCCGCCTAGCCCCGTTGTGGAACTGACGTACTTTCCTTTTTCAAATGGTGTGCAACAGGGGGTCAAGCTCATTCAGGACCTCAGCTCAAACAGTTCATACAAATACATCGATGGCATCGTCTTCAGCAAAACCGCCGGCGTTATCTGCGCTGGAAAAATATCATCAGCCGAGAAAACCCCCTATCAACTTCGGACATTCAGCCGTCCAACAGATCCCTGGTTCTACATGCGTGTTGAAGCCGCCGCTCGCGCTTCAAACTGGGGCCAGGAAAGCCCAATCACAGACGCCGTCCCGCTTGTCGATTACTTCTTCCGGTATGATCGTGGCGGATTCTGGGTTGGTAAATACGCGTTCGAGTACCTCCTCCTCCCGCAGACAAAGTTTATGAGATGGGTAATGGACGGGATAACGCATACACGAACACTTTACCACGCTACACATAAGAGTGGTTTATTTCGTGAATATACCATCCAGGACGTTGCAGTTCCGTATGCAGGCGCGAGGGATCTGATGGAATTTGTGGATTCATCGTTTGGGCAGTATCCTATCTGGCTGTGTCCTGTGCGGCAGACGTTCCCGAATACACCAGCCCAGGTGGAGCAGCAACAAGTAAAGATGCTCTCTGAACGAGACAATATCCAGGAAAAGCTGCTTAACTTCGGCATCTGGGGTCCCGGCCCCAAAGGCAAAGGACCCTTCCTCACCTTCAATCGTAGCCTTGAGAGTCTCGTTCACAAGCTAGGTGGTAAGAAGTGGTTATATGCGCGGACGTACTACACAGAAGAGGAATTCTGGAAAATCTACGATAAGGAGAAGTTGGATTCGCTGAGGGAGAAATATCATGCGACTAATTTGCCGGATATATATCAGAAGGTGAAGCCGATGGTGGAGGATAGTGTGGGAGGAAGTGGGAGTGAAAGTGCGAGTTTAGGCAAGGGAAGAAAGTCTTGGGGGGAGTGGTTGGCAGAGAGGGTTTGGCATCAGTGGCCTTTGGGTGGGTTGTATGGGCTTTATCATTTATTGTGGAATAGGGATTATTTGTTGCAATAGACAGGTCTTTCATAGAAACTTTAAGCCATTAATTTATTTCATTCTCAACAGCAGGCAAGTCAATGTGTTCAAATGTCGTATATTATTTACCTCACACATGAAATGAGCTTGGCCTGCCAATATATTTGCAAAAGTCCTAGATTAACATCAAGTAGTGTGTGGACGTAGGGTGCTTGGTAGTTATTTCCATATATTACCCCTCAGGTACAGAATAGCTGATTCTATAGAATGACTCGCTGTTAAGAAAAAGGCTTCTAATCATATCATACCATAGTATCTGGAGCTAGGCGTATTCATAGTTATAAACATAGACTCAAGTGCTTAATTATAATTAGACTGCCAGCTCGACATCTCCGTGAATGATTATTCTATCACTTTTGATGGTGAGAAGGCTTGTAAATACAGTCTAGCAGTAATAATCATGTCTCATATAGTATAAAATATGCTATGTCTTGTATGTCATGATTGCTTGATTCTGCAAGAGATAGATGACAGATAAGAGGATACTCTTCGTAACCTCATACCTCAAAATGGCGTTAGCGTGGATGTGCGAATACAGTACTTTTAACATTAGATTCAGTACTAACCATCGCATATATAAGAGTATCGTCAAAAATCAAACCACCAGCTAGGAATAATTTGATCTATATATATTATTACCTCAAGGGTAATAGTGCCACAGACTTGCTGCTGGAGACTGTAGTACTCTATAAATGCAGTACCATCACCCTACTAAAGATCCAAAGCTCATAAAACGTGGCCTATATAATATACTGGAAAGGTCCATACTTCTTCCTTCTCGTTTGCTCTATCTTAATCACTACTAGTAGTTTAGAATGAGAATATAGGACTCCTTAAAATTACAGTAACAGTACATCAACAATTTCATAGTTTAATACCCATTAACCTATATATAGGCCCTTTCACGAACCTGCTATCATCAAATACTATAAGGATTTCAGTGCGTCGAAATAATCTTATCCGAAAGTCTCCATATCTTTAGCTCATTATGTTTAATGCACAGAAGGTATGCTGGAAAATACGCAGTCACTTAGGGACAAGGATTAAGCAGCGCACCGCTAGTAGGCCAGGTGATCATGAAGCCTCCTGAGCGAGATCTAATGAGGGGATAGACAGCTAAGAGCGAATAAACAGTAGTCTCAAAATAAAGACACCAAAGTGACAGACACCCAATTGACAGACACCCTACTATAGCTGTTTGTAGCATGAGACTCTACAACAAAGCCAATCCATTCAGAGCTGGTACAGCTGATGATATGAAATTGGTTACTGGGAATAATGCTACTATCAAGTAATAACATATATTTCATTATTTTCGTCATAGCCTACTAACTGTATAAAGATACATTGAATATATAGGATATACTGCTTAATTGAAAAGGTCTGCTTCTTTATTCTGGAGCAAAAACTCGCTTATATTTATACCCAGATCGATAAATATGTGGTGACTTGTTCCTATGATTAAAGCCATAAAAATATAGGAAAATGATATTAATTTCATAACAATAAGCATAGAAATAAGCAGTAAAATGCTGCAATGAACATAGTGAAAATGTAACGGGAATGGAGACGATAATAGAAAGAATTACTGTGTGTTGTAAACCGATTATATATTAAGTGAACAGAGATCTATTTGAATCAGTAATAATACTGTTAGAAGCAGGTAGTATCATATGGCAGTGGTGGATATCTCTTTTTCTATTTCTGAACTGGTTGAATTGGAAATCTCGGCCCTCTGACAGTACTATCTTTGCTAGTGCTGTATTGATAAATCCAATGGCTTAATCCCGGGAATCAAAGCATAATGATAATTTATCACAGTCTGTTTAATTAATAACTAAATATCACACTTAGCTGGCGAGCTCTTGTTTATGGATTAATTCTCTCTGTATTATAAGATTCAGCAGGGGTAGTGGTACATATTAGTGACTTGGATGTGGCAGGATACAGTATCTATATTTTAATTATATTCTTGATATTACTCTCTCCAGTGCTGAAAACCCAATTCAGAGTTATGTGAAGTAAGATACTACAGGTCTTATTCACTACTTTGAAGTTAGATACCATGCTATTCTCTGCTGTGAGGTAGTTGGCAATACATCAGATGCCTTGTATTATATTTTGTTGTCATTGCTGTATTAGTACTTGAAGAGCTTGAGGATAGTACAGAACAAGAATATAGATAAATATAAATATGATAATAATGATCAGGATGAAAGTAAAGGAAAATAATTCCTTATAACAGATGAATACTTCTGGAATAGTATAATAGATCAATATACTAGCCGTCAGGTGGCATGAGAAGGTTAAAACTATAAAATGGACTAACTAGGAAAATGAAAGACGCTGTGCGGCAGGTTTAAGAGAAAATACTTATTTCTAACTATATCTGGGATCCTCTGGCAGAAAATCAATAGCGCGTAGGACAGGAACTATGTGTGATATACCCAGCTTATGGTTCTATATTAAAAGTCTGTTAATTTATAAAATCCTTCATTATCTTCCTCTGCTGACCTTAGATATTCATAAGATACTGATTTTATTTATCAGAGAAGAATAGTGTCTCGTACTCCAAAAAGTCTATTTTACAGATCATGTATTATTCACTACTTGATTTGCTTTTTTGGACCTTATAAAATACTTCTGTAACCTGAAGGTATATCAACTGAATGACTAGATTAAGATTATTTAAGATTTGCGTCTATTACAGGGGATGTAGGGATTGGATGTACATGATTAAATATTATTTGAGCCATGGAGATATTCATATTTCTCTGTTATAATTATTTTGATGTCACGGAATGTGGTGTTTTCACTGACTGACTGAATAATAAATATTAATACAGGCTCCAGTCAAGTATAGAACTTAGAGATTCTACAATTAATTCTGCGACTTGTCTCATTGTCCTTAATCTTGATTAACTTGAGATTTAGATCAACCGGCTTCACTACCAATATTTTATTGATATATTCAACCTCACTATGGCGTCTTCTTCATGTGAATCTAAGTAATTTTAAACTAGCTCTTGGTTTTATATCATCTTGTTTACCTTATCAGGGCCCGGTGAAATCTGATAGAAAACTGATTTCTACCCATTACAGACTTGACCAGCTGCGATAATCAAGCACTTCTTGCTAGTATTATACCAGCTGTTGTTTTTAGTTCCCTGACAAGGATGGTGGGAAATTTGTAAACCAGATGGATCGAAAGTCAGTCAAAATATTGGCTGCCTGTGCTGCAATATTACTAAACACCAAAGCAGACGGGAAGCCGATTAACATAGGAAGAGTACAAATTCTGATTCATCCTCTAACAGTGTATTCTCATTTGAAAAGTCTGGATAATAAATAACAGCCCCAGAATACAGGGTCTCTGGGGGTGCTTTTGACTGGGTTATTATTATCTTAAGATAATATAGTTATGGGCTCAAGCGGAAAGGAGATAAAAAGAGACTGAGTAGACTAGAAGAAGATTAACAGGAAAGTACTGTAGCAGAACATATCATTTATCAATTTCTCCTGCATAGGCTGATCTGTTATTAAACAAAAAAGTCTTTGTGATCCACTGTTGCTCCACCATATTCTTACTTCATTGACAACTTGACTAAGAGGGATTTTCAGCCCTTGGTCTAATATTCTAGTCTAGTCAAGGCAGATGGCTGCTGGACAGTTCCGGTGCCATCTGCATGCGGGCAAAGACAATAGTTATACATGGAGTGGGATGAAATGGTGATTCCTTAGGGTCTAGAGTAATTTCTAACAGGATACAGGATCTAGATAGCTACAATAGTCTGTCTACCCATACTTCACGTGAACAGGGAAATGAGCATGGTTTTGAATGTGAGGATGGCTACATATTATCAAAGGATCATTGCCTGAGAAACTTGTTCCATGTACATAATAAGAAGCTGAATGGTTTTTGAAAACCATGCCAGCAGGATTTATAGTAGAAAAACTATTATATTAAAGATTAAAAGACCCAACTATTGAATCTGTTAATAGAGCGCAAAGACTAAAAAGCTTGTGTATCTACTATCTGCCCATAGACATATTTATGTTGTGATTGTAATGGTGTACTCATCTACTAGTGACCTACCCAGGTCCAGTATCTTCTCGTTGAACTCCTGTTCATGGAGAAGATTGCTGTTGACTTTTATCTTGTATACTATACTGGTGACTTCTAGTTTCTTCACATCATCAGCTTTCCAATTAGAAGCCAAAATGACGGTTTGTAATCCCAGTACTAAAAGAAACTGTCAATGTTCACTTCTATTACTTTATTCAAGATTGCAGGAGATCTGTTATACTTAATTGGATAAAGCATTGAAGTAGTGTTGTTGCTTTGCACGGACAATACTAGAGTAGATTATTATAGTTCGTTCAGCTTGTCCTGGCTCAGAAAAAGTGTCTCAGCAATATATTTAGAAATGACTTATAATTGGGCTACTGAAATCTCAGCCAGCTCGGTGTCATGGCCAGCTCAGTATCAGATTATTTTATCAGAAATATGTTTGGAGATATCATAACATACTGATCTAGTAAATACATAGAAAGATACCCCAGTTTTGCACCTAGTTATATAAACTACTAGGCAGGAATCAGGGCCTAGACAACTTTACTAGTAGGCTTGATGCAAACCAAGCACATTAAGGACCGTTAGCAATCTGTCATCCCTTGTCCTCCATTACTCACATGCTCCACTACTGACGGTCCCCATTGCCATGGTTTTCCATTCATGGTCAGAATAACAGGCAAGGCCTTGTCGGTGAGTCTTATATCGTGATCAGTACTCGGTGCCAAATATAGCGGTCTGAATCTGGCATCCGGCATGCCTAGCTAGCCCCTTACAGCCTACGTTTGTCCAGATAATCGATCAGCGAAATAGCATATTGAAGTGTTATAAAGCCTATCTCACTTCCTGTTTCTAAAGGTGTTTGAGCTCTGCACAACTGAGTGCCTTGTATTGGCACTCAAACGATCGCCAGTCAGTCGAAGTCCACAACCACCTTACCAAAGTGGCTTCCCTTCTGAAAATAATCAAATGCCTCCTTAAGCTCACAGAACTTGAATGAATGACCATCAATCTGTGGCTGAAGGTGGCTTACTTCAATGGCAGCATTCATATCCTCTTGAAGCTGTCGACTACCAACCAAAATTCTTCGAACGGTCGCTAGCACGGAGCTATGAGAGGTGCCCGCCCCCGCTTCAGATCCTCCTCTTCGTCCAATGGTTGCGATACATCCATCGTTAGCAACTGCTTGGGAAGATTGAGCCATAGTATTGGCAATCTCGACCACAAAATCAGCTCCTCTCTTTCGGTGCGATTGGCGTTTGGCCGTCTGGCCCCATTCGCTATCCTCGGCATAATTTATTATCACATCTGCGCCTAATTCTCGCAACTTTGCACCCTTCTCCACACTACTAGTTGTCGAGATGACTTGTGCGCCCCCGAGCTTTGCGAACTGGAGAGCAAATATGCTAACACCGCCGCTGCCTTACGCCAGAACCACATCACCCGGCTTCAACTTTTTAGGACCACCATAAAGGGCATTCCACGCTGTCAGTGCAGCACACGGTAGAGTTGCAGCTTCAAGGTAAGACAGGGTGGATGGAATCTCCACGCAACCATGCTCGTTGAAGACAGCGTACTCGCGAAATACCCCGTCATAGGTTCCGCCCAGCTGATTTTGAATGTCTGAATCCTTCACTGAACCATAGAGGTGTGTCAAATGAAAGATAGGTGAAACCCGTTGTCCAGTAGTAAATCTGGTCACCTTTGGGCCAACTTTGACAATTTCGCCCGCAGCATCAGAGCTTTATTACCAGTCAGTACTCACTTACTCACAACCAAAATAGTACAAAGCCTGAGTACTCACCCAGGAATTACTCCCTCCTTAGTGTTGACATAATATTGTCCCTGCCGTTCAATGTTATTTCGTTGCTTCGATTCTCGAAATACCCAACAAATCGAAAGCATGATACGATCTCACATTTGCAATCATGATGTCTCTGAAGTTGAGTGAAGCTGCGTGGAACTTTACCAGAACCTCGTAGTCACTTGGCTCGGGATCCGGAACATCTTGGCGCTGGAGGGAATCCGTCCCGCAAGTTCCGCTCAGCACCCACTGCTTCATTGTCGGTTGACCGTTAGACCGATTCATCATAGGGAAGAGCGGAAGTGAACAATTTAAGATTAAATTCGAATTTGTTTTCGTTCTATTAGCTTGGATAACGGTTCTCCTTGTAAAGTCAAATTAGCCCATTGAGACAGACGCAAAACGAACTGCTTTATAGTTAACTGTTCGGGAGGGGATTTGTAATATGAATACCCCACCCTCATGGCGGGAAGGTTCCCTAATACAGTATCCCGACGGAGGCCTTATCTGGATTTGTAGCTTCCGTCTCTGAAGGCAACAACCTTATGTCACCATCAATTACATCGAGTCAGTTGCTATAGAACATGTTGGAACGTAATCTCAGTAGATCATTCAATAGCCATAGACATGCAATCCTGAAGACTTGTATTTTAACTGCTTCTCTGAGTTATCTAGATAGGAAGAATCAAGCGTTTCCTACAACTTCAATATTGACCTAAAATGTTGTTCCAACAGGATATATGAACAATCACCCTATGTTATCAGGTATCAATATCTCTAGATATTTTATTAGTGGCTAGAAGACTGCATTTGCGAGGTTGGAGGAGTGAAAATGATCGGCCCTATAGCGGCACTGTATTTACCCAAAGAATATGCTTGTGGCAGCTGGCAGAAGGATAGTTTGGGTGAATTTTGATATTGCTACAATATTTAGCAGCATGGACTCTCGCGAGAAGGTATGTTGCGATTATGAAATCGAACTCCTCGAAACTTTTGAAAATCTTCTGGTTTGCATAACTTCCTTTAACTCGATCCTGATAATAGTAGCCGACAAAATGAAACATCAGAGTGATGACAAGTGACAGATCCTTTCGCCCAACACAAAGTATTACTAAGTTATATGCCACTACCACGAGCAAACCGAATTGGCACAATGTAATAATAAGGTGTAAAGGGAATTATGCAGACACAACGATCGTAAACATGATAGCAGATCATATCTTCTCTATAGGAATGCCTGAATGTCGGAGATGGCCTTCGGCGCTATCTTTTTTTGCACCTGCTTCACACACGCACCGCCGAAGGAACGCATGAAACCCTTAGTCGGAATTCTTTTCCTATACTGACCAAGTTTTCTTTATATATACCTTCATCTCAGCACTGAATTCTTTCATAGAATTAAATCAGACAAATACAACGCAAGATACAGCAACTTGACTCCTAACTCCGTGCGTGAGGTCACAATTAAATACAAATTTACCTTCAGTGATAATGTTCTGATCATGTATATGAGCTTACACATAGTGCTAGAATTTCGCTGATCATCAGTATGCCCTTCTTGGAACAGTTGTTTGACATTATTGCACTTCTCGCTGGGAAACAGCATGTGCATATGCCCACCATAATTGAACCCACTCGATCATGGCTTGGATTTCTCGAATGTTTGTGAGAGTATTGCTTGACTCGCCCATATCATTGTCCAATATGTTCAAATAAACAACTAATTGCTCCTTCTGCGACAGGCGTGGAGCACACGGACATCTATGGGATTATTCCGTCATCGGTAGACAAAAACGCGAATCTGAACCGAGAACTTCTGAGACAATTACCAAGGTGTAGCTCCTCAACTATACCATATTGGTTTCTTTTTCTACGTCGAAGTAATCGTGGAATTTTTTGTTACCGGATGACGTTCATAGGGTGACTTCGGCCCAGTGGTAGAGCGGATCCGCAAAAGTCATCCAGGAGATAAAGGGAAGTCTGCTATGTGTGTCTCGGTGGAAGATATGAGAGAAAGGACGAAAATCAATTCGGCAAGATATTATATACGTAGTATTCACTAATCCTAGTGGTTATGGAGTTCACCAAGAAGATCAACCTTTAAAAACCCTCGATGTTAGGGTTGCTGTCCTCATTATCCAGCCGTGCCATAAGCTTTGGCTCATCCGGGCGCCCCTCGTCAATGTATTCAAGTATTTCGCCTGCAAAGTCAGCTTTCGCGGCGTAGCCGTGGCCAAGTGACACGAGAGATCCTTGTAGTGTGAACTGGTGAGGCTCTGCGTAACACGCTGAAATGGGCATATCATACCATTTGAGACTCCGAAGTAACAGCTCATATCGATCGTTTCATCTTGCGTCCAAATGTTATCAAATATAAGGCCCTTGTAGTGGGGATACTTTTATTCTCCAGCCTTCCCCCTTAATACGATGGCCTAGAGACTCGAACAGTATGCTCAAGTAATGAAAGCTCGCTGTGTGGATACCATGAGTCTCCCGATGAGTATCCTCATGCCGACTAGTGCTTCAGCCCCACCGCTTATCTATCAGTGAGATCAAGTCTCCATGCAGGATGTATTCTCTTCTCAACCAGAACTAAGTACATACGACCATAGGATGTGGAAAACAGGGTTTCCCGTCCGCTCAGCCGTACTTAAGCCACACGCCGGGAGGTTAGTAGTTGGGTGGGTGACCACCAGCGAATCCCTTCTGTTGTATGTATTTTGTTTATTACTTTTACTTTTTATTGTTACTTTTGATTTTCTGTGGGCGAAGCCTATTTTGGTTATTTGATTAGACAGAATTGTGCCCGTTGTCATGATTATACATTTATCGGTAGTCATCTACGAGCAACTAACCCTCCATACAGCGACGTATATGAATATCCGGGCGGAAAGAAGGAGACTTCACCCGTACCAACTCATCATTGTATGTACAAAAATGAGATTAACATCCACCCCTCCTCCCCCAAACAATTTTCATTACATACACCCCAACTCAAACCAAACCGGCATCTCCAACGGCCCAGGACTCTCCACATCCGCAGCCGTACACTCCTCCGTAACAGGCTGTCTAAACAACAAATCACTCTCATCGCCACAGCCCGTTCCAGAACTATTATACATTTCGAACGTAAGTGTCGTGTCACTGTCGTTGCAGGTATATGCGGCGTCAATATTGAACATCTGGAATGAGCCCGCGTAGTTGTAGTACCCGCCGTTGCAGTCGCCCAGGCTGGGGTAAACCAGTGAGAAGGAGATATCGGTGCAGTTGGTGTCTTTGTAGACGAAGAGGGCGGGGTATTTGTAGGAGTAGGCTGTTGTTGGTGGGGTGGATAGGAGGAGGAGGGTAGTTACAGTAGAGAGGGAGAGCTGCGGTGTTGGGTGGCTTTATGTCAGGTACAAGCGTTGGTGAGGATGTGGAGGTGGGAATGTACCTTGGAGATGGCGGAGCGGCTGGACATGATGGGCGTCGTAGGCGGGGTGATATGATGAGGGTGTGGAGAAAGAGTGCGATGGGGTGAGATTCGAGAAAGCTAGTAGGAGGTGTGATGCTGCTACTTATATACACTTTCTACTCAGAAAGATAGTGGTTCAGCTTGTGGTGAAAATATTGTCTAGCAGAGCAGATTAAATGTGGTGTTTTAACCACTCTTCGTGTTTCTGCACGATTAATGCCAGTAAGATTGAGTGGCTTGCAACTAGGTATGCATGTCTGGGGGAAAGTAAGACAGGTGCAATCACAGCGAGGTGAAATGCATGATAGGGTAGGCACTTTCATGCTAATGATAGTTTCCCAAAGTTCCAATTGGTAGTCTAATGGGAGAAAAAGAAATATGCAGTTAGCCATGCTGCTCGCTGTGGATGTGGTGGCCGTACGCATGTCAGATTAGGCGTCCCGTCATGTTTCGCTCGATACTCGGGATCTTACTTCTGTTATGTTTTTCTTTCTTGTCCTTGCTGGATCTGTTACCAGTTCTGTGTTTGTATAGACTAATGGGTATCTGAGTCACGTAGATGATGCGTCCAACAACCTATTAGAAAAATTGCGGACTATCATTCATGGTAGTGTATATACATAGCATTGAGTCATATCAACACCCAACGATGACATCTAACATCACTCATGGCTCGTCGCAGGAATGAAACAAATCAACAAACTACTAACAAAGATTCTTTTGTCGACACAGAGTCAACACCATCTCCCACGATACATTTACAACAAAGCCACGACAGCAGCGAAGATGGCGAAAACCGAGCCGGCAGCAGGCATAGCCATGGTAGAGCCAGCGCTGGCGGCAGCGGAGGACGATGCCGAGCTGGATGAGGAAGAGGTAGTGATGTTGGTATCATAACCAACGACACCGGTGGTGTTGACGCCAGACACGTAGGTAGTGCCGTTACGGCTGTAGGGAATGTTCACATCCAGGCCGTACGAAGCATCGTACGGGAAGGGCGCAGTGTAATTGTAGGTCGGGTTCTGGCCCTTGTAGGCGTCAATGACGGACTGCAGGATACCGTTTCCGGCAGAGCAGGTGTCGTTGGTAGTCGGGATGGGCCAGTTAGCACGGTACTTGGAGTAGCCCCATTGCTCCAGGGGACCGGGCAGAGACTGGTTGATGTAGAGATGGGTAGGGTCCACGTCCCAGTTGGTGTAGCCGATCTTGTCAGCCACGAAGCTGAAGATGTTGGCACCACAGTCCCAGCGACCCAGAGAAGGAAGACCCCAGTTTGCCTCGACGGTGGCCAGAGTGGAGTAGTGAGTGTAGACAGTCTCATCCTTGGTGCCGATGAGGTGCTCAGGAACAGCACCACCGAGAAGAATGCTGAAGACGCGGTTGCGGTCGTTGTAGATCTCCGACTCGGGGACACCGTAGGTCTCGGTCTCATCAAAGGTCAACAGCAGCAGGGTGTTGTCCCAGAAGTAGGTGTTGTTCATAAGAGGCTCAACGAAGCTGCGCAGCCACTTGGAACCGAAGGTGATATTGGTATCGTGAGCATCGTTGGTCATGTCTTACTAGGTTAGTATGGGCAGTGTGTAGAGGTATTGGGAGAACGCACTAGGAGTGATAAACGCCCACTGAGGGAGCACTTTGTTCTTCATGTCCTCTTCGAAGCTAGTAAAGTTCTTGATGAGGCGCAAAGCAGTGTCATTGCTAGAGATCTTGTCAAACATGACCAACGGGTCGTGCTTGCGCATGTAGTCATTCGCGCCGGTTTTCTGGTTCGAGTAGTTGTACCCTTGAAACCCGGGATAGGGCAAGTGCTCCTGGTAGTGTGCCCAGGAGATACCCTTGGGATTGAGTAGATCCGCCAGTGTCGAGACATTGGAAGGAATGTCATGGAAGTTGTCTGCCGGGGATGATTAGCATTGGGTCGGCTTCCGGGATGAATTAGCCCTACCGTTGTCCATGCCATAGTTGTCTCCGCTCACAGAGGCACAGTAATTGGGCTGCGAGGTGTGGCCGACACCGTAGTAGTTGACCAGAGTAATACCCTTGCTAGCCAACCACTGCTGGTTGCTGTCATTGGCAGCATTGACATAGTCCTATGGCAAAGTATGAGTACTGCGACATGCCGTTGGACAACACTTGGATACTTACGACATTCTCCAACCAGATCTGGTAGAAACGGTCGAAAGACTTGCCAGTGACATTGGAAGTCCAGGTCTGGGGCAATGTGGTCGCCTGAGCCCTCTGGATAGCGGCAAGCGGAGGCTCCGAGGTGGTGATGGTGGCACCGGCGGCCAGCCCGGCCAGAGTGAGGAGCGCAGTCACAGAAGCCATTGGGAGAGGTGCTCAACGACAGTGAGAAAATGTGCCTGGACTTCTATAGCAAATTTCAGGGCATACCGTCCTTTTATCCTGCAGTGCCTCGTGCACACTGGGCGGCATATCGGCCGATGCGACCGTGGCGGAATACTATCTAGTAAGGTCCCTACTTACTCCTACCAGGGACGGACTAGCAGTACCTTAACCCCGCCGGCCAGTCAGAAATGGGGTTGACTTCACGTTCCTGCCGGCAGGAAGAGCGAGTGACAATCGAAGGATAACCAAGCGGGGACTTCATCCATTGATCCACTCCGACTGGATCGCGGTGGAGTCTCTCTCCACCCACTTTCAAGGCTTCAATTTCGGGGTTTTCAGCAACACCCCTTCCTCCCTACCCAATTGCAATGGCTGTCTCCTGCGCGTGCTTGCTGGACCTCGAACGACTTGCACAATCACACCATCTGTTCAGCCCTGAATGAGACAGCCTTGTGGTATTCGCCCTTAACCAAGCTCACCAAGCTTCACGGATGGGTGGATGTGGCCCGGCTTATCCCACGTGCCCGCCACTCTCATCTGGCGGAGATAAACGCGCAAAGTTGGAAGACTGATACCCTCATCCAACCCGGTCGCAACCCGGCGGACTCCGGAGAAGTTGTTAGTCAAGGAGACAAGTATCAAAGGGCTCAATCCTTTCCGCTGCTGCTCTATTCCAAGTGGTTCGAAGATATGCACATGTGACCACTTTCTGCACCAACATCTCGGCATCTACTCCATTCCCGAGAAGGTAGCAAAGACTGCCTTGAGCACCATTCAATAATTGGATGTACAAGACCGTCCTATAGTAGTGCAGACACACAGTGGAACGCTGATTAGCTTCAGCTTGCATACAATTGGACAAGCCTTTGTCCATGCGCTTTTTCAAGACATTCGAATCCCACCCAGGTCCACCATGTTCACAAAATCACCGGGCTTAAACGGAGCCCGAGCAAAAGCGGCTAGGGCAAGTTAGCTCTAGCATATCGCAGATCGAACTCAAGGCATGCTGTCGCGTGCGCACTCCCTATTGGGGATTGCCCCTCGTGCCATCTGTTCGTATGACAAATGGATATGGAAACAAAGATATCTCTTCAAGGTGGGTCTCAGAGAGCTCGTCTGTTATGCTTCGAAGAAGACTAACGTTGCATCCAGGTAACCGTTCATTCTGCCCTTCGAGATAGTGATCTTATCGCAGTTGCAAATCGCGTATCATTATCATCAACAGTATCTATGCCGAGACCATAGCATCTTTAGCCTCGTTGTTCCTGTTGGTTGTACCTGCCACCCCCACTTTAGACTATGTCTGCCTGAGGCGGGAACTGTTAATGCCTCAGGCACTCACACAGCGCGCACTTTGCACAAGATATTCACGAAAGTGTTTGACATTATTCGGACTCAAGTGATAAATCTAGTAATGAATACTGTGATTTGAATAGAATACCTAGGATATGTCAAGCTACTGGTACTGCTGGTATCAGTTATTCTTCAAACGATCCTTCCGGGTCCTCGTGGAGGTCATGTATCTGTCTTCTACGCGCCTGCTTTAGAAGGCAAGGTCCCTTCGATATAAAGTAAGGTTTACTTTTCGTACAGAAAGAGACCCTACTTCCTACTACTTAGGTATAAATCCAACCCGAGGCGGTGCGTAGGGGGTTCTATGGCTGGCCGGTGTAGCAGTAGGGTTTCCTCGGCACATTATCACAAAATCAACCCCGCTCTTCGAAACATCGCAAAACTCTCCAACCAGCCCTCTACCGGATCCTGATCCCCCTCGAAGCCAGTCTCCTGGAGCCTTTCCACACTCAACTGCCGATCGAAAGTCAACCAATACCCGACACTATCCAACTGGCGATACCCCACTCCGACCCCGCTAGTAACAGCTCTCGGACACCCATTTCTGGTAAAGATGTCCCGATATTTAGTTATATACTCCCCAGGTGCGAGGGTTGAAGCCCGCTCAGGGACTTCCCCAACTTTCAATGTATTATGTTCCGTCTCAGGAGCAGATTCAATAGGTGGCACGCCCACAAGATCAAACCATTCCGCCAACCGAGGCCAGAGCGATCCGTATGTACACGGTGTCGCCCGGTCAGCGACATTGAATAACCGACCATCCCCGCACGTCTCTGGATGTAACGACGCGAAAATCATGAAGCGCGCCAGTCGATTGCTAGATACGGGGCTGAATAGTGACGTAGCTCCAGCTGTGGATCCGGGGAAAGGGACCTGAACAGATGCCTTGGTGGTTTCCTCTTTTCCCTGGGTATGTGGTCCAATGTTGTGGTTGTAGGCATACAGGGATAGATATTGTGCCCAGTGCAACGCTAAGCTAAATTGTGATCCATTCGGGGTGAACCCAACCTGTTATTACGGTTAGTCGTTCCATTCGTAATGGAAGTTGGAAGGAAGAACTGACAATTGCGTCCGGACACACTTCGCACCAGGTCCATTTCCTTCCTTGACTGGATGTACGGAGGATCTCGCGATATGCTGGATAGACCACTGTCTTGGCATAGTCTGATGGAAGGCTGTTCACCAATTCTTCGCGTAGAGGTGGAGTGAACGTTCCGCCGGCGGAATAGATGCCGTATCCCTGGCCAATGTCTGGTCAGGGGTGATTCCTCTGCACACTCCAAGGATAATATGTACTCACCCTAGTTCCACCCACAAATGTAACGAACTGTAAATCCGGACTGATCAAGTTATGCGCATCAATGACATTCTGCAGCATACGTCGATTTGTCGCTACTTCTTCCAAGTCGTCGTCCATGGCGGCGAAGGCTACTCACGTTCAGAAAACTTCACATAACCACCATGATGAGATATAACTATACCCAAGTAATAGACATGAGTCACGCCCTCGCTATCCTCAACAACCTCCCTCAACCACTCCACCAGTCTATCCGGATCCCAGCTGCGAAGATCAACGCCCGAAGCCAATTGCAGCTGAGGCCGATTAGGACCTGCCTCTGGCCAGTATGTCTCCGAAGGATCGAGGGGTCTGTTTGTCACAGCTGTGACCTTTAGAAATGTCCCAGCGGCAGGATATGGGCCTAGAAGCTGGTTTATTAGCGCCCAGCCGATTAAGCCTGATGCGCCGTAGACGATTGCATGGTTGGGAGAGTTTGATAGCATTCTGGAGTGATTGAATGCCTCTTCTGATAAATTGTATTTGTATACCTTGCAAAGCAGGGGACAGTAGTTCGAGACTTATATAGAATCTTGCGTCGGGGTCCCAGAATGATCGCGGACGGTCGGGATCCCAGATAGGTTTAGCCTGTCCGGGACATGAGTGTATGGCACGTCATTGTGTGGGAAGTATAGAGTTCGATTGCAAATCTATTCTCAAACCCGTTTCTGCGGGCGCTGTTGGAGATTGTAAGATGGTCCGATTTTACGCGTAAGGTTGATATTTTCGTTGTATGCTACGGTCTATGGATTGCTAGGTTCGGAACCTTTTAGATCCCGGAAACATATTGGTAATTGCACACAAACTATCTGGCAGGAGGAACTCACACTAACCAACAGTTTAAGCAGTCCTCTCAGTGAAGAACGCAAAGCACTTCATCTCAATACTCTCCCGTGGAGGGCCATTGATATATTCTGGGTCCACAAATGCAGAGTGAAGCAGTGTCACACTAGATGCAGCATCACTGCCTAGCTGCTTAAAGATGAGCGGCTCATCCGGCTGCTGCTCGCTAAGATAATACCAGTCATGCTTTTCGTTGTAGACAGGCAAGCCAAACTCGACTACATGGTCGGAAATGATTCTGCGATCTGGAACGATGTCTGAAGCAGGGTCAACAGATCGCCAATCACACACCGCAAGAGGATCTCTTCGAACTGTCTTGATTGGCCTCCATGCGTTGACAACGACAAAGGGATGGCTAAGAAGCCGCTCAATTTCATCTTCGGTAAGGACATCCTTTAGAACAGTCCGGCAAGATGCACGCGTCATGTCTGAATGCACACCATGCGAAGGAGAATTCGGGGTGCTCATTTGGTTCGCGACTTCGTTACCCTCAAATCTAGTGCGAGTGAGATATACAACAACTTCGGATGCGCCGGTTCTGCAAATATGGTCAGAGAAATTAAGTCCATTTTGTCGGCTTATTCTTTGGCGTGGGTGAAACACTTACAGTCGCTTGACCAGCTCTTCTGTAGCGGGCTGAATTATTTGTTTTATCTGAGCGGCGTCATGCCAATCCGTAACCCCCTCAATCACATGTTTAACGTATTGAAAGCCTTGAACATCCAAGGTGAATTCGTGCTCTTTACCACGAATATCCTTGATTACAACGTCTCTCACATCGTTGATACCCTCACGTTTGGCAAAGCGCCGCTGAGCCTCGGGTACATCGGCATCGATTGGTTTTAACCCTTCACGGCCAGGCGGGATTATATAGTTTAGTGTTGTAGGGACATCGCGTCCCTTCCCGACCGAGGATTGGCCATTGGAAATGGATACAGTCATATTGGTGAAGATCAAAAGCAACAAAACCAAAAATAGGGAGAATTATTTTGGTGAGAAAATCTTGGAAGTTCGGACAGAAAGATGTCGGATGGAGGATACTTATGCAGTTCTCTTATGCATCAGCGGATAAAGTCAAATGAAAGGGGGCTCGGGTTCGTATTCGGACACTTTGCCGATTCGGGGTACATGTCTTATTCGTATTCGGCTTCGGATTAAGGATCGACAATTGGCACCAGAGATGCGCTCTTGAAGACAGCCAGCTGCAAATATGCAGGGTCCACATCCTCCTTTTCCCTGAAGTAATTGGTTATCTATATTTACAAGACCATGCAAGCCTAATCAGGGTTCTCAGCAGAAATGAGTCCTTCTCCTGAGATCCTGACCTGAGCCCATAACCAGCCCAAACACATAAAGATATTGAAACCACATGATTCCATTCGAACTATCTCTTCACTGAACACCCCTTTCCCGAAGCTCAAACAGAACAAAAATCATGACCACAAAAACTATTGTTATCATCGGATGCGGAGGCATGGGCTTAGCCATCGCTCGGCGCCTCGGTGCTGGCCGTCGACTATGTATCGCCGACTCCTCCAATGAAGTCCTCTCCGCCGCACAGGATACCTTGACAGACGACGGTTACATGATAGAAACATTTCAGGTAGATTTTTCTGACTATGCATCCGTCAGCGGCTTCGCACAGGCGGCTGCATCGCAAGGACCTATCGAAGCAGTCATCCATACAGCCGGCTTGTCACCATCCGCAGGTAGTGCGCAAAAAATCCTTGAAGTCGACCTCCTCGGCACCGCCAACGCTATTGAGGCATTCTTGGAAGTGGCGCAGTCCGGAATGAGCATGGTCTGTATAGCCAGTATGGCTGGTCACATGGGATCAGGCTTGTCATCGGAGCTCGAGCGTCATCTTGCGACAGCGCCCAGGGAACAATTGCTAGACCATCCCGCTTTGAACATTGATCCCAGCGACCACCATGGACCTGCACGGGCGTATGGTCTTTCGAAACGCGGAAATATACTTCGTGTTCAAGCTGCCGCGAAAATTTGGGGGCGTGTTGGGGGAAGAGTGAATTCTGTTAGCCCCGGAGTAATTTCTACAAAGACCGGCAGACAGGAGATCAATGATCCAGCTGGTAAATTTATTGCCATGAGCCCAGTGGGTCGTGTGGGCACGCCGCAGGATATTGTGAATGCTGTGGCATTCTTGGCGAGTTCGCAGTCGTCTTTTATTACGGGCAATGATATACTAGTGGATGGTGGGGTCGTGTCCTCATTGAAGTGGGATAGTCCATAAGAGTATCTGGTACTACCATCAGAGAGGCTTTCCTGTCGGTACCTGTATATTGCAAGTAGGTATGGTTATTGTTTAGCCTTATATGACCCTGTCTAATGCGCACCAAACCACCCTGTCCGAACACTGGGTGCTGGCTAGTAAGCAAGGAGTTAAAGGTGGATACTGGCCACACTTGAAAGACAGTGATATTATGGCCGAAGGCTATTCTAAATCTTTCCCCACTGGAAACTCTACATATGAACGGAACGTAGACGTTTCTGGATGGTGATTTGACGAATATAGCTTATATTCAAATATTGGTCTGGGCCCAGTTATGTGTCAAAAGAGTGTATCCATACAACGATGCATCGTGCTCGTAAGATCCTCCAAAGCAATGAAAAGCAGGAAAAAGTTCCAACCACGTTCAATGTAGGTCTCATGTTACTTGATGGTCATATCCAATCGGATACATTTGTACGCATCGAGTCATCATCTCGACTAGACCTGGACGGTCAGGCAGTTGAGAAGACCCTAAAGGTAATGCATGAGTACGTGCTATTCATAAACCATCCTGCAATACTACTTACAATTCCATTAGTGGTGCAGCAGGCAGCCTGGTTGTTGCAATTTCCAACAAGCGCTAATGAAATCTTAGCAAGACGGACAGTGGACAGGGTAGTGCGATAACTTACGAACGCAAAGTGCGGGAAGCACGTTCACATTCAAGATGCCGTTAGTCAAGCTAGTGCAGCATGAGTTGGCTTGGGATGTAGTGCACTGTGAGGCATCACTAGTGGCTGGTACAGCGCTGGCAAGACCGATGGTCGCAAGGACGACAAGAATTTGTGAGAAGTTCATTGCGGCTGATTGGATTCTTTGTCTGATAGTAATGTGGTAGAAGATGCAGAAAATTTCTTGTGATGATAGACTGAATTCAATGGAAAGTTCGCGTTCTTTGATGATTTATATATCCCTTTCAACCATGAACATTGTCCGAATTTAGATACGTCACTTGGCCCGGTATATCAGGTGTTTCTCCTAGTTTTGTCGATATAATTGCATATTTGAGACATTTTATCGATGTAGTAGTATTATAGACCATCTAGACTGTCATGGCAAGCGCCATGTGGAGGGAAATCCGCAACAAATCAGCTCGGTGCAGCGCTCCCGGGGTTTCTTCTCAACTGACCCTTCTTCAACTCCACTGCCGGCGAATTTTGCAACTAGGAACAAGGCCTAGATTGCTCTGAAGAGCCATCATGCAGGATGACTCCCAAAATTCTATTTGCAAATCCTACCCTGTGCTACCATCCAAATCTTAATCTACTGCAGCCGAATATCGACTAGCTCATTCCCCATTATGTTTCGGGGGTACCTAAAGGATAAAGATTTACTTACAACAAGCGTGAATTAAACTGAGTAAAATAATATTGGAAGCCTTCAGTAATGACGAATGACGTAGTAAGGATTCACATTCCAAAAAGGAAGCTGATGTCATATATGGCAAGTCTTCATCATTCCGTTCCGCTTCATAAAACCTTTGCTACTGGCCCATAGACAGTTCATTTACCTCGTCAAATACACAGTCCCACTATACTCTCCATGTGAGTCATGTCGAAACGATTTTGGGCAAAAGCATTATGCGAGAACAAGATAAACAAATTACCATGCAGCCCAACCCCACTGTTGAAGAGCGGGGTGCGTCGTACCCCTTGCAGAAGGCCATAGAGGGTTATAACGAGCGATAGGATACGCCCGCTCATGGCGCGGATACTGAATGCCTTATCTCTGAGGCTTGTAATGTTAGCCCGTTTATAGATATGATTGCTGTTAACCAACGTCCTGGTCGTTGGTTCTGTTCATGTGTGCAGCGCATACAATATACTCCTATACGGATAGGGGATAGCTTACGTTACTACTCTGTGTAAGCATGTCCTTCCTCCTACCTTCTGGTATAATGTCTGACTGATTTTCTCCTTGGGTGGTTCTGATCATTTCCACGTTGAAGTGTCACCTATGAGTCTATGAAGAGTTAATCATAGCCCCTCGCATCTCAACCTTCAAATTCTATTTCTTCAGCATCGTATGACTTTCTTAATCTGGTGGCGTCGGGTACTTTTTCCTTAATACGTAGCATTCCGCATTCGCATTCAACCCTTGTTTCAAGCAACAGACAGATGTAACTATCAGCATCATGCAAGGGACACTCATGCTTTGGATAGCGGGTGAGAATGTGCCAAACAATCATGTTGTACCGCTTACGGACTAGAGCACTGACATTCCTTGGACACAAATGACCCCTAAATCGCTGCGTTAGGACGAAATGGACCTTGCCCAAGAGGCGTTCCCAATCATATGACGGAACCGATCTGCAGCATTCAAATTATTTCTGAAGTGGGAATATCCCAACCATAATGCCACCACCCTTACTAAAAGCGGCCTTTGTTATTTCATGTAGATACTGACTTGCAGAAGCCCATGATACATCCTCTAGGAGAAGCGCTGGGTGTCTTGCGGGAGGACTCTTCGAAAGGAAAGATCTACAAAGTTCCATAAAGTAAGCAATGAAAAGGGATCCCCAGATGTGAGATAAGCATCGGGGAGTGATATTTCCATAATCCACTGGAATAAATTCAGAAAGAACAGTTGTGGCTGTGGCAAAGCTAGGACGGGCAAAGAGGCTGTCTCATCTTCTGCCGATCAGGATGAGTTGGCACAGAGAACGGAAGCTCGGACACGGATACGGAGTACGACCAGCTAAAAGGCCGATCGTGCTGCGGCGCCTGGTGGAGACTATGTATGGTGAGGATGCGCTGGATCGTGAGGGCCAGAACCTTTTTTTCATTGCTCGGTTTCGGTTTCGTTTCCCTTTCTAGCGTTCCTTTCGCGTCCCTTTTCCTTTCCCTTTCCTTCTTTTTTTCGTCTTTTTTTGGAGGGGGTCGTATATCTATCTACCTTTTTTTCATATTCTGGAAACAAGAAGAAAAAAAGTACTGGTGATTTTATATGGTTACAATTGCCTGAAGACTAAGAGGAACGGAGAAGGGATTTAGAGAGAAGGATCATGGATTTTGCAGAAGAGCAGGGTCTAGGGGAGACACCTTGCATGAATCAATTAACCGGATAGGGGTAGGATGTAAGCACTAGTGTGGAGGAGTTGTAGGGGTTGGTCAATGAGGGATTGGGTATGATACCTTGGGTTTAAGAAGACTATAGTGAACAAGGGGCTTGTATGCAAATTGATTGGTGGTGCTATGACCTCGCTTGTTCCTAGAGAGAGCATTGCATCCAGTAGCTTAGGGATTAGGATGGAGATCTTGTTCTATTGGACTTGTCTTGGGATGGTTGGCAAGGCCTTTAATATCATGATCCTTCCGTTCAAGCATAGGCGTACATCGTATCAATCCCTTCCTAGCGTGATGATGTTCCACTGCCCATGCAGCAGTTGGATAATCAGCCTAGACAGGCTCTATCAAAGCTCTTTCGAAGTTTGGTGCATGTGTTGCGATTCACGGAGGGATTTCGGGTTCAATGCTTTGTAGCGCTTGAATGAAGGCACTCAGTGCCTGTCTCGGTGGGTCTTAGGAAAGACGAGGGGCATGATGACATCCAGATGGTTGCATAGATGACTGGACCGCGCATGACTGTGTCAGTTAATTAAATTGACACGCGGCTTTGTCGATCAGGCCACCCATGGTGGATCTCCGAAGGTGTGAAAGATATGCTGCTAATGGCGGGAGAGCGTAAACTCATTCCGGCTGAGCAGCCTTACTGAAACACGAGGTAGCGTTTGCCTTTTTTCACTTGTCCGTGTCCACCCACTACCAGCCGACCGACATTCTCAGTCTACACTGCATCGATATCCTCCCCTATAATTCCGTCCGTACGGTCCAGAATCGCAGTGTCTTCCGTCCTAAAGCCACTCATGTTAGTCGCGAAATCCCACTAATCAGAAAGTAACTCACTCTGCGTTTCCCAGCAGCGGCATCTGAGCTCTCACATCCTTTCGCTCCGCCAGTTGCACCCCAATTCTCAGCATTGCAAATGCATCAAATGACTCCGTCCAGGTGGGATGCAATCCCGCATAGAAGGCCATAATCACCAGTCCGACAAGATGCAGGCCTATTATGGTCGACAGAAATGCGATTGCCCATGGTCGTATCGCGAAGATCTCGACAGAGGTTCCGTCATCCTTGAAGAGGATTCGGCGGTAGGCCTGCTCAGTTGAGGCACGGCCTAGGTTGGCCTTATTGGCAAAGAAGGCGCCCTGGGTAAAGACAGACGTTGTTGGGGGTTGTCGTAGTTTGCAAAGAGCTGACCAAGCCAGGCAGCCAGGTCGTTGAAGTAAGTGGAGTTGGTGTCTGATGCACAGGGCTTGAGAGTCGCGTATCGCCAGGAGGTAGTATCTTCAGTATTAGTATTTGAGAGGTAAGTAAACGGAATAGGCTCGGAGCACTCGTCCAACGACAAGGAAGTAATGTTCGGTAGAGTCGGTGTCGAATTAGCACGATTGGCGAAGAACGTGGACGGGCCGAAGAGGGCCTTGGTGGCTGTGAGCAAAGGCCCAAGAGCTGGTGAGCTGACAGGCGTGGGGTCGGGATAACCATATCTAAGCCATGTGAGAAGATTATCACAGCAAAGCTGGGAAGCGCTACTGCCCCACCAGTCAGGCTTTCTCCACACTAGACCTCCCTTAGGCCACACCTTGCCACTTGAACAGAACAACCTTGTCTTGTAAACTAGGTGGCAGGGTATGGCATAAACAAGCCTAGTATGGAGGCAGCCTAGCTGGTGTCTCGGTAGCGCCTCTCATAAAAAAAGTGAGTTCTTACCCTAGAACATGTGAGTTATCTAAGGCTCGCACATCCATACTCTCCTCCTGGTCAACGATAAAATTCTCTGGATCAAAACTAGTTGCAAGATTGAACGTCTCCAACAAGGGACCCGTTTGGTAGTTGTTCATGTAGTTAGGGAGCATGAAGTACCCCGCGGTCGTATTCGCACGAATGTGCTGTGTCCAGCTGGCTATCCGAGATCCGTTGGTGAGGAAGCTCATGGCGATTGAATTGAAGTAAATGTATGCTTCTTCCGCAATGTCCTGGCGGTTCCGAGTGAGATTCCATGGAAAACTCTGCGAGTCTCCCAGCGCGCACACCTTTACCTCCATCATACCATCTGCGGAGATTGGGACGTTATAGGAAGCATCCAGACCTGACAGGTTCGCAAGCGTTGATGCGGAGAAAGACCCTGGTCCACCGCAGCTGTCGGGATAGCTCTTTTCCGATACCTCTTCTGAGGCGACGGACGTATTGAACCGAAAGGCATGATCGCTTATTATTCCCGTTGTGACCGAGTTGACGGGGATGGAGACAAATGAACTGTTACCGCGGAGGGGATAGAACTGCGTAGCAATTCCGCCTTGGTTCGAGTTACTCACGCAGGAATATGCCCAGCTCATGGATGAATTGCAGACTGAATCGGGTGTCCGCCAGATATTTGGCTGAGAGTCGTACTGAGTAGCGTAGTTGATCAATGATCTCGTATCCCCAACCGTCTCGATGGACTTCACTTGAGACAATCCGGTGATGTCGGCGTCAGAAACCAGCGGCGTGACCTTGGAGGGTAAACTCTCAACCAATATGGTCACCTCTGACACGAGCAACTGCTGCAACGGCCAATTTAGACCACCTAAATGATTTGATCAGCTGAGCCTACACACACCCTCACATGCCATACCTAAAGCGCAGACGAGGAATGCATAATATAGGAGCGGACTGCCCAGTCGCCGCCGACCTCCAGCAGAAAACAGGCGGGCAAGGATGAAGGGATTCCACCATCCTCGATCAGCTACCGCTAGCAATTTCCGGAGGCTGAATGCCCGCTTATTGCCAGCGGCCTGGCCGTACACTATGGCGGCGCGGGCGGCAATAAATGAAGAGAATGGAATGGTCAGCACCGCCATGACTGAGTTAACGACCCGGGCGGCCAATCTCCAGCGACGTGTAGCAGCGATGACGGCTGCGGTGAGAGTTACTTTTGTCGCTTCTCTCTGGCTGCAGGAGAATGTCGCATTTGCGTCAGAGTCGGTGACCCCCAGGACCGTCTGGGACGCGCAGGTCAGCTGCCGCGCGCTTTCCCATGTTGGCGTTGAATGATGATAGAGGAGAGGCCGGTGGGTGAGGATGCACGTCACGGTCCATGAGAAGATGAGTAGAGAACAATAAATCAAGACAATCGGGATTAGATGCTTCAAGCTGCGGGATAAGGAACGAGACGTTCTGTGCGAGTAATCGGCTGACTTGTCGTCATCGTTTAGTGTATGAAATGGAATATATTTCCCTCGTAGAGCAGTGTCACCAGACCCCATTTTGTAGAGTTACTGGTAGAGTCAACTACATAGGAGAAAAAAGTGAGATGGGTGATGAACATGCAGGGTCTGTCTATTCTTATTTACTAGGGCCGCCATGCTCACTGCCAGATCGAGTCTGGTACATTGGAGCATAAGCTTCGGCCAGGATGCGCGGTTGAGCCTCGCTCAGCCGGGTGGGTCACTCAGGGTCGGCTTGGCGAGGCTGTGGCTTAGCATATCTTAGCTTGACACCTTCGGAATTGCCGACGGATGTGACAAGTAGTGAGTGAGAACAGGCTGGAAGTGGAAAGTCGGCCATTTGGTGCTGTCTCCGCTTCCTATCTATCACTGGTAAACACCATAATAACCTTCCACCATAAGTAGATACACTTATGACGCATGCCTCTGCTTGCAACCTTTCCCACCTATCGCTGTCTGTGGAGTAACGAATATATCTCGGTACTAGCCTACACTTAGGATATCAACAGAATATACACTAGAATCAAATGTTGGGAATGTACTATTCGTGTAGGCGAGCACAAGGATACAGCATAATTTGGACATTTGTGTCTCCAAGTGATATTTCCGGATTTAGAAATATGGCGCGGTTTCGAAATTGCGAGCCCTAGGCAATAGACCACGTGCAGGGACCATTTATTGTGTTTCCGCCTACGTAGATCCAGGGACTGTCACACCCACACATTTCCCAGTCCCACCTTCTTCATACTACCAAACTTCGCCTTCAAGATGCCCATAATAGACTGGGTCTTTAGTCTGTTCCCACGATACTCGCGCGAAAAGCGGCTTTCCAGCCTGGAACTGCTACCTCGCGAACTATTACTCCATATCGGTAACCTTCTGACAACCGCTGACATTATCTGCCTCTGCCTATGCAGCCGAACACAAAATCTTTTCACAACAAGTTTTTACGACATCAAGCCACCCCAAGACAAGTCCTTAACACTTTTAGTCCTCACAAGACTGACCCGAGACCTCCCCAAAATGTTCTGCTGCCACTACTGCGCCAAGTTGCATCGTATCACTGACGTCCTCCATCCCGCACGCTCCATGGGTTTCCGTCATCGGTGCCCGGACCTGGGAGTTTGGCACAGAAAATGTCCACAACCGTCGATTAGATGGCTGCTAGCTGTTCACTGTATGACCACCCTTTATGACTTCCGTCACTGCCACCTGGTGGCTGTCTTACAAAATCACCATTCCGGCGGCCGATACGGGATCAACGCGGAGTCCTTGGCTTTCACCGAGGTGGTTGATTACCCTCGACAACCAGCAAGAACAACTTTATTATCAGTGGAAGGACGCGTCTGTACACCTGCTGGAGCTCGCCAAAGACCATCGCTAGTCCTGCAAATACAACAGTGGGTTCTCGTCCATGATCTACAGGTCTTCTCCGACAGGGGTCTCGACGTTGTTCTTTCAGTACTCCACAACTGGTTTATTTGCAACTGGTTGAGAGTGGGCCACAAGAGTATTCAAGATAAGATTCGACCTGCAAATCGGCAACGAAACCTTTGCTGGAAGGAGGCACCACTCACAGAGATTATGCGATGCTCGCATTGTGGTGTGGAGTTTCAGATCGTCCTCCGAGACTGTGGGGAGGATGGGACAGCAGTGACAATTACTAAATGGTTAGACCTTGGGGCAGGGACAGATATTGATGATCCGAAATGGAAAAAGGCTACTTTTACTAACACGATGGAATCTATATACGATCGTGTCGAAGCTACGGCGAGCACAGGGGAGGTCCGTTGACTATTCCGTGAAAGCTCTGATCAAGAGAGTGACCCTACGCCGCGAAACAGGTCATATTTGATAGGAAGACGATACCGTTGGGCAATGTGGTGCTACTCGGAATCTATGTACTATCTATTCCATCGCTAGCTCTAAATCTATGTTAGCCAAGTACCCAGGCCAAATCGCTTTGTCATGTTAGAAGACTCAATGCTCCTTTTCTAGCCTCTTCTCTGGTCCCATGAAAACTCCCCAAGTTGGGAAAGAACTTCGTTCCTGCCCAGAGTGGAAACCACCCACGGCGAAGGCCAACGACCATCTTCCTGAAGCCTTCCTGGTTCTTCTTAGCTTTCCTCTTCTTTCTTCACGGAACTCAATTGTTAACGTTCTAAGCTAGTACTTCTGTACGTGTCCAAGCTTCCAACATCATGGGTTCTGCAAATATCATCTCTATATTGGGAAAGCTGGGTACTTCGTGTAATATGGAGCTCGAGAGGTGCAGGGCGAGTATTGTTGTATATACATGCCCTATATTTATTGAAGTGGTGAGAACTAGAGGCTGTTTGTTCTCTCCCTGTGTTTGTGCTTTTGCTTTCTACTCTCTTTCCTTTTCTTTCTTTTGATTCATAACTTGTGTAAGGCAAATGATCCTTAAACAAAGTTCTCTTCTGAGAATGCAGATCGCAGACGATCGATATGGATGATACAAGTGGCTTCCGGACAAAAGAACGCTGCGCTAGTGCTCGGTCCTCCTCCATCCACCGATGTACCCCACATACTACGACGGGGAGCTTAACATTGCCCGCCCTATGTACTTGGAAACTACAATGCCGTTGTACAATGATAGATATGGGTCGAGTAACGCTGGCTAAACTGATATAGACTTACTAAGCCACTGGGTAGGAAGACATTTATAATCTATGAATGCATAAAACGCAGGGATACCCGATAGCGATGAAATTAGAATTGAAATAAGCAGATTAACGGAAGGGAGAGCTCAGCTGCAAGCCCAGCCTCTTCCCCGCCTCTTCCCCGCCCAACGCCCGACGTAGACATCGGCTTATTCTTATGCGAATTAAAAGCCTTCCTCATGCCACCTCGACAGAAAATAGAATACCATAACCCTGCAATTTCCACGGTCAATCTCATCTGATTCCAATCGAGAAAATGACATTTGAGATATACATTCCCTCCACCCTGACCTTCCAGGACTACATCGCCGTCTGCCAATGTGCGCGCACATTCGCCGATGGGTATGATCGGAAGGTGAACACCGGATCCCATAAGGACTTCAATCGCAATAGCATAGAACTATCTATAAACTAACATCCATCAAACCCAGGACAAAACCCGCCTCCGCGCCGCCCTCGCCCCCTCCGTGATAGTCGACTACAACAAAGTCCTTCCCCACGTCACCCGCGAGACCTACGAAGCCGACCACTTCGTCGAGACATGGCTGAACCCAAAAAACCTTGGGAACAAGGCTCTGGCGACGCAGCATCTCCTCGGAGCACCATACTTCAAGTTCGCATCGGAGGAAAAGATCGTCGTACAATGGCAGCAACTTGCAAGCCACGGGCGGTGGGTTGACAGTCAGGAAGAGACATCTCCGGTGAAGCGCAAGATCGACGAGACGTCGGATGGAAGAAGCTGGATGCAGCAGACTTATGTTAAGGTGGATGGGCAGTGGCGGATTCAGGTGCTGGAGCCGGAGGTTTTGTACCATACGGGGGATTTTCAGAGGATTAGACGGCCGGATGAGAAGGGTGAGGGGAAGCTTTAGGGTTGGGGGTCTGGGACGGTCGTGGTCGTGGTCGCCGTTATGGCGATGTGCCGAGTTTTCGGGACAGGGTAATAGACCATACAGCTCGCTGAAATGTAAAGCTCACTTGCTTTTTACTCGTTAAGCTAAATGATCTCTTTGTGGATGCTGTATGTGACTGAGACTGTCGGAAGGATGAGAGCAGTGTCGGGTTGTGGGGATCTCGGGATGTGGGCTGTCGGATACACTCTGCACAGTAAACCCTAACGGCTAACTTGTAGCCTGAAGAAGGCTATCGTTGCGATAGTGGACTTTGTCTCCATTAAAATACAAAGTTAATTTCAATCCCTTTCAAGAAATTGCAGCAAAGAATCCGTGTGGTTAACAACAGGCTATGTTGAGAATTTGCCAATGCTAAACGACCCCAGTTCTATGGAACCCCTGAGCCAGGAATGTGTCACACGATCTAATAGCCCACATTGCATACCAATCCTCCGTATTATTGCAGCCCATTGAATGCTGCGTATAGACTTCACGAGCAAGGTGCAACGAGAGAAAACAATAGCTCGGTAGAAAATCGATCGCTTGTGTCTCTGCCAGGCCGGCCCAGGTCTGCATGATTTCAGCAGCCACCTGGCGGGCACGACGGACGAGATTTTCAGAATATGTCGGTGTCCGTGCCATCTTGCCATTGTAGAGGGCCAGTAGATATGTCAGATACAGTATGTATAGTGCGCCACGATGGACACACAGCGTAAACTCTTTAGATTGTCGTGGATGCTCGATCAAGGTCCATTGAGCTGAGTAGCGAACAGAGGCAGGTAGGTTTTCCAACCATCGTTTGAGTCTTGTTTCGACGCTCGTGACTAGGGCTGGGTCTAGATGCTGCATTTTCCATAGCAGAATAGCTGGCTTCATACCATCGTCCAGTGCATCACGCGTTTGACGGTCCAGGTCGACTGTGTAGAGAAGGCGGTACATGCAGCGGATAAGTTTTGACCGTTCGATGAGGATACCGCATAGCTTGGCGTGGTATGGTGGCTCTGAAATGCTTTCACTTGCTGGACCTTCGCTTGTTGGACAAAAAGTAGCGTTGATTCTGGCTCGATCGAATACTGCAAACACGTCGGGGACAAACTGACAATCGAGACTAGGTGGTCGTTTTATTTGGAATGGAGCATCCAGAGCCAGGGAGATTGTGAGATCAGCGGTGTATAACGACCATACTAGTCGCTCACGGAGCGAAGATGAGATCGTGCAAAGGTACTCTGTGTTTTGGTTGACTGGCTCATCTGTTGGGTCCAGTAGACCTGCGCCGATCGCGACAGAAAGAGCATGGCGAATCCAATATCGGGATTCGGAAAGACTAGCTTCGGACAGGTTTTCTCGGATACTCAGCAAGATGAGTGCTTGGGTCATGACAATCGGATTGCGCTCGATCGAGAGATTGTATAACATCTGCGCTAGTCAGTTATGTTACTTGAGAGGAGAGGTTCTGGGGATGCATGCACTCACTCTCGCCCTTTCGCGTATAACCCTCCCAATAGTATCTCGGCTTGGGTGACCCGCTGCCTGTAGTTCTAGGGGATCCACGTATGAGCTCCCCGCATAGAGGACGGCTTGATACAGAAGTGGGTGGGGGAATTGACGGTCATCATGTTCGAGCAGCCTACGAAAGACAAATAGTATCTCTAGAACAGGGACGAGAGGATGTACCCATCGCAGATATGACTGCAGAAGAAGGCCGCGTAAATCCTCGCTTGGTAGTAGTAGCGCCCCATTGGACTGAAGCTCTTCTCGATCCTTAAAGGCGATGGAAGTGAAAGCGCAGGCTTGAAACTCGCGACACGAGAGAGATTGAAGCATTTCAAATTGTATGCCAATAGAAAAAGCAGGCGCGGGGTCCAGATTGGTGAGGGAAATGCGCGAAATCTGCCGTGCGCTGATGTTTGTTTCTCAGAGTTGAGTCGGTGCGGTAGGGAGAAATGGACATCCACAAGCGGGGAATAGTACAAGCACCTTATCTTTGCCACGTCGCAGGATTTAGCGCTTACTGGAAGCGTCTCACGCTTTGTATATTTATATAGCTGAACCCCTGGTGTGGTAAATCGTTCCTGGACTTCTCGGCTGATGCCTGGGAAACCCTGGAAATTAGAGCCGCAGGATGAGCGGCGGAATGTGATTCAGGCGGACAGCAGAGTAAATTGCCCATCAATCAGATGCTCCTGATAGAGAAAGTTCCCGCTAAGACAAACGCCTATAATGTTTATGATGATCCACAGTCTCATCAGACCAATGAAATCGTCTCTCGGCCCTAAAATTGTGGCTATGATAGCGCTATTTGCTGCAACCTCATATTAGCTTCTCATTGCACCATATAGATCAGGATCATGACATACTTGGCTATCATACATCTCCGCCCTTGGAGGTATAATAAGACAGAAAGTATTGACGTGGAACAAATGATACGACTTTAAACATTGTTTGTATTTATAAGTAATAATTAACAGACATATAGTAAATAAACAAAAACCTCTAGGCATGCCAGCCCGGTACTCAATCGTGCGACCTTCTCCGGGCCCGCACATAGAGATTGCTTGGCTTGACAGTTTGGAACATGGAATCATATTCGATCGGATCATTGCCTTCTCTGAAGAATTCATACCGGTACACAAGCATGGCGATAAAGACTTTTACCTCGCGAGCAACGAAGTTTGTCGCTACGCATATGCGAGGTCCCATCGCAAATGGGATATAGGCTCCGCGGTGTCGATTCTTGACCCTCTCGGTATCCCATCTATCTGTGGAAAATTGAGTCGGATTGCCCCATATGGCCGGATTGTTGTGAAGATGGTGGATTTCTGAGATAACCACGCTGTCTTTGGGAACTCGATACCCTCCAGGAAGGATAACATCTTTGCGTGCCGTTCTAGCGGGTTGGAAAGATGTAGTATGACGTCGCTGGGTTTCCTTGACGAACTTATCCAGATAGGATAGGTTTCCTATAAATTCGCCAGTCATTTCTGAAGTCTCCGTCATGTTATTGTCGATTAGCTCTTGCAAGAGCTTTTCCTGGACCCCTGGATACGTTACCAGACCGTAGATCAGCCAGGAAAGTAGAGAACTCGTCGTTACGAATCCTGCCGTTAGTGCCACAATGAGCGCTGGGTTTCGGCTTTCATCGCTCAACTTGTTGCCTTTGCTATCTCTAGCACGAACAAGGTAGTCTGTGGGAGCTTATTAGACAGAGAGTATGCAGTTCTAGCAAGGCTTAAATACCTGCTAAACTCTGAGTTTTCAAGCCCGCCTCCTGGATGGAGACATGCCCTTCCCCAATGGGAGCCTTCTTGACAGACTCCCCGACCAGAGACCCCACTAAATGCCACGTATCTCGCAACCGTTTTGGATCACCGAAAGGTAACCATGTATACCAATCTCCCCATGATGTGGCTTTCTTGTTCAACCCTAAAAGCTTGACAATAGCCTTAGGGATGTCATGAATAGGAGAATCGACCCTTTCAAAGTGCCTAAAATCAGCCCCAATGATAAGCTTCCCCACAAGTTGCGACGATAGTTTCAGCATGAAGCTGTACGCATTCCATGCTTGGTTCGCCTGATCGAGCTCGTCGAATATTGGAAAGGAATGCCGTACAACCTCTTCCATGCGTGGGGTATAGGCTGCGATTGCCTTAGGACTAAATGCGGGTACAATGAACTTATGTCCCTCTTTCCATTCCTTGGTGGCCGTGTTGGTGAGAAAGATTCCTGCGTGCGCTTTTCACCCCGTATAAAGGATGCGCGTGATTGATGTCTTTAGTGAAGAACTCAGTTTCGGCGAACGCATGGGCAGTTAGGACTGGGTCATTAGTGTGGTAAACTACCCGACCCATGACTGTTGTCTGGAAGATCGGCCCGTAAAGTTCGAAAAGGCGTTGATGATTGCCAATATGGTCGGGGTATACCTCACAGTGACTCCCAAGTAGAGGAAGCCCCTTGGGTCCCGGAACATCATGGACTGTTTCGCCATCCACTAAGATACCTATTGGCTGATTTACTGCGAGAATATCTTCCGTGGAGCTGAGGTTCTCCCCATCGAGATGAAACGATATTCCTTGAGAAAGCTTGATTAGTGACATCAATTGCTGTCGTGGGGGGCAGTGTCATTTGCATACCTTTTGGCTCTATAATTGCGAATTGGGATGCGACCTTCTTTCGTATGGCATGTATGTCAAGCTTGCTTCCCACTTCGATCATGCATACAGCCGAATCGTATTGTCCGCGGAGATAGAACTGCTTTTCTGCCATTGCGTGGTTTTCAAAGACTGGGGATTCGGGGAGTCCGGCAATCGATGATTTGAACTGCCATCAAATACTATTCGTCGCAGCCAATCTGTATATATGTGTGCAATATCGGTCAATTCCCGATGATGCTCCATCGCTTATCTTGGACCCGGAGCGGATTATGAGAACACATGAATTGTGTGGCAGAATCGGCTAGAGTGGCGGCACTCATTTCTTTCAGATTACTGTAGAGGCCACTTTGATCCCTATGATAAGCGAAAGATGAGTGGTCTGCACTTGAGACTCAGGAATATACGGTCGAATCGTAGCTGACATGTGGAGGGCGAAGGATCAGATCGCACAATCTGACCTTCCTTAGCGGATGACGCCAAGCCGCGACATTGTCAGCTTAATAAAATAAATAGAGTGCTTTGGCCCTAGCACTTACTGTTAAGGGGCGTCAGACTAACAAGGGCCATCTGAAACCCAATATATCAGTTCGGCTTTCGGCACTAACCATGTCTGAAATCTGCCAGAGTGTAAACACCACCCTATGAAAGTTTCGAACATAGCTAAGCTCGACAGGCTCTATAATAATAGTTTATTGGTGAGCGGTTGAATAAATCTCTGAAGAAGTCATGGGGAATTGTCGTATAAAGCCCTTGGGCTTGCATGGAAGGGACGCCCGTGACCTTTAGTGAGCGGGGCGAAGGATCCTTGCTAGCTTCAGCTACTGCATGCAAGCTGGCACCATGAGCTTTTTTATGTTAACTCGGTTCGCATATACGGCAGTTGTGTTATATCATACAGATCAAGTATGGTGTAGACTCGAGAGGGGATAAAGGGCAAATAGGACCAGAGCATATCATACTGTTCTCTCGTCCCTCGCATTGTATAACGTCTACAATCTGCCAACCTGCGATATACGACAGGCATTTCATATCTACCAGATTTAACATGCGATCCTATTCCTCCGCCGAAGTAAAGGAGCAGGGTGCAGCAAGATCACTCATTATCATACATGGAAAAGGTAAGAGTAAACATGTGTCTTCATTCCCGCATTCCACAACAACCTTGCGAGCAAATCGAATACTAATATAATCAATATGCAAATATGCAGTCTACGATGTGAGCAGCTACTTGGATGAGCATCCCGGAGGAAAAGACCTTGTGCTGGATGTAATTGGCACCGACGCGACAGAGCACTTTGTTCAGGCGGGGCATTCCGACGAGGCACAAGATACACTCTCTAGTCTCGCTGTTGGCAGAGTCAAAGATTACCAACACAGAAATGATCAAGAGACAAAGAGTGCTCTATTCCAAATGGACAACAATGCCGCAGCAACGCCCTCTCAGGTATCGTGGCGCCTTGCAATGGCCGTACCTAGTACGGCCTTCTTGGCCTTGTGCCTGCGGCTTGTGATTCGTCATGCCAATATTGGCAGTACTTGGATTTATTTCCCACCATTTGGGACATCACTCCTTACTTTCAATGTGCCATCTACATTGTTGCTATCCTCCGTTATTGCTTTGATGGTTTCTCTTGGGGCCTTTACCTACTGTGTGTCGAGAGTAATTTATGTCGAATTTGGGTATGGGAAATATCCAGAAGTGATCCCCTCGAGTCGGAGGCTCTAGCCGGGAATGATGCATGAGACTTGACTGGCATTGGGCGACATATAGACAACTAGGCAATGGATTTAAGCATTTTTGAAACGCTTTGTTTCAGTCTTGGATCTTCGTACAGATTCTTTAAGCAAGTAAATACGGGAGGACTTGGCAGCTTGCTGGATAGGCTGGAGTAAAAAATGGATTGTATCCTTAGATAAATGATAAGCATTCAATAATTCTTGTGGTGACCGGCCATTTGCACCCGAGGATGATCTCAAGAGCTTCGACTAGTGGATTTTACGGTTTGCGGTGATCTGTCAAGTGGAGACGGTGTTGACGGGAGACGGTCTGAGCACTTGCCGATCCACTTGCCGGTCCGCCGGCCGATCCTCAGATCGGAGGCCCTGATTATCAAGCAGTGATCGGTAACCGGGCACCTGCTTTACTGGGCGGCTCTATTTTGGTCACGCATACATTCGATATTTCACTAACTATACACTTTCCGTCAGCACTGACGCTGTCTGCTCCTAAAACTAGGGACTCTAGATACTTTATAATCGCGTAATATATGTGCTCTTCTTCCTCTAGACACTCCAGTTTATCAAACTGGCGGCTGTAACAACTACACCACAGTAACTTCGGTCTTTTCCTCCTCTTCCAACCCTGTGGATCTGCCTCCTTCAATCTCAAAATGGAAAAAGGCCCGGATGACGAAGATCGTGGCCGTGGACCAACAATTCTCGGGCCCCAGCCGGTTGACTCCCCTTTGTCCGATGCATCGCCAGCCCCTCTGGCATATACCTATCCGGAAGGAGGACGCAGAGCTTGGTTAGCAGTTGCGGGTGCCTGGTGTTGCAACTTTTGTTCCTTTGGCTGGACTAGCAGCATTGGCGTTTTCCAAGCCTATTATTCAGAGCACCAGCTCTCCTCATATTCCTCCTCTGCGGTGTCTTGGATTCCTTCAGCTAATCTTTTTATGTTGATTGTCCTCGCTCCTGTGTTTGGAAAGATATTTGACAACTATGGGCCCCGTTACGCTGTGATATTAGGCGCCTGCGCTCATATTCTGGGCCTGGTGTTCCTTAGCTTGAGCACTGAATATTACCAAATGTTCCTCTCACAGAGTATTCTATCCGGAATTGGTGCCTGCTCGCTATTTTATTCTGGAATGAACGCAGTTAGTACCTACTTCAAACGAAGGAAGGCTCTCGCTATTGGTATTGTGGCTAGCGGCTCATCGCTGGGCGGCGTTATCTTACCGTATGTTCTTCTTGCTACACGTACCGGAAATTCATCACTCATTGAGAGTTTGCAATTGCTAATACTGGTATTCTTCAGAATAATGTTCGACTACCTGATAGCCGACGGACTGAGCTTCGGTTGGACAATCCGTGCTATCGCATTGACGTTTCTTATCCTCCTCTTGTTCGCTAGCATCGCCACGACCTCGAATCTCAAGCATCAGCCGACACCAGTGTCTTTGCGGTCCTTCGTGCGCCCCTTTAGGGAGGTCAAATTCGTCCTGCTGGCATTAGCTGCCTACTTTACTTTCTGGGGTGTATTCATTCCCATCAACTACATCGTCGTCTATGCAGAGCGTCTGGGAATGTCGCTGGTCTTCTCGAATTATCAGCTTATCGCACTAAATGCCGCGAGGTATATAATCAAAGCCCCCTTGGCTTGTGACCGAAAACGCTAACAGTGAACAGTGTTTTAGCCCGCGTCGGGTGTGGATTCATCGGAGACCGATACGGCTGCTTCAATACGATCATTCTTAATGTCGCAATTGTCATTGTATCAATATTTGTACTTTGGTTTATTGATGCCCCTGGAACGACTATGGCATTTAGTATTGTATTTGGATGGGGTTCTGGCTCATTCATTTCTCTACTCCCTGCCTGTATTGCGAAGATCTCAGACATCCGGGAAATTGGTGTCCGAGTGGGCATGATCTACTTCGTCTCGGCCTTTGCCTGTCTAACAGGTAACCCGATTGGTGGGGCTTTGATCCAAGGAACCAACTATCGCTGGATGCAGGTCTTTGCGGTACTTGTGATCTTCGTGGGCATTGCATTCTTTGTTGCTCTGCGAATCGCACAAAGTCATACGTTTATGAAGGTTGTGTGATCAATCAAAACTCGGTACTATTTGGGAGAATGGGATCAGAATAGCTACACAGAAAGGCAAGCATGCTGGGGGAGAAAGGGTTTATAGACAGTGTAGGCGGCCGAATGTGCCAAAGACTAGGCATATACATGTAATCTAATACATGGTGACAGATTGACAGTATTGTGCCGAGTTCACAATTAGACCCTCAAACTCCGGCTATAAAGCAACGCTGTGATCCGGAGAAATATATGTGAATCGCAGATCATCGGTACTTATAGCGCTGATTCATTGGACCTACTTACTAGCAACAATAAAAATAACTTGCCCAGGAACCTTATATTCGGAATTAGGTCGTAATATAACGCCATGGAGATAGTTATCTTCAATTAATTTCTTCTCGTTATAACTATTATTTAAGACTGATTTATTTCATTATTTTATAATATTTATAAGGATTATAGAATAGCCTTTTCTAACAAGATTGAAAAGGAATATATAAATATACCAAGATAGTTGAATCAAGTGTATTTTCAGGCCTCGGGTTTTCTCGTGGGTCTGTAAAAGCCCAAATAACCTGGTAACGGCGGCCGAGTTTCTAATATACTTATCATACCTGGAGGATCAGAAGAACTAGTCATTTCATAATCATAGTCCTGATATCCGTCGTAAACCTATATTCTGTACTACCCAGCCACTGCCTAGTTTGAATACTCCCGTGCCCTCGAGTTTCCCGTCTACCTTGCCCATAGCCATATCCGTTAGAAATTTGCCTAGATGTTCGGTTGGACAGTGCATCCAGGTAACACGAAGCAATGGAAAGAACGCGGTCTCTCGATGGCTTTGGAATGGCACCCTGTCGGACCTGGCATGCACCGTCCTAAAGTCCTAGAGGCCATATCAGATGAATCCCTGAAGGAGTTAGGAACAGATTGTCTTGACATCTCTACCTCCGCAGGCCAGATCACAGTACACCATACGCAAAAATGCCCCAAGCTGCGGATAAGCTGTACCGCACGGGTAAGCTCAGCAACTCGGGCTTAGCAAGTCTTAGTTTGTGCAGAATCGTTAATGCAGTAAATGAAGTAGATCATTGAATAAGGGCGATAGATGAATTCCGGACCAAACAGTGCCCTCCCATATTCTAATTCCTCAAGGACAACTTGCACATCAGCGCAGGCTTCTCCCACAAAGTAAATGTCTTCTGATCCGACCATTGTCTACTTTCCTCATTAAGCTCCAGATCAAAGTTCCACAACAAACGGGAAAGAATGAGTCGCACTTCAGCAAGAGCCAGGTTCCTCCCGATGCAGTTCCGCGGCCCAGTAGAAAATGGTTGGAGCACTTCTCTGTTATCAGAGAAGAATGGTGAAGATGGGTCTGTTTTTGCTTCTGGTAGCCACCGCTCGGGAAGATAATGTTCAGGTGCATAGAAGTTACTAGCTGACTTGTAAGCAGCGAGCGGATGCACGTAGACTTTGGTCTGTATGCGAGGAACTTAGTAATCTTTAATCATTTTTGATGGATTTTTGAAGGCATTCTGGTTTACTCACGCCGGATGGAATTTCATAGCCCGAGATGAGGGTCGGCTCAACAGTCATGCGAGTGAGCCCGGTCGGAACCGGAGGATACATGCGAAACGCTTCATCGATACAGGCTTGAAGGTAGGGAAGCTTCGTAGCTACGAGGCCGGCGGTAATATCGGTCTCGGACTTCATGATGGACCGAACTTCGGTGGTCACTTTTTCAAGCGCGACGGGGGTCTTTAGCAGCCAGTATGTGATGCCGCAAAGCAGTGTGGCAGTTGTTTCACTGCCAGCAATAATAAGAATATTCGCATTGGCCACGATCTCTTCGTCAGTTAGACCATCTTTTGTATCGTGATATCGCAACATTGAATCCATAAAGTCTCCGCGATCATACTTCGATGCATTATCGAGTCTCTTCTTGACAGTTATGCTAGTGTGTGCCTGTTGGCGCTTTCGTGCATTCAAGAGTGATTTTGGCATAAAGAGGGCTAGAAGCTTGAAGATTGTGGGGTATGCATCCCTTAACTTGAGAAAGGGTAAGAGCTTAATAAACTGGAAGACAATTGCAATCCAATAGTGATACTGAGAGTTGTCAAGACCGCCAAAGGGTTCTCCAAAAGCCAGATCACCGATAATGTCGAAGGTGGTCAGATTGTACCACTTGACCATATCGGCTGGGAGCTGTGACTCTGCGATACCCCTTAACCTGGTGATTAATTTGGCGACGTAACTATTGATGAGAGGCTCCTGGGCCTGTAAGCCCTTGGGGGAAAAGGCGTGTGATAGCGCTTTGCGGAATCGACTGTGGTCTGCTGCGTTGGAGCTAACTATGTCCCTCGGGTTGGCCGCGGAGCTGGTTACTTTTGGTAGTTCACGGTGGCCATGTCCGTAAATCTTGTTCCACGCTTCTGTGGTGATGAAAGAGACTTCATTGTGGGTGACGCGCACCACAGGGCCATACTTCTCATGAAAGCGATGTATGTCAGCATCTAATTGCCCTCGGACTGCTGAAATGTGTCGGAAAAGTGGTAGGATGATCCATGATTTAGGTCCAGGAATCTGTCGCAAGGGATGGAGATATAGTGTGTGTATTATGCTAAGTAGCGAGTAAAGGAGATATATGCAAGGGGCGATAGCTAGTGTAAGAGGGTCCAACATGATGCTGGTGGTGGTGGATGTTAGTGGTAGTCAACGATTGATGATCAGGTTCGAGACTGAGGTGTAAGATAGGCTCCTACGATATTTATATAAGCCCCCATTCCCCGCATCATGCCGGTGGACTCAGCCTCAAACCTACAAAGCAACTAAGCAGCTAAGCAGCTAAGCAGCTACCGACTGCAGATAAGCAGTTGACCAGTTAGTTATGGAGAGGAACGGCGACGCTGAATCAGCACACCACATTTACCCGTCAACTGCGACCAACCGGACATGGACACACGGCAGCCTCGGAAATTAGGTTGAAGGTGCCAGACGAGCTAGATAAACAGCTCAGTCGGACAGCTCACTGAGCTCATTCAGTACCAAGGTTTCTCTAACTACAGGCACGAAATTTAACTCGCCGAGTGGGATGATGAAGGAAGACATGCATCTAGGGAAAGATACCGCCAACGCTCGCGCGTCAGGCCGATAGACCAAGTTATTTATCCGAGCAGACCTGCCATACTAGCTACAGGAGATGGAGATCACAGACCACATCCCGATCAGGCGCGAACAACGATCCCGTTTCCCGTAAGCACTAGTGATGCTTCTACGCATGAAGCACCGGGGATTATTCGGGCACCCCCCATTCAACCGCAAGACGCGGAATGCCTCGCACATGGTTGGTTAGCATATAACTACAGCAAATGGCGTGTTTCCGAGTCCCGCGACGCTTGCGCGTCTCGCAAGCTTCCAGCACCCAACTATGGCTCAACTGCAGCATGGCCATCCCGTCGGCTTTGATGCTATTCCCTGGCCGCAGCTGCGTTCGCATTCAGGTCAGAGCTCGCAGAAATATAATTGTATGAAATTGACACGTTATTTGAGCTGCTGCATGAAAGTGCAATGGCCTTGGAAGGGAATTCTTGTGCGTGATGAGCGTGATGGCTTGCAAATTTGTCAGGAATTTTTTAGGTTTTCACCAAGGATGGGGTTTGACATCGGAGTTCATGGAAAATTATCCGGAGCTACTGGAGGGCATGGATTTTGAAGCTGTGCGGTTCCAAATTACGGTGGGACAGCCGTGCTAATCACCGCCCCTTGGGCTATAGGATGCAAAGACAACTCATAAGGATGCTTGTCAGATCATCATTACAGCCACTCATCGAGTTGCCAACACATTATCTGACATAACACGAATGCGGCCCTGTCCATTTTTAGCTTTCGAGGGTCTCAGTTGCGAGGGGGTCAGAAATTAGTGCGACAGGTTCAGAGAATTCTTGACACTAGATAAGCTTTATTACGTGTAAATAGACTTAGTATTAGACTGAGTTTTTCTGACCCCGTCCCAGTTTTTCTAAACTAAATCAGCTATTATATCTACCCTCTTAGTATTTTTAGAGTTTTTTTAGGGATTATTAGGATATTTAAGGTATCAGGGATTATTAAGAATTTTTATTTTTATTTTTTTAATAATATTATTAATCATGTACAAACATGGTTCAGTATCAGAAATACTATTAAATCACGTGTATAATCTCAGTCAGAGTCAGGATTTCTCTGAAATTGTTTGAGCTGTTTTTCCAGCTCCGGTCTGACACCATTATACTAATTTCTGACCCCCTTGCAGCTGTATCCCCTAGCTTTCGCCGGGTAGCCCATACCACGACATGTTTGGTATATTGTTCGCTTCCAGCATCTCTGCCATGATTGAATAAAAGGCTACTGTAACAGACTTGGCTCCCGAATAAGTCTAATACTGCCTGACTATCTGTGAAAGCTTAGGATATAGTACGACTGCCACCGGTTAGTAATTAACAGTGGGGTTTGCCATACTGCAGTACGGGCGATGAAGTATACGGAAAACTTTTCCGTTCAGCCACATGGCTACACGCGCAAAGAACGAGTATCATCCTGTCAGTTTTTCAGATTTATAATCCTCCTCTAAATTATCTCGTCTGCCTAAAGAATCATCCACATTTAGAAGTATTCTAGACAATTTCTCGAATTGTGAGTCATTACTGATGTCATTAGCGTCTGTCGGGCAAACGTGATCATCGCCCTATCGATCTCAGCTGCGCCCCGTGGCTGGGGATTTCTATATCTGAAACATCTTGCTTTTTGCCACTTCCAGTGGCTTTCCGATGTATTTATTGTCTCCTTCGCTGTTGAATCTAACTTCCATTGACCGCTTGGTTCTCATCTTTTTCCCTTCAATGGAATTTGTCTTTCAATGTTGACAAATTGCCGTCACGGATCCCCCGCTTGTCCTTAATCCTCATAAACTCCACCGCCAAGGCCAGCCAGATCTATACCCGCAGCTTCTCCACCCACCGGAAACACCAGAAACACCGGGAATATCACCCCAATACCCAGCGACGCTCAGTCAACGTTGTATATCCGACCCCTGAACCAGTAACAATGGGAGGCCTCCAATTTCCACCCGGTATCGACGCAGACGATATGATCGGGCAAGGGAAAAGCGGAATAGCAGCCCTAGACGCCAAAACCAAGCATGTCATAAAATTCCCATACAACACAGACGAGAGAGGGGCCGAATGCGCTCACGAGAAGGAGATCTATGAGCGCTTAGAGCGCTCACCCCTCCCACGACCATCATCCCTCTTAAAGTACTACGGCTCCACAGAGCACGGAATCCTCCTGGAATATGCAAAGAACGGTACATTGCGGAGATATTCATACGGGTTTGATTATGGGATCCCACCCCCTATGATTCTCCGCTTCGCGAAGCAAGCAGCGGAGGCATTGCAGTTCATTCACGACAATGGGATAGCTCATGGTGATGTTGATTGTGTGAGCTTTTATGTGGACGAGTTACTGGACCTGAAGGTCGGAGATTTTACTCGATCAACCGATGCTACGCCACAGGCTGTGAAGAAGGATATCTCGGATTTCGGCTCGGCTATTTATTATCTGGTAACCAGTCAGTATCCCTATCCAGGGATGACAGACAAGCAAATCGAGGAGCGATTTCAGGGGAAGGAGTTTCCGGATCTCACGGATGTGCAGTTGAAGGGAATAATTCATCCGTGCTGGGCGGGTCATTATGCGAGCTTTGAGGATGTTTTGGTGGATGTGAATGAGCATATTCGGCTTCTTTGAGGGTATTAAATTTCTTTGGTGCTATTTTGACGATGGCTACATTTCGTTGTACGGGGTTTATAAATGCAGAATAACGATCTCGCTGTCGTCAGGTACCCGAGAATAACCATAAAAATACAAGGGTCTGCATAAAATGCAGGTACACTTACGGAAGAGAACATAAACTAGACGCTGACATAGACGACGTCACGAGGGGCCAATCTTTGCATGACGTTTGGGCCTAGTGGCACCCTCTATTCCTAGATATCAATCTATGTCATGGACGAATGTCTCTGTTTACCGCACAGTTCGAGGCCCTATGATCTGGAAATATTGGCACCTATTATTTTATAGACCGAAGACATGCCACAGGCTCTGATAAAAGTCTGCATCAGTCAGAATGTGGATGAAAATTGTGATTATCGCTCTTTCCTGAGCATCTGAAACCCTATTAATGCAGTTCTGGGTATTCATTAAGTCACCAGCTAAGCCCTTTTGTAGAAGATATACTTATGATGCTTAGAATAGTCGCAGATCAAGGTGCTAGCCCGTGGACTAATACGTGAACGTGTGCAATATATAGTATTCTAGCCCTGCCGCACAGTAGTCTGTGAAGTTTCGCGTTATGCATATTTTACCTACGCGTACATACATGGAAGACCAAACTTGGAGAGATGATTCGGTTTATTCTTGCGAGATTACCGCGTCGTAATAGCCTTTATGTTTGATTGGCATCGGTGCATGACTAGCAGGCTCACTATCTCCGACGGCGCGTTCGGCAAGCAGCTGAACGGAGCGAAGGACAGCCCTTGACCTTAGTGCAGCATCGGGCGCAGGAATTGTTACCAATAGGGGTAAGATCAACAAACACTGAGTCGTATCAGCGCCATTATTGGTCACGACTCGGCGGAAAGAAAACGCATCACTTCGCGGCCCATTCACTTGTCGCTGTAGCTACCCCGCCTCGGAGCTTCTTCATGAAAGCTCCATGTAGGAGATGAAGTCGGACAAGGTCGATAAAAACCGCACAATCAAACAAAAGGCTGCTATGAAACAGGAGGATTTCTTTTTGAATCCCACGATGAATACGGCGACATGAAACAAAATTATGTGTATCATTGTCTTTAGTCATCAAATAGCCCGGATGACTGTAGTATTTACCCAGAAAGGCTGGCCTATACACATACCCGAAGCATCGCGGCAATGTTTGATGAGATTGGGCTCAAGATGAGTGCTTATCTTGAGTGATGAGCTGAATGGCTAACAGCCATATGGTTTTGAGCAGTATTATGCGATCGAGTGCTCTCTGGCTGGTTGCAAGTAAGGCGTGGAAAAGGCATGATTGGCCATGTTGAATGCAAGTCAGCCGCACAAAAGACCACACCAAGGATCCACGAGCAGGAACACGTCATAAATTGACAAGGGTATACGCGCTGGGATATCGTTCGTAGTGCTAGCTGAAAGAAACAAAAATTGCACCGCACCTGTACTTAATCTCGCGGTGATGGATCGTTCCTGCCCAAGTGCATCCTCATTCTTTCTCGCCTGTATCGTCCGCTTTCCAGCATATTGCCCATAATGGGTCAATCCAAGTGGCTCGCGTGTCTCAAATCACGATTCAGTGCGAAAAGCAAAAGCAAACACAAAGAGTCACTGGGGAATGACACCGGTCAAGCATCAGCATCAACTCCCCTCAAGGAGTCTAATCAGTCCTTCGACGAAACAACAAGGCTGTTTACCCACCTGCCTCTATTGCCTGGACAATGGTCTGTTTAGTATTGACTCCGGTAGGTTAATCTGAATCATCGATATCGCTCCAAACATGAGGACTGAGAGAACGAAAGCTTGTCAAATACAGTGATCAAGTAAATGCGAGTCATGATGGCCTCCTTTATATTATCGCGAAGCTTCCGTGGTATGCGCACTTAGTCGAGCTTCTGAAATCTGAAATATGGCAGTCTCCCCAGCAGTTCCGGCAGTCCAAGGCCCCTCTCAAAGAGGCAATCATAGAGCTATACAGGCTCATCATTGAATTTCAGATCTTGACTCTGCGAAAATGCCATCACAAGTTCAGAACTCTTTCCAAGACCTTCGTGGGGCTGGGCTCATCCTCGGAGGATAGACTGATCAAAATCCAAGAAGCTGAGAGCGAGGTGCAAAAGCATATGGAAATTGATTTCAGGACACAAGTTTTGGACACACTCAAAGGCATCAGATCAAATTCAGCTCAAATGGAGACCAGCTTGACATCAGAACTCAACAGGCAATTTGCGTTGAGGCAACAGTCAAAGCTAATCGCAAAGTTTAGGCTCGACAAAACCCGTCTGGATATTGATTCGTATCAAGCCTACTACGAGGCTATCAGCAATCCTTCAAGTGGAACAACCGAAGGCTTCCGTGAACACAGGGTATATCGAGAATGGCGATCTGGATCAACTCGTTCTCTGCTTGTGGTGGCCAACCCCGGTACTGGAAAGTCGGTGCTGACCAAGTCTCTTCATGAGTCACTTTCGAAATCAGGTGGACCTGCGGTTTGTTCATTCTTTTTCAAGGACCGCGGTGGTCAGCAAAATAACATGAATGTTGCTCTCTGCCACATTATGTATCAGTTGTTCCAGAATCGACCGGACTGGATAGTCCACGTGGCGGATGATATTCGTAACAAGGACCCGGGCGACATACGATCGAATTTCAGCTTTTTGCGAGAGCTTTTTCATAAGGTACTCGATAATGCTGAGCCGGATGGTATCGTTGTTCTGCTCGATGCCTTGGATGAAAGTGAGCCTGACTCAAGGGGAAAATTCTTTCAGCACTTGCACAGTTTCGATAGCCCCGCTTTGAAGCTCTTCTGCACTGCCCGTCCACTAAGGGACATCATCGACGACTTTAAACCTGTGATGAGTTCCATTTTGAATCTTATCTAGATGAGCAGTGTCAGGAGTTTCTTTCGAGTGATATCCAGTGTGTTGCCGGTCAACGTCTGAAAGCCTTCATCGAGAAACAGAAAATCGAAGATGAATCCGTTTGCTGTCAACTCCGCGAGAAGCTCACAAAACGCGTGGAAGGTGATCGAACGTATCTTTTTGTCAAATTACTTTTTGACATCCTGGATAAGAAGAAGCTGGGTATGACAAGCTCGGTAAGGGCATGGGTCAAAGAGTTCGAGAATATTCCAGAGTCAGTCTTTGACGCGTACACCGAGCTACTAGACGCAATAGATGGAGCAGATCGTGAAGCAGTCAAAGCTATGTTAGAGATTGTCTTGGCCGCACAGAGACCTTTGACCGTGGAAGAAATGGAAATTGCCTTGAAGGTTGGTATGGATGACGAGGCCTTTGAGCCTGGAGACGAGTTCAACCCAATTCTATTCAAAGCAGACATGTTGGAACGATGCCATTTCTTGCTGGTGACATATGATGACCGTATCTACTTTATTCATCAAACGGTTAAAGACTATCTTCCATCGGAACAAGAAAGTCAAGTGAAACCGAAGAAGGACAAAAGACCAGCCTGGCTACAATCGATCAGCACCGTGTCCTGTCATGAAACGATACTGAACAGTTGCATGCGTTATATCTCCGCCCCATTCAATCAGCGGTCGGAGATAATTCCTGTTGAGGATTTCTTCCACCTGCCTCGTTATGAGCAGCTTGAGCATCAACAATGGTATTGCGACACTTTTCCACTTGGGGAATGTGCGTTCTGTCAGTGGTTTGTTCATCTGCGTGAAATAAGAACCAAAGAGGAAAGAAGTCCCGAAAGCCTTACTGTAGTGCTCCAAAGGCTTCAAGGGAAGTAATTTGGTCTATCTTTTGATGTTACATTGTCCATGCTCTGTTGCTCCAGCTTTCCGTCCGAAGTAGAGGCGAGGCTTTTTCAAAGCATGGTACAGTTAGGGAGTACGAACATGACCGAAGCTCTCGGCAGCATGTGTGAAGGCCTAATAATGCGATTTATCAAGTTCAGCTCACTTGCTGATCTCACTTGCGCGATGGAAATTATCGCCGACGTGGCAGAGCAGACGCCAGAAGGAGACCCCAAGCTCGGTCAGTTGCTTATTAATTTAAGCCGGGCGCACTATTTGAAGTATCTCCACGATGAGAGTACCGGGAATGAACCCTGCAACACTGCCTTGAATATTATCGAAGGAGTGTTGCAGGTAACACCAATTGGTAGCGTTTACCGAGCTAGGGCATTGCATGCGCGCGCTGTTTGTACTCGCCAGGACGACATCGATCAGGCAATTCAAGATACCGAGGAGGCCCTGATTCACACGCCTGATCTGGGCCAGTCAGATAAACAGATGTTTTGCCAATCTTTGGCGCTCCATTTGGGCGAAAAATACTGGTGGGCGGAGACACCCAATGAAGATGACTTACTCAGGGCTGTAGAGATTGCGCAGGAGGCCACAAACGGCATGTCAAAAAAACATCCAAACTACTCCAATGCGCTTCTTGTGTTGTCTCGTTTGTTGCTGACAGCTTCACGAAGCTATCCTGACAAGCCAAACTATTTAAATCAGGCAATCGAAGTGGCAAGAGAGGCAAATAAATTTAGACTACCTACGGAATTCATGGGCAGTCGGTGTCTCATTGAGCTATCTCAATGTTTGATCTCTCGCTTTTTGCGGGATTCTGACCTTAAAGACCTCCAGGAAGCCCGTGAGCTTACGGAGGAGGGCTTACGGACAACACCGAAGCCAGGGGCCCTGTATTCCTGTTTCATGGAGGTCAGGGACATAGTGATGGAGCTTGAAGCGGATTTTCGAAGTAAGGAAGTATGGATACCTATTCTAGATGTCACGCTGTCAGAAGATATGGTATTTCTTTGAGTTTGCTTTTCGTTCCTTCGAATTCTTCAAAACTCCTACTTTTTCCACGTAAGTCTTCAATTCAGCCACTCTATAACGCGAATGCTCATGTGGATTAGCAACCTAGTTCTTCTCCCTCTTCTGATATCATTGCTCTCTTTCCATTTGTCTATAACATGGATTACCTACTAGAAGTCGCAAATCTCTCGCACATACGTAGTACATTGCCGATGATAAGTGCCAACGCATCTACGATATAAGGTTCACGAACCACTATCAACTACATCAAAAGAAAGATACGTTCCTGTCAATTTAGTTGTGCCTCTAGATCTTGTATAGCTCTGCAGAAGTCATGATGATTGTTTTGCTTCTAAGTCAATAAAATATGCAGCGACAGTTCAATTTCAGAGCTTAAAAATGGTAAACCTGGACAACGTAGTGTTAAGTCAGAAATTGGGACATTTGATATAAACTAGCTGCACCGAACACGACATATGTAACTACTAGTGGCAAGCAAATTACAATATTGAACCTAACGACCCTTAGTGAGAAGGGTTAGTTCACACAGATGGTATGCTGACGGGTGGTGAGAACTGGTTAGGCAATCCTATTTCTGTATACTCTTTATTTTATTTTATTTTTTTTTTTTTTTTGCCCCTCAATGTTAGACATCCTCAGCCTTAGTACGAGGATAAGCTGTCCATTGAATCACTGCCTCGCCTTTGATACCACAATTGATACTAAGTAGTAATCCTTAAAAAATAGAAATAATAAAAGTAGATTCATGAACATTTTGTCCACTTCCTAGACCCTTCTAGAAGGCAGGACGCTGCTGTAGCTCCAACATAAATTACACTACCTCCCATGGTGCAAAAGCATGTAATTTTCGTGGAGAAGAAGCAAAACATGAATAATGGTATTTGGGCTCACATATGAAACGCCCAATATACTGTCACTGTTCAATCCTCCTTTAGGCCGATGCAAAGGCAATTATCCCTTGACTACGGCTTCCCTACCTCCAGAGCAGTAAATTCATACTGCTTCATCTTGTATACATGAAATAACCCAGGAGGTCCCAAGAACAACCTTGGTTCTCGCATCTGAGCAACAATATCCTTCCAATCCACACTGCCTCCTACAAACTCATCCCAGTCGATATGCAACACAATCACGCTGCACCCTTCACACGCTGCCTCGGTGCTCTCTACCACATCAGTATTCACATGAGCCGCACCACACTGTAGCATCAAAGCCTTTTCAATGCGTTGCCTCGGGACGTGCGGATCAAATATATTGACGGACAATCCACGGCCAACAAAATCTCGAATCAGCCTAATCGCGGTGGTATTCCGAATATCCGTTGTGTTTTTCTTGAAAGAGAAACCAAGAATTGCTGCCTTCGTCTCTGTCCCTGATACATCAGAGGGCAAAAATGACATTATCCGTTTCGTGATGCGTGTGGATTGGGAGTCATTGATTTGAATCACCCCCCGCCAGTACTCGGCCACGTCGTCAACTCCTAGCTCACGGGCTTGATAGATCAAGCAGCAGACGTCTTTGCGTAAACAAGACCCACCGAATCCGAATCCGGCTCGCAGACACAGAGGACCAATACGTGGGTCCAGACCAGCAATACGAGAGAGCTCGGTGACGCTTGCGCCAGTGGCTTCGCAGACTGCACTCAGGGAGTTTATGCTGCTGATACGCTGTGCAATGAGTGCATTGGAAGCAATTTTGGCTAGCTCTGATGACCATGTGTCGGTCGTGACTATTCGTTCCTGGGTACCCATGGGGTATATAAACGTATTAGGGCTTTCACTGACTCAGGAACAACGCCGTCTGCTGCTGGTTCATAGCCAATCACCACCCGGTTAGGGCTCAAGAGATCTTGCATTGGGGTGCCTTGAGCTAGAAACTCGGGGCTCGATATTTTGTCGAATGAGGCCGTTGGTGGAGCGGCATCTTTCAGCTAACTGGAAACTAGTCAGCGAGATGCATAATCGCTACATAACCGCTGCTTAGGATAGCACCACCCACCTTCCTTTTGATCCACTGACAAATCCCACTAGGTGCAGTACTTTTCTGGACCATAACTGTGTGCCCTTTTGATAGTTGCGCGATTGACTTGAGGGCTGACTCTAGATTCTTCAGGTCGAGACCTCTGATCTCATCGCTATCAGGAAACTGGGCAATCAGAACCCCTTACATCGTTTCACAAAGACACAATATGAGACTTACAGAGACTTCTCCCGAAATGTCACCACAAATGAAAATAATATTGGCGTCCGATATGTGTGTGTTATAATCAGCAGAGAAGGTTATGTTCGCAAGCCTTCTCCTCCGCCTCCCTTCATGATCGTGTAACAAAACACGAAGTGCGTTCTCCTGGATTTTGCCATCCTCAAATAAGATATCTTCGAGGCCAGGCTCGAATATGGGGATGTGGTCTGAATTCCAAGCCGCAATCAGGGAGGCATCTTTGTCGACCACACTGAAGTGCACAGATGGGTTCTTAGAAGCCTGAGCTATTGCTTTCAATGCCAGTACTCATTTGTAAAAGCAGACAGATACTCTGGGTCTTTCAGGATAGAAGCTCGATAAGCTGCAGTCCGTCCAGTCAGTACTGTTTGGCTACCATCCAGCCAGCTCGAGGCTGCAATGTCGATATTGCGCATGCTCATCCGTCGAGACTCGAGAGCTTCCCACACCGTGATCGTTTCGGGGCTTCGAGCATCCAAGCCGTGTGCTGCTATCAACGTAGTGACACCACCAACTTAGGGTTCCAGTTCCAGAACGCCGAGCACTTGTTTCAAGAGGTCCTTGCTCCAATAAATATCGTCGTCCGCTAGCACGAGAATCTCGCCTGTGGCTACTTGAATGCCGCGAGCGAGTTGGTTTTGCTTATTAGATAAAGGTATCTCGAGAATTTAGATCTTATGCGATTTATCCTCTGGTATAAACTGCTTGAGAACCGCTTTTAGTTCTTCAATCAGAGCTGCTGTTGTGACAATGATAATCTCCTTAGGGTGGTTGTCCAGCATTGCCTGGAGCCGGGGTAGGAATTCTACAGGTGCACCAATCGTGGGTGTTATCACGCTGACACAATCCGGTCGCATTCGTGGATTCTCTGGTACCGGAATAAGTTTCATTCACATGTATCCAACCAGACGTAGGCCCTTCTGACAAGATGCCAGCCCCTTGCCTGGTCAGCAGCGATAGCAATGGGGTAAGGTATATTCAGCCTACAGCATGAGCCAAAATCACGGAGTTAGCTCCATTGTAAGGGGAGATCGAGATGCCGTGCTTATTCCTTAATGAGTAGAAGGAGTCTTCTTCGATCTTTTCCGTGGTCTGGAAAGATCGATCGGCCGGCTTTACTCCATTTATCCCTTCGCTCTCGCGCTGAAACAGCTGCCGGCCATTCTAGCAGGCGGGCATAATGACGCCAGGTGGTGGCGGTGAGATATAAGTCTGATTATTGCGGCCGCTTCCCCTGCAGGGAGGCCAGAACTCATTACCTGGAGTAGTATAAATTATATGTCTTATGGTTCCATCGTGGTTGTTGGTCGGCGACATGTATTTTGTGCCTCGGACACTTCCATGCTACTGTTTTGCATCTTTCTGGATACTCAAGGATGACTGCAGACCGCTCCCAACAACCCCGTCCCAGAAGGCGGTACGAATGATCACATTTATACAACAAGAAAAAGCAAGCCCAGGACAGACGCTCGCGAAAGCAATCTCCAACCCCTTCGACAGTGCTCCTACCTGATACTAGCAAACTCTGCTCACCCACTTGCCAAATTTACTCACCCAAATCATCTACACACTCTAATACACCTCATATTCGAGTCTCGGGTATTCATTATGTGGCTTCAGCATGGCTCAGGGGAGAGGAAGCCTTGTTCACCATACCCTTCAATCATATAACAGTTGCTTTATCATATGCTGCAGTAGATTAAAGATTTGGACACACATGAGACGTATACTATACAACACTGCAGATCATAAGACAGATACATCTAATTACATGCAACAATCGGAGTAATTCAAGAGAGTCGTCAGTCATCAATTCGTATCGTGAGCTTTTGCTTCGGTTTCCACCTATTTTTCTTTCTTTCCGACTCTTCAAGCACAGAGCCTTGTAGTCTAGAAGTGTTCCTTCCAGAACTTGAACCGGATGTCCCTCGTTGAGGTGGACATGGCCGCCTCTCGGATTTGTCTGGCAGCGGCATTGGGTCCACAGAAGTAGACTCCAATTTCTGTAGTCGAATTCCCATGCACGCCTGATAGATAAGTCTGGTCTTGTAGACCATCACGCATGGCAGTGAAGAGGCGTTTGAAGTCCGGACGGCCAAAGTTCGTCCTACTTCGCAGCTCCGTAAGTGGGTCGACAGCCTGACCGACGGAATTGAGGAAAATATTAGCGGCAGTGTCATCATCCAGTCGTTGGGTAAGGTAAGTGTGGATGCGTAGGAACTCGGCCTTTCCACTGTACTCTGCTTCAGCTGCCGACTGAGATTCAAGAGAGGAGAGCAAGGCTTGGAACCATTCGAAAGACGAAGTGTCCCTACACACCCAAATGAACTCGACGCGACGAAGACGGCCGGCTAGTTTAGGGTCGGATCGTAAGTGCCAAATGTTCTTGAGGATCGAGGCCCATGGTGTGACACCTATTCCCGTCCCAATGAGGACGGCCACCTCATTGTCGAAGACATCGTCGGCTGGAGCTCCGTATGGTCCGTCAACGCGCAGCCTAGGCATTTTTTGTCCGTTATGCAGGGCGACTTCATACATTCCCAGCGGGTCGAGTCCTTCCATATCTCTGGCCTGCGCTGGTCCGCATCCTAGTGCGTCACCCAATGCACGAGTAAAATCACCGACTTGGCGGACGTGGATGCTAATGTACGGATCGAATGGACAGGACGTGATTGTAAACGGATGCCATTGGTTGCTGGATACATCGGGGGATTGAATGAAGAGCCATTGACCAGCCTTGTACTTCATACTATCCTTGCGGAACTGAATCTCCATGGCATCTGTGTATCGTTGTTAGAAGAGTCGAGAAGCTTAAATCCGCAGATGTAGGACTCACCATAGGGATGGCGAACCACCTTTAGGATAACGGTGTGGCGTCTAGCTCGGATTTCGCGGTACAGCCTTTCAAGCATGTACAAGCCTCCAGCCACTAGTTCCCACCTCCAGCCTTCGTAACCTAAGCAGTGATTCCAGAATCTAGACCCAGCAAAGGGTGAGATAGCCTCTTCTGTGTCTCGCACGAAGCAGCCTGTTGCATGTGTATACAATGCTAGAAGGAACGGTACGAAAAGATGGTGCGTATACCAAAACGTCTCAAAAGATTGTTGCCGGATCCGCTGGTGGGACGTGGTGTACATCAGCATCATGCAAAGGAGCATGACATGTCCTGTAATCCCACCAGCTTCTGTGTAGTGAATCTGGACTGCTTTAACGGGGCGGATTTGATCTTTTTCGATATTGTAAAAGCTGCTTCTGTCAGAGCAATGACCTCATGGTCGAGATAGATTGGCTTACTTCACGTAATGAGCCGCCGCATGGACTATGGTGAAAAACAAAAGGGCATAGGCGACCTGACGATGAAACCATACCGTTTCATCCAGTGGTAGCCATCGCACCCTAGGTCTTATTGTTTTAACAAGATTTCGGCACATGGGCAGCAAGAGGAGGGTGGCATCGCATGTCAACACTAGCCCAGCGCCCCGCGATATCCAAACAGAATACTGGAGGGTATTGAGCATAACCAGCCTCTGGTCCGAGGCCTGAACATACCTAAGGATTCTCAGTACGTATATGGGCAGCCATTGGGAACCGTCAGACTTACCACCCCACTGCAAAAATGACAAAATGTAGCGCCCAAAAGATGGAGTAGAACCAGACCTTTGACGCAGTAACGTATGAGCCCCAAGCATGTTCCATGATGGTAACAGGGCAGTATAGGCATGTAGTGACTTTTCAACAAGGCTCTATCATTGACCTGCAATGACCCGTTTTCAAAGGAGTGAATGGATTGAGTGCGCTTTTTTCGAACTTCCTTTCGAAGGCGTTCGTACCATAAGTGAAAGGAGCGATTTTGGTGGACACTCTACTCTAGGAATCCATAAATAGAATCCTCGCTCGAGAGCTGGCGCTTCGCTCCAAGTATCCGCTGACCTCAAGCCTGCGCAGAGCGACAGCTTGTGGCGCCAGTAGATAAGGCGCTTCGAACGCTGAAAGAAGCCGTAGGCACCCTGAAGTCCAGGGGACTCACGGAGATCACAGGCTTCCCCTTGGCTTATCGAGAATAATGGCTCATGAATAGGATTTCTCAGGTGCTAGAGTCAATGGCCGGAGGTTCAGGACGCGGTAGAAGCCGACGATCACAGAAGGCTGGGACCAATCGAGGAACAAGGATCAGATTTGATTATATCATTCTTATTTTAAACGGGCCTAGGTCCTGAATGGTAATCTCTGAGTAGGGTGGTGTGGGGTTGATGTCAGTTGAGAATCCTGTGTCAAGCGTCTGGTACCCGGAGATACGGTTTTGGTTGCAGAAAGGAGGGGAAGAATTGATGAGGGACACGAGGATCAGGATTTCTGCTTCTATATTTACCCCAACCCCTGCGCTGTGCGGACTTATGGTGCCGCTAGGATAGCCTGCAGGGAGCGGATCGCCCGGTTGGATACCACTATCCCCGAACTTGCCGTTTACAGGGCTCAGGCGAAAATTAGATGGAGCAAAGACCGTCAGGCGTTAAACCATCGCCTGATGCGCCAGACTCTTGGTGAAGAGAGCTCGAGTCTGACCGTCCTCTGTTGACTGGATAGATGATCCTTCCACTCGTATCTCAAGGCCATAACCGAGTGTGCTCCTCAATCACGCAGCCGTTTGAGTTTTGCTTTGCGGTGCACTCGTTAAGCTGTCGCGCGCGATTGGCGCACTTAGTAGTGACATGATAGGTTAAAGTCCGTCTTTTCTTGACCTACTGCCATCTCCTCATCTCCCGGTATCCGCCACTAACCTTACCATGTGGCACCGGGATTGTGAGTTGCTATCAATAACCCGTAAATCCATATTTGATTCTTCTGTATTCCTCCGGCTGCTCCGTTGATTCGTTTGGTGAAGGGTGGAGTCTCGGCCAATTCCAGCCTATGAGAAGCGCTGTGCAGGCGCGCATCCCGTCACACGCGGTCAAAGCGGCCATCGACATGGGGAGCGAACCTCTGTGACAGTCGGAACAGGCAGGATTATGATTCGAGATGCAAATTAAGGTCTGGTTGCTACCAAATATAGCTCTCGCATTTCGAGCCAAGACTTTCATGATCCAGGTACTAGTCCAAAGCAGACTCATCTCCGAAATTCGAATGGAAGACCCTGGTATTTCCTAGTGGTGAGTGCTTGGCGTGGGTTGAGCAGGGAATCAGACGATATTGCTGGGGCATTATTTTAAGTTCTTGGCCCTGCACGGTTGAGGTTCTCATCACATCTAGCGACGACTAGATTGGGACTCGGACCGTGTGGGTAGGGACGGTGCTATAATTATCTTGAGTGATAGGGAGCTGCGAAAAGACGGTGAGTTGTCTAGTAGCAGCCTTGAATCCAGTATAGGTTTCCCTGTGATCTAGAAATCCTTCTTCCATCTCGGGGATTTATTCGAGTATTGCCTCTTTCCGTAGACGTATATATTAAGTGGTAATAGTCGACTTGACAGCGGGTATTTATGGCTGTGTAGCAGTAGGCGCCCGATGGAGATCACAGCAAGGACTGGGGGGCAGGGAAAAGACCGACTACCTGGGCACCAGTTTCCCCGCTTCTCAAAGTCTTCACAAGATAGTCCGCCATCAGAGGAGCTTGGATGCTGGAAGCCCCAGCCGGGCGCTTCGTAGCACACGATCCAACCACTCAGGAGCAAAAGCTCCGCAGCCAAACGGGGTGTGATGCACTAGCGACCTGACGGGGCGTGACGGTGGAGCGGAGGATGCAGGAGATTTGCGGCAACACACTTTAGCGGCCGATGCATCTCTGTCAGTTCCACGTTCTGCTTCTTCTGATTGATCCGACCAGCCATAGCGCTCCCAGGATCATTCGCACTGTCACGCTACACCGAGCGCCCAGATCCAATCATAAGGTATTCTCGTGAAGAAGTCAAGGGGGTGAAGATCGCTTCCAGCAGAGAATGGTAGCTGATTGGGTTAGAAAAGACAGCGGTTGATAAAACGCATCCACGTATCACAGGCGTTGAGAGGGGGAAGCGCGGAGGGACGGCGAGTCCGTTGCGTTCGGCCTATTATGAAGAAGATGCAAATCAGGTGGTCTCCTCCGTTGGCGCCGGAAGCTACTAATGTATGTATTCCTGCTCTTTTCCCCCTCCATGGCCGCCATCGCTAAACTGGTCTATCAGCTGAAGTTTGCTCGGTCATGCAGTACATGATTATTTGAACCAACACTATCTCATTCTTCCTGCATTAAGTTTATGTGGTGATGTGATTGCTGTGATTTAAAGCTTATCCGACTCACACACACTACATACGACTACTTCTCCTCACAAGCAAACTGCCGGGGAAGAATTTACCAACCTTGACCTTGCATCGCATCTCTCCACCTGCCATGTCATTTGGAACGAGCATAGCACACACGACATTGATTGATCGGGTGGATGGTTGAGGGATCCCTTGCGGTCGAAAAAGCAATCCTTATGTTTATGAGACAACAACAGCATTGTGTCTATACTTGAGTAACGAGCTCTTTCGCCGGACGGAAGACGCTTGAACTCCCCACTATACGACAAAACCTGCCTACCATGGGAAGACTTATCAAAAATCACTGGGCGCGACTTATTATCCTTACAGCCTCAGCTTGTATGCACCATGCCTCTTCATCTATTCATATGACGATACTAATCTGGATGAC